TATTAATTTATGATATCTACCTTATCCAGTATACATTTGTATATTTATCTATTTATTTACTCTGTCACAGGGTTTATTTCCTTACTGGTATATGTATATACTTTGGTTCATATCTCAACACACAAACCTAGACTAAAGATACGCTTCCCATACTGTAAAGGAAAATATATTCCTAATCCTTAGAGTAGTCGGGAATAACGTGTAATAATATAGAATACAGTCTTTATTGCAGAAAGAGATTAAAGAGGGACAGGCCATGTTTAAGGGAATAACGGGTAAGCTATTACAATCATAAATGCACTCTCAGTAAATAGAAACCACTACGGGGCAAAGAAGGAGAGTGGTGTGGTCTTAAATAGCTCCAGAACAGGTTTCATTGGAAAGCCTAAATTCTGAAAGCAAAACATACGTGACCGATATCTCTGGATAGATGTGGGCTGCCGTGGTATCAAAATATGATGCAAGCATCGAAGAGTATATGAAGGAAGCAAGATGGAGTCCGCGTCTGAAAAGATGCCAGATTAATGCATGGCATCAATATATGTGGCCACGTGCAGATACCACAGAGGCCGTGACAGAAGGTTAATTCAGGTTTATTACATTTCACATATTCCATTTCTATAAATATATCTATCTAAGAGGCACATACCATCTAATTGATTTGATTGGGTTTATGGCATAATCCACGCACAATCCAAAGAATGATATACTTTGTTTATAGTTAAGCAATAAAACAGGATTGAGGGTACACAGGGCACTCCATGGATTGCCAGGCCAGAATTAGTTTGTGATTTTTAGCTCAGTGAAGGTAAAATACAGCGTGGCCCTGGTGATTTGCCTCCTTCATTTTACTTCTCATTTATTACCTGGGGATTTAAGCAATTCAGCCGTTACATGTTGTTTACAGATTAATGTGTCCACACTGGAGGAATAGGGCTAAAATCTGCTACTGTGCGCCTGTTTGAGACTGTGTCTCACGGAAATAATGAGATTATTCCTAGAAACACTTTATCTAGGATAGAGACAGAAAGTTGTCATTCAGAAAGGAATAGGGGATGGTAAAAAAACTTTCTCTGTATTTGTTTTCCATTTTCAAGAAGATTAACCCTGAACATCTTTTGTATATTGATCTGCTAAAATTTGCATTGTGGTGGATTTGTACATCTCCAGATCCCTGATGCAGGGGGACAGGGCAGTCCTGATTTTAGGCCCTGGGTTCCTAAATGCATTAAAGGGACACTATAGTCACCAAAACAACTATAGCTTAATGAAGCAGTTTTGGTATACAGATCATGTCTCTGAAGTTTCACTGCTCAATTCTCTGTCATTTAGGAGTTAAATAATTTTTGTTTCTGTTTATGCAGTCCTAGCCACACCTCTGCTGGTTGTGATTCACACAGACTGCATGGAAAAAAAATGTTTTTACTTTCAATCAGGTGTAACGTACTTTAAAAGTTTTTATCTCCTGCTCTGTAAATTGAACTTTAATTACATACAGGAGGCTCCTCTTTTAATTTTTTGAAAGTTAATGTCAGAAAAATTCAAACAAGAAGTAGAGACAAAAAAAGGATAAAAGTAAATTATGTTGTTATGGTGCCAGTTGGAGCTCATTATCTCATTGGGTTAAACCGTTTGTTAATGGTTTAAAACCAAAGCATTGAATCCGCTCTATCCTTCTCCTTTTGCACTATAACCACTACAACACCATACCATTGTTATGGTACTTAGACTGCCTCATTAATTGATGAAAAGGTAATTAGCCACCTGGAAAGGCCTACATGTGTTGCTAGATATGTTGAGCTATCATCGTGACTCTCCCATAAGGGAAACAGATCTTGATTTTATCGATTACATGTAGTCTATGATAAATATATAAGGGGCCTCCTGCCCCATCTGGAACCTTTAGCTAGGCCTCAACACCAAGGAATCTAAAATAAGGAATATGTTATGTATGCTGCATTTACACAGATTGTGGTGCGACTACAGGCAAATTATTGCCCAAGATGGAGGAGCTTCATAGTCATGTGTCTCGCTCACGTGGCAGTCAGGCCCCCCAAGGTAGATGTATTGACAGGCACAATCTTTCATCACTTTACCATCCATTGCTTTTTCCATTTGTAATACCCACCTTTAAAGCATTGTATTTATATATTAATTACAGTTTTCTAAGATGTGGATGTGCTTGTTGTATTTCTGCCTAGGGGGAACCTGGGACATCACTGATAACAAGTATAAACAAATTTAGCCAAAACCTGGCGAAGGAGACCACCCAAGTATAAAGAAATCTTATTTTTTAAATTTATTGGAGACATTTCTCCCCATTTCAAATATTGGGATATTTTTGCTTTTGAGAAACAGTTCAATTTCCTGTCTGATCTAAAATCTTCCTGTGTAAGGATTGAATGTCTTTATTTTTCTTCTGTTAGTGCTACTTACCAAAGGGGTTTAAAAGCATTTAATATTAAGGATATTAATAGAAAATAGCAGAAGTTTAAATAAATGGTCTGTATATTGTTTTATTATTGTTTGAAAATATAAAATCTCTCATATCTCATATGTGCCATGTATGTATATGTATATAAATTTTGTCTTTATCTTGTCTCTATGTGCATAATCTAATTAACAATTATTATTCATGATTATTATTAAAGGAACACTCCAGACACAATAACAACTTAATTGAGATGACGTTGCCATGGTCCCTATAGTGTTCCTTTAATTATTCTTCTTTAAATTGATCTATAGAAAGGTGACAGTACCACTTTAAATATTCATTTCTAATTTTATTTTATTTTTCCCATTGTGTATATGGACCTTTTACCACTGTGTGGCAGTATTACTAGTCTATACTTTTCATAATCAACTAAGTAAATATTTTGACTAATGTGTACTTTGCCCAGCAGTTACCCTGTGTGCTACAATGAATATTAAAACAGGGAGGGAGGAGAGGGCTGACAACTATTCATCACAAATCTGCAGAATTTCGCCACGGTACACCTGTTACCAGGACAGCCAAGTCCTTGTACCTTCTACCTAGCAAATTCATAATAATAGCAATACATTCACTGCACACACCTATGGTTATTCTCGCAACAACATTTTTGTATTCCAAATGGTTTGTTATTTAAAAAATAAAATAAAACAATTTATTAATAAAGAAAATGCTCCAGCATTGACGGTTGTCTTTGTTGTAAATTAAATTCAGTTTCCTTAGACATATTGCATAACCCATACAGAGACAGTGATACTAGTTCATAAACGTTAACAGAGGTGATTGTGACAAGTATGTCAGTTCTGGAAGTGACAGTGTTGGGGGACTTTTTGCAGTTGTCAATCGTATTGGGATGCATTTTAGCAATTACCAACTCACATGTTCACTAAATGCAATTTAGTGGTAGCTGTTCCTCAAACCCCATCTGAAATCTTGGGGTCCCTTATAAAGCCACCGACAGGCCCCCCTCATTAACACATTCAGAGCATGGGGGTGCATAGCACATTTCCTTAGGGTGTTCACCTTGGAATTCTTTCCCTTTGTCACTTGTAATTTTATATCAGGTGAATATTTATTAAAGAGACACTCCAAGCACCATAACCACTACAACTCACCATAGTGCCAGGAGTTCCCTGACACTCCTTCCAGAGTAATTAGTCAAAGAGTTTAAGAACCATTTGACAACTTACCTTGGTCCCCAATTCCTCTCCTCATCTCCCTCCTCAGTCAGTCAGCTTTCTGCTTTCCTTTTTATCTTCCCTATGCGGTGTTAGTTGCATCCATCCTCTCTATCCCCAAGCTATAAGACTCCACTCCTCACTCTCCCATTGAAGTCTTACCACAATTCCTATGCAGTATTTCAAAGAGAATTAGCTGTTCTTCTCACACTGGCCAGCCTAAACACCATGGTTTCAGGGCATAGCAGCACACCAGACGGGTGACAAAGAGAGATGATTTAATGTAACATCACTGTTAATTCCATGTAGAGTAAGTAGCACAGCTAATTCACTATGAAAGACCTGGCCGTGGTCCATGGTAAGGCCAGAGCACCCAGCGCTGCTGCTTACAAGGGAGTCATCCAGGCTTCAGTCTGATAAGTGGCCTGCTCCAAAGCTGTCTGGCTAGGGGAGATATTAGGACCATATGGCATTGCAGCACCACACGTGGGCCCTGGTGCTTGGTCTTGTCTGATACCATGGTAATGACTGTTCCTCCTGATGTTAGCCCTGCTGCCAAGCTCAATGTTACCTTTAAGGTGTTTAGAGAAGAAAGCTGAATTGCAAAATTTAGACTAAAGTAACCCAGCTAGAAAATAATCAAAACTTAGCAGGAACATTTTAAAGGAAAAATATAGGGTCAGGAACAGAAACATGTATTCCTGACCCTTTAGTGTTAAAACCACCGTATAGCCCTCCCCCAATCCCCCCTTTGCCTCTCTCTGCCTAATTATAGTAAAATCTTACGTGTATTCAAGTCTGCAGCTGCTTCCTCTGAATGCCTGACATCATCAGAAGTGATTCTGTGAGCCAATCACAATGCTTTCCCATAGGATTGGCTGAGACAGTCAAGGAGGCCAATCAGGGGCAGAGCCAGCACAAGTCAAACACAGCCCTGGCCAATCAGCAGCTCCTCAAAGAGTTGAATTGAATCAATGAATGATGAAAGTTCAGTGTCTGCATGAAGAGGGTGGAGACACTCAATGGCAGCCCAAGGAAGCTTCTCTAGTAGCCATCTAAGGAGTGGCCAGTGGAGGTATCCCTAGACTGTAATGTAAACATTGTATTTTCTCAGAAAAGACGGTGTTTACAGCAAAAAGCCTGTAGAGAATGATTCTACTCACCAGAACAAATATGCTGTAGTTGTTCTGGTGACTATAGTGTCCCTTTAATCTGAATTTGCATTCATTTGGTTCCAATGTATTGCATTTCCCTTTCATGGATGAGCAGTAAGCCATGAATTGTCAGGATTTCAATATGACAAAATAGCCTCATGGTTCAACTACACCAGCCCAGCTATTTATTATAGTTTGTATATTTTGGCCCCAAATTTGCAGTTCTTATATTAGTTCCTGTTTTTTACGATAACCCTGTAAGTAACTGATTATTTCAATCTCTCAAGTTTCCAGTGTTGAGGATTGCAGCACAATAGAGAGGCAAACTTTGTTATTCCTGTATTTAATTATATTCCAGTAAGGTGGGAAACACTTAGCGGAATGAGGTATCAGTTCCGTCTTTATTCATTGGTCTTTCAGATTTGATTAAACCGAACAGATGCTATTGAGCTTTCTTAGCTTTGAAGTCAATGTGTAAAATAGCAGAGCTGTTTGATTTCCTTTTAGCTCAGTTTTGGTTAACATCCATAAGAACCAAGGTCTTCCCGAAGTTTGAGATTTTCTGCTTCATTAACTGTGTTTGTTACAGGGAGATTTTCAATTAACTTGTGTCTCGATGATTCTCTCAGTAACAGAACAAAACAACATGGATCCTGCCATGCATTACAAACCAATTTAATCCCTTTTCACACAAATAGTATTAAATATTCATTTATTGGAGACATTTCTCCCCATTTCAAATATTGGGATATTTTTGCTTTTGAGAAACAGTTCAATTTCCTGTCTGATCTAAAATCTTCCTGTGTAAGGATTGAATGTCTTTATTTTTCTTCTGTTAGTGCTACTTACCAAAGGGGTTTAAAAGCATTTAATATTAAGGATATTAATAGAAAATAGCAGAAGTTTAAATAAATGGTCTGTATATTATTGAGCCTGGAATCTCTACAGTTCAGAGAGAGCTGTTTATGGAAATTACAGAGAGAAATTAAAGGGACACTATAGTCACCAGAACAACTACAGATTAATGTAGTTGTTCTGGTAAGTATAATCATTCCATTCAGGCATTTTCATACAAACACTGCCTTTTCAGAGAAAAGGCAGTGTTTACATTGCCCCCTAGGTACACCTCCAGTGGCCATTTCTCGGACTGCCACTGGTGGTGCTTCCTGGAGCACTGCCGTTCAGCATCTCCATGCTGAAGTTTACTCATAGAAATGCAGAGGTACTGATTGGTCAAGCCTGCATTTGGCCCCGCCCCCATCCTGCCTCCTTGCTGATTTCAGCCAATACAATGTTTTGCCATAGGAAAAGCATTGGATTGGCTAAAAATCATAAATTCTGATAATGTTAGCAAGGAGGCAGATCATGGGCGGGGCCAACACCGGCGGAGCTGGAAATAAGGTGAGTTTTATTACTTTTTAAGGGGGCTAAAGGAGGGCAAGCCACCTAAATGGTGTTTTTAACACTATAGGGTCAGGAATACATGTTTGTGCTCCTTGCCCTACAGTGTTCCTTTAAGATCACAGCCTGACACATAGAGGTTTTCCCATTAAACAATGGAGTATGGAGAACTATGAAGGGAATTACAAATTATACGCTGTTATAGACAAGCAGTTTAATCTGTGTTGGAGATTTGTTTTACAGTTCAGCTGTAGTGAGATAAAATTTTCAATTTTTCAGGGGAGGGGCCTGGCTGCAATACAAGCAGGAAGTAGGCTGAGAGAGCTCCTCAACATGCATTTGATTTTAACAACTACATCAAGTAATCCTGTATATATTGGAACTATATCTGCTGCATGAGACTACTTAAGACTGAGACTGAGCACATCTTGGTTCGACACTCTCAGCTCTGTCAAGCTCGTACTGGGTCCTGAAACTACCTGCTGTTTGCTCGAGGGCAAGGGGCGCGGCCTATCTCTCGCCAAATTATTGACTCAATTGCTGCCTGGGTCACGTCCCCCCCTCTGGGCCAGTGGGGGGTTATCCCGGTCCCCGCTGGGTCAGTACTGCACCAACTTCCCCATACCAGCCGCCTGCCTTGCTAAATCTCTGCTGAGAAGCTGAATCGGGCCTAGAGCAAGATGGCTGCCAAGCACCTGCAAAACATGTGGCATTCGGCACCAAAAATCGTTGGCCCTTCTGGCGTGTCTCTCAAAATGTCAGAGAAACTTGAGGCAATCTTGGAGTTCTTCTGGGTGAAGCTTGAGCATCATGCACAGCAACTGACACCTGTGTTAGTCTGCTGGGGGAGCTCGGAGAGGATGTGGAGGCAGACTGAAGATACCCCAACCGAGCACAGCTACCATCATACTCACCTCTACTGTTGCAGTTTGCCCTCCTAGGCTGAGAGCCATTTGGGGTTTGACCCCCATACGCCACCACGTCAGCGAAGGACCGCTCGGCGCCTCAGAAAGCACCGACAGAGACCCTTCCGCAGAAGGACTTGGCCTCAGAGAGTCTGTGAAATTGTGGTGCTGGCTCTCAGACGGGCCTGGGGCTGCAGGGGTGCCTCACCTGGTCTCCTCTGCATGGCCTTCTCGGGGCTGAGTTTGGATACACATATTAAGCCCAGTGTTGGAATTGGCTGACTGTAATGCTTTCCCATGGGAGCTGACATACCTACCAGACACCGGGTCATGTTTTGCAGAAGCAGCTGTAGTTTCTTTATTTTGTATTAATTCTTGCTACTTTTACTTCTTTCTTATAGAAAAGCCTGATTGGTGCAGGTGGCCTCAGCGGTACAAGATACTGAATGCGCAGTCTGATTAGTACAGTGTAATATCCATTACTATAGTCACTCATACGGTCAGAATGTTTACTTGGATTTTCTCTGCATGCTTTAGCACATGTCTGACATAATAGTACTTGGGTTATACTTAGCATACTCCTGGACTAAGTTTATCCACTTACTTTCCTGATATTAATCGCTATGTCTAACTTGTTGTCTGTCTCTACCTGCTTAGTTTCAGCCAATGTTTGAGACACGTGTCTTACCTGAATCTATTCCACCATAATATTAGTGCTGTTATTTTGAAATGCCACACATCTCTCCTGATATGTATTTTGAACTGCCTGCTATAGCTATTGGGGCATTGTTTTTTCTTTTGTTTGTAATTATCTTTATGCACTTTAAAAATAATGAATAAAAAAAAAAAAATTGCAATTTTGTTCTCAACTTTCCCAAATTTTGGAAAAGAGCAAACTCCCTTTCAATCAAAAATGACATTCTGACTGACGTCTTAATGTTCAGGCAAAATCCATAAACTTTTTTTTTGCATATTTTACCTGCTTTACATGAGCATTTTACATTTGGTTTTGGGGAAGCTAAGAGTTCTTTATTAAATAACAATCCACCTTGTTTGCAGATTATTTGTTTTTATTAGGGTTTGATTGCTTTGCTTATTAAATTAAGATATTCTGGCATTTGGTTACATTTGGAGATTAGGCCTGAATTGCAATGCAGTGTCTGCTAAAAATATCCATGAGTTTGGAATGGAAATACAAGTAAATCAGGGGTTTCCTGGACACCAATTACCCAATGGGGAAACACAGAACGCACCCTATTTTTCTCCAACATGTATAACAGGATTGACCATAAGGTGACCTAAGGCGGCAGCCTATGGACCAGGGGTTGGACAGGGGTCGCAGAGCCATGAGTATACTTGGACAAGCTTGGCCCCATGCACTATCCCTAAATGAAGAGTGAAGGGGAGGGGGTGGGTGGAGGGGTGCTCCCTACATTGATTGCAAACCTTACAAAAGGAACTCAAGGAGCACTATAACCATGTATTAAGATCTCAATTCAATATTCCGAACAGGATTTAAAGTGTCTCTGTCACCCCAAACCTACCTTTCTCCTATTATTTCCTCTTATCTTCCTCTTTCAGAATGGGTTCTTCTTTTCTTCATTTATTATCTATTTCTCTTAGAATGAAGTAGTGACTGCTTTGTCTTATGTAGTTTTCCTACACCTGGCAATCTCAATAAGGAGAAACTTCACCCTTTGTTAGCGTGACAAAGGAAGAGCAGCTTGCTTCAAACTCCACCCTTTTATCACAATTGTCAGGTGTAGGAAAATGCATAAAAAAGAAGTCCCTACTTTGTCTTATATTTTTAAGAGAAATAGATCAGAATTTAAGAAAATAAGAACAGGTTATGAAAAAGGAAGACAAGAGAAAACAATCGGAGAAAGGTAAGTTTGATGTGACAGAGACACTTGAAATATTGGGTACCAGAGTCTTTTGATTGCTAACCTTGACTGCCCTGAAGTTTGTAAACTACATTTCCCATAATGCTCCCCCAGCCTTTAGAACATGAACAGGTGACCTTTCATGCTATGTGGGTATTGCATCACAAAGTTCAATGTTCCATTCATTGTAAGATGAAGCAAAAGGTTAATCTTCATGATGCATCAAATGAAAAATGTTTAAATATTAATGGCACCAGACTCTTTGTTTTGTCTGAACTCTAAATCTAGTTAATCTAGACTAATCTAGACTAATTAAAATCATTCAAGTGGAAAAAAATATCCAAAACATGCCAACAGTGCTAAAAAAGAACCGTTATTCATTATGAGTAAGTTGATAACTAGGTTCCAATTGTAAAACCAAAACAGTCTATTTTCAAAAACAAACAACAGGTGCAGGGGAGATGTGAACTGGTGGCACAGATCATCCTCCAACTTTCCCTAACAAGTGTGTGCTCATACAGGGTGTAACTGTCGTCCTCAGAACCCACTAAATTCGAGCTTCAAGATGGAGCAGGAGCAGGGAGATCTGTGCAGCCAAGGACTCAAATCTACAATTACCTGATGCTAGAAACTTCAGACCAAATTTTCATGTTTTCTAGAAAGGCTAGTGTATTGCATCCTTCTTGTTCTGCTCCTACCCCATTCCTCTGTAATAAACACAATGCCTAGATCTGAAGGAACCTGGAGTCCAGAGCAGCAGGTGTATCGGGGTTTACCTATCTCTTTCTATGATGCACAACAATAACACATTAAGCGCTAGTTTCATGAACATCAAACTATATTTTGTTATTTGTAGATAGAGTGTCTGCTTTGAATTGGTTCGATCCATACTTGGTCTGATAGGTGACATTGTCTTCCCTACAAAATGCCTGTAACAATATTTTGACCATGCTAATAAATAGTTGCCCATGATCTCAGCACGCTCCGGTTTTTGCTGCTTGATAGGCGGCTATCATATTCATTGCTCCTTTTGACAGGACGCCATGTTGGAGAAGCTGAGCCTGGCGCTCGCGGCTTTCCTCAAGTTCCTTCCAATGGCTGTCTTCGAAATTGTTCTGTAAAACAAGGTAACATTAGATCCATGTTTCATTGACATACCATAACATGTTGGTGTCACGGAAATGCGAAAACGTTCACCTACACTAAGGAAGACATCGTTAGTACCAGATATTTTTTGCCTGCATTCTAAATCTAGTTGTTTTCTTTTATTTTACTCCAAACTATTTAAAAATCACTCACATGAGAAAAAAATTAGACAAACACAAACAAACATAAAAGCGATCTAAAGGAGATATTTATCCAAATTATCTTTTTCTCAGATTCTATTTTCTTTTTTTTCTTTTTTTTCTTTTTTTTTTGTCAATCTCTTTTTATTGAGGCAGTTGATAAATATAGTGAAAGGCCTGGATGCTTTTTTTGGTGGTACTCAAAAAATTTGAATATTGTGCAAAAGTTCATTTATTTCAGTAATGCAACGTAAAAGGGGAAACTAATATATGAGATAGATGCATTACATGCAAAGCAAAATAGTTCAAGTCGTGATTTGTCATAAGTGCGATGATTAAGGCTTACAGCTCATGAAAACCCCAAATCCACAATCTGAGTAAATTACAATATTACATGCAATCAATAAAACAAGGAGTGTACATAGAACAATATCGGACCTCTGGAAAGTATAAGCTTGCATATGGACTCAGTACTTGGTTTGGGCCCCTTTTGCAGCAATTACTGCCTCAATGCGGCGTGGCATGGAAGCTATCAGCCGGTGGTACTGCTGAGGTGTTATGGAAGACCAGGATGCTTCAATAGCGGCCTTCAGCTCTTCTGCATTGTTCGGTCTCGTGTCTCATCTTTCTCTTGGCAATGCCCCATAGATTCTCTATGGGGTTCAGGTCAGGCGAGTTTGCTGGCCAATCAAGCACAGTAATCCCATGACCATTGAACCCGGCTTTGGTGCTTTTGGCAGTGTGGGCAGGTGCCAAGTCTTTCTGGAAAATGAAGTCAGCATCCCCATAAAGCTCGTCTGCAGAAGGAAGCATGAAGTGCTCCAAAATCTCCTGGTAGATGGCTGCGTTGACTCTGGACTTAATGAAGCACAGTGGACCAACACCAGCAGATGACATGGCTCCCCAAATCAACACAGACTGTGGAAACTTCACACTGGACTTCAAGCATCTTGCAGTGTGTGCCTCTCCATTCTTCCTCCAGACTCTGGGTCCTTGGTTTCCAAATGAGATGCAAAAGTTGCTCTCATCAGAAAAGAGGACTTTGGACCACTGAGTAACAGACCAGGTTTGTTTTTCTGTAGCCCAGGTAAGACGCTTCTGACGTTCTTTGTTGTTCAGGAGCGGCTTGACAAGAGGAATACGACATCTGAAGCCCATGTCCAGGATCCGTCTGTGTGTGGGGGCTCTTGATGCACTGATTCCAGCCTCAGTCCACTCCTTGTAAAAGTCCACAACTGTCACGTATTCATCCGCTTATAAAAATGTGGTTAATGGCATTTACTGTCCACACAGGAAAAGTTGTGCCGAGCAGCAACCAAATCCACAGAAGGGTTAATGCTGATCAGCAATTATGCAAATGGGAACCTGGTAACTGCCTTTGGGGTCAAAGACCGGTTACAGCCTATCAGATGTAGAGAAGGGGTATTTAGGCTCAGTTCTCATCCTGTTCAGTGCCCTGTCGTGGTTTCTCTTGTGGTTGTCCGAGAGTGCGTTCTTGATTCAAGTTTCTTCTGGTTTTTGATTTTGGCTTTGATTTTGACTTCCCTGTATTCTGTATCCCTGACTTCTGGCTTTCTCTTATCGTTTGTGCCTCTTTCTGTATCCCCTGACCTCGGCAAGTATCCTGACTATTCTTTGGTACGTTAAGTCCGGCCGTTCTAAGGCCCAGTAATTTGTTACCTATTAGTCATCTGTGTGACACAATTCTACGTGCTGGATCAACTAGTAATCCTGACACCAACACGTTTGAATGGCCTTTTCCTGACAATCCTCTCTAGGCTGCGGTCATCCCTGCTTCTTGTGCACCTTTTTCTTCCACACTTTTGCCTTCCACATAACTTTTTATTAATGTGCTTTGAGAACATCCAACTTCCTTTGCAATCACCTTTTGAGGCTTTCCCTCCTTATAGAGGGTGTCAATGAAGGTTTTCTGCACAACTGTCAGGTCAGCAGTCTTCCCCATGATTGTGATTCCTACTGAACCAGACTGAGAGACCATTTAAAGGCTCAGAAACCCTTTGCAGGGGTTATGGCTTACTTAGCTGATTAGAGTGGGACACTGTAAGCCTAGAATATTGCACCTTTTCACAATATTCTAATTTACTGAGATTGTGGATTTGGGGTTTTCATGAGCTGTAAGCCATAATCATTGCACTTATGACAAATCACAGCTTGAACTATCTTGCTTTGCATGTAATGCATCTATCTCATATATTAGTTTCCCCTTTTACGTTGCATTACTGAAATAAATGAAGTTTTGCACGATATATTCAAATTTTTTGAGTATCAGCTGTAATTAATGATAGAGTATGAATAGGACATACTTGAAATCAAGAGAACTCTCAATATATTGTTCCTGGTAAAATATTGTATAAATAAATACATGTTTGTATGAAAAGGTTGTTGTTCCAAGTATAAATCTGGTTGACAATATGGAGTCAACGATTTTTCTCCTTTTCTGGCAAACTAAAAATTGCTTCAGTTGGATAAACAGCATAAAGGAATAGGGTTTAAATGTTGAACATGATGGACTTGAGTCTTTTTTCAACTTAAATACTATGTAAATCACTAAATAAACTTAATAATAAGTCACACAACGCAATTTTTCTCTAGTGATTACAGCAGTTCCTAGAGGATGTAAATAAAATATAAAGAGTAATAGTGTAGTATTTTTCAGGTATTTAGTTTATTGCCCGTCCCCCTTAGTTTACAGATAGACCCCACATTCCACTCATTATTATTTAGGGCTCCTACTCACCGATTTAGTTTATAAACCCCACTTGCGGGGCCCTTTATTGGATTGCTGCTTACTGTTTACTCACTGTATAGCGACTGATTTTAAACTCCCTTATTTACTAATACTAAGTAGTTGTTAGTTAGTATTAGTAAAGTTGTCTGAAAGACCAATTTTGATCGTTTAGCTTTATATTCGATAGCTCTCTAATTCTTGTAGGATGCCAATTATATTGCAATACCACAGGGTACCGAATGTTATTCCGAACTCAACATAATGAACGAATTTCGTCCAAAAACAAATGGACAAACTGTCGACATTCTGTTTGGATGAAATTCGGGGCATTTTGCCTGTGCCCTAGTCAGCATGGCAGGACGCTCGGACAGAGCAAAAGGAGGCAACAAAAGAATACTTGAAAGAGGACTTTTAAAGAGGACTTTTTAATTATTATTGTTTTTATTGATTTTGTTCTTAATAAATCCACTATTTTTTTTACTACATTCCTTTTAAGTCCCTCTTTTGGAAACCTCAGGAGAATCTTCCCAGGGGTAGTGTCATCCCCACTTAAAGTGACACCAAGCTTATATACCTAGAGCCGGGACCCACAGGCTCAGGACCAGGTGAGCAAACCATTTATCTGCATCATATTGTGTTTTTATTAAGCACGTTCTACACATTGGTCTGCTCTCTCTATCATTTTGTTTTGGAGAATTACCCCACACTGAAGGAGACGGGCGGTGCTACCCTTATAAGCACATTGGCCAACATACGGAGCCAGTGTTCTTATATACAGGCTCCTAGAAATGTGAGTGTTCAATTTACCTAATATAACTATTATTATCAAATTAACACTTTCCATACCGTCTACACTATATTGTATTCTTTTGTATCTTTTTAAACATGTACCTTACACTGCGCCATTGAATGGGATACCATTTGGTAAGCTGTACTTGTGTTAGGAGCGCTCCTCTTATTGGTATAAGTTTGTCTATAGCTTAAACCACACCAATAACTTCAACCGTATCTTGTGAAATAGAGGATATTTTCACATAAGTGTATTGAGCAGCCTACAAATCACTTCACTTGTCTTAAAGCACTGTATTATACACACTCCTCTGTAAAAGGAGGTTACCTTTGACTGGTATTAAAAGAATACGGAGGAGGGGTGAGTATTATGGGAAAATGTTCTTTGACACAAGAGTTCGTCTTACTTAAGATTCTTAAGAAAGTCAAGTGTAGAAAAAATACACATTAGTCCCTACTTTGTCTTATGTTTTTCATTAGAAATTGCTGGAAAATGAAAAAAGACAGACAGAGTAGGAAATAGGAAGACAAGAGGAAAGATTGAGAAGAGGTAAGTTTGGCATGACATTGCGGCTTTAAGGGTTATTCGCTGATTCATGGGATTGGGCAAGGCTTCCCTTGGCCAGCAGGTGGCGTCCTGTTCTGTAGGCTCAGTAAAAAATACTTAAATCTGGAGCCTCTAGCCCAAAGCCAGTAAATTCAAAGAATAATAATCATTAATCAAAGGGACAACTGGTGACCACCTCTGCACAGCTTTTTTTTACTAACCTTGGAGGATCTGCTAATATTCCGAGAGGGCGTTAACTTCAATGACTCGGTTTGCTTTTTGCGTTCTGTCACTTTCTCTTCTAGTTTCCTCTGCAGTTCTAAGACACGATCATCGTTTGCAATGATAGCTTTACTGAGCTGAGATTTTGTTTTCTTCTCTTCATTCCTGTTGGAAAAATAAAGGATGTAAATTGGTGTTCTATATACCCATTAAGAAGATTATATACTTCTCTGTTAATTAAAAAAGTAAGTGGCAGCATACAAATAGACTTTGTACGGTGTCAAGAATTATTCATTGTTACACTTAAAGCACAACTGTCACCAGAATTTTTTATTTTTGTTTTCTTTTTTATTATAAGAATCCTTGCAGCATGTAATGAAAATATGACATTTTTTAAAAATGAAGTATATGTAAAAACACCTGATAATCTGGCCCCTCCTTTCACAGAACACTAGATCCCTCTACCATGTTCATACACCTTTGGTCGGACTAAGGTAGAATCCAATCGTTAGGTTTTTTTTATCACTTCCTGCATAGAGCGGTGATGTCAGTAGCCATCGCCTTGCGTGGTCTTCTCATGGTATTGTCATATCTACTAAAACCAAAAGTGGTCAGAATTTAGTGAGTCTGACTTATTCTGTAACATTGGTTCAGATGAGGAAATCGCTGTTTGTCTGAACTCATCCGAACCAATCTACAGCACCAGAATCGCAAATTATAATTCACAAGTAAATGATTATTTGAAGAACAATACAAGGATTTTCCCATACAAGGATTTACTTCACTATATGCGGTTTCTTTCCGTCCAATACAAGGATGTACACCAGTTGAGATCTGCTCTGCTTTGATTTAATCCCTGGTGGGGTGAAAGCCTGAATCTTCACACGTTTGTGAGTTCTCTACCAACACCATATTCTTAACTTTACATAGCTATATTACGCTATGTTGTGTTTTTTATTGTTATTATAGGTTCACATCTGACCTACTCATCCTGGTCTACATTACCAGGTTGTTTTTGTATTGTTTATACGTATACTAGGTGTTTTCCCACCTATTTGTTGTGTTTATTATTATTTGAAGAACTACTGACAGTGCTGAAAATACCTCGGCACCATGGAAAAGTAAACAAAAACAAAGAAAATAGTAAAGAAAAATCCCATTGTGGGTCAATAAAACCCCTTTATTGTTACAATGAAGGTATCTTACCCCCACAGGACCCCATATGTTATCTGGCAGGTGGGGGCATCTTTACTAAACATTAATACTAGCAACTAGGCAGCTGGGCATACCTGTAGCGTTACTTACCTTAACCGGGGGCCGCGCGCGGTCCTGCGGCTGCACGAGCAGCGCGCGTCTCATCCGACTACTTTAGATGGAAGGCGGGCAGTGACCGCGTGAAGCGGTCACGTGTCCCGCCTGAAACTAAGAGCGCGCCGCGAGTCTCGGGCGCGCTCTTAAAGAGACAGTGGGAGCCTAATTGCCAAAAGGCTCCCATTGGCTCCTGTCATACCACACTCCCTGTACAATTACCTATAGGGGGTGTGGAAGTGACAGGAGCCAATCACTTTCGTTTAAAAGCTATTTAAACTTACCCTTTTCCCTTAGCTCGTTGCCCTATCGTGGTTTCTGTTTCAGTTCCCTTTAGCGCTTTTGGTGTTCAGTTGTGTTTTCTCGTATTGACTTTGGCTTCGTATTCTGACTTCGTTTTCGCTTTATCCTTATCTGTACTGTTTGCCGGCTTGCTGTTTTCCGTGTACCAGACCCCGGCTTGTCCTAGTTTACGCTGTCTCTCTGTACCCTTGACCTCGGTTTGTTCCTGGCTCTGTCTCCTCTCATATACGTCGAGTCCGGCCATTCTAAGGTCCGGTAGACGTATCTCTCCTCTGTATTTGCCTCTGTTTAGTTGGATCCTGCGTGTAGGGGTATATTCTCGTTACATTACGATAGGGCCATGGACCCCGCAGATTTAGCTCAACAGATGGCGTCCCATGAGGCAAGATTTGTAGAGCAGGATCACCGTATGGATCAGATAGCTCAGGCTCTCCAGACGCTCCTAGCTAGAACCATTCCAGCAGCCACACCTAACCCTCCTACGCCCCTTCTCCCTGAAGTATCTACTTTGCCTAATACTTCGGCCCATTTAACACCTCCTCCTAGGTATGGAGGGGACTCTAAGACTTGCAGAGGGTTTATTAATCAAATTGAATTCCACTTCGAAATGTATTCACGTTCATTTCCCACAGAGAGGTCTAAGGTTGGGTTCTTTATGCACCAACTTACCGATAAGGCACTTGAGTGGGCAAATCCTATTTGGGAAGCTAATGGACCTATGGTACATGATTTCAACAGTTTTCTTACGGCTTTTCGTAGAACTTTTGACATGATGAAAAGGTCAAAGAATGCCGCGAGAGCATTAATGAGAATTAAACAGGGTTCTAGGTCTGTGGCTGATTATGCTATTCAGTTTCGCACTCTTGCTTCGTAGGTAGATTGGACCAACAATGGGTTAACTACTGCCTTTATGGAAGGTTTGTCAGATACGATATTGGATGAGGTAGCAGCTAAGGAGCTTCCTATTGCCTTAGAGGACCTTATCGATTACCTCATTGATATTGATAATAGAATTCGTGACAGGCTCTATACCAAGAACAGGAATAGGCGTTTTGTTACACCCATTAACCCCAGAGTTAATATACCAGAGAGTGTTAAAGTGTCTGAGGAGGAACCTATGCAATTAGGGGTTGCCAAACTCTCTGATACTGAGAAATTACATAGGAGAAGGGAGGGACTCTGCCTATACTGTGGTAGGAGAGACCATATGGTAAAGGAATGTCCTTTACTCCGGAAAACTCTCTCACCTAAGACCTTATAGGGGACTGGCCTTGGGTGTGATATCTAAGTCTCCTAAATTGCCTCCTAACCGCTTGCTTCTCCCGGTTTCTTTATATATGGGAGAGATTTGTATAGTTGACAACATATATGCTCTGGTTGACTCTGGGGCAGCTGAAAATTTTATAGACTCTGGCTTTATAAAGAGAAACAACATTCCCATCAGAGAGAAGGAGATACCCTTGGCCGTTGAGGCCATAGATAGTAGACCATTAAGTTCTCCAGTTGTTACTCATGAGACTGTACCATTACACATGTACACAGGGGTTTTACACTATGAAACCATTCGATTCCAGGTCATCACCTCTCCCTCTTCACAGTTAGTATTAGGGTATCCATGGTTACGTGCTCACAATCCCATTTTTGACTGGGAGACAGGGCAAATAAAATCATGGAGTGAGACCTGCCACGAGTCTTGTACGTTGGAAGTCACACCTTTGAATTCTATTGAGGTACCTACCAGTCCTCCTTTGTCTACGGTTATACCCCCTCAGTATTTATCTCTAAAGACTGTTTTCGATAAAAGGGAGGCTGAGAAATTACCGCCTCACAGACCCTATGATTGCGCTATTGACTTGTTGCCTGGCACTATACCTCCAAAGGGCAGGGTGTACCCCTTATCGGTTCAAGAAAACCGTGTCATGGAGGAGTATATTAAGGAATCACTAGAAAAGGGGTTTATTAGGAGATCCTCTTCTCCAGCTGGAGCAGGGTTCTTCTTTGTATCGAAGAAAGAAGGTGATTTAAGACCGTGTATAGATTATAGAGGTCTAAACAAAATCACTATCAAAAATGCATACCCTATACCTTTAATTACAGAATTATTTGACAGGCTGAAACATGCCACTGTGTTCACTAAATTAGACCTTAGGAGTGCATACAATTTGATACGTATAAAGGAAAATCACGAATGGAAGACTGCATTCAACACTAGATCCGGTCATTACGAATATACTGTTATGCCATTTGGGCTTTGCAATGCCCCAGCAGTATTCCAAGAATTTATTAATGATGTCTTAAGAGATTTTATTCACACATTTGTTATCGTATACTTGGACGACATTTTAATATAAAACAAGGAAGTATAAGCGCTATTTGAGTATAAGATCTTAAAAATATATATAATCTAAACAGCTGCTAACCACCGTGAAAATCTTTTACAGAGTGATAGAGAATAGTAAGTGGTACCGGTGTAGCGCTTATGTGCAAAATTGAATATGAAGCGAAGTTTTACCCAATTTTCTTCTATGTTAGTCAATTATTTCTTGTTAACCTTAAGGTAAAACAGAGAAAAAATACACAACATAGTGCAGATTGTATATAAATATGTAAAAATTGTTTTAAAACAAAAGCCAAATGGCAACTCACAATTTTCTGAGCTATAAATCTAGCTCAGAATTTTGATGCTTTAGGATCCGTATAGGCGACCCTCTCCCTTCTTCTCCTTTCTTTAGTCCAGTCCTATATGGATACAGGAGGGGGTATATAGTGTAGTATAGTTGATGTTATTATGGGTGTGTAAAAGTAATAAATGAGGTACTCACAAACCCAGAGCCAGTCTATAGGCTCACTTCAGTGCGCATATGTGGTTTTAGGACCACACTCCTTCTTTATATTAGCAGGAAAAAAGCCGTAAGTGTATCAAAATGTATGTATATTTATTATTAAAAATTATACATTATAAAAAATTCTATTAGAAGTATATGTAAAAGATAAATAAATAAAACACTTATAAGGCTTAGTAGAGTCCAATAAAGTCCAAAAAAAAGGGAGTTTTCAGTGCTCACTTTTCTTTCCAGAACGCGTTTCGCCAGGTGGCTTCTTCAGCTGGTTAAATTCAGTGATGTATCCTTGGACTTCTTTTTCCTGCTTTAAATACCTTTCTTCCTGTGTGGAAACAGCTGTCTATGCTAGGATTTTCGCGGGTTTTTCTCCCTGCGTTCCAAGCCTCATTCTGGTTTCCTCCTGTTTCCTGTTTCTCGGCCGATACGTCACTTCCGGTTTCGGCGATTTTCATGGCTATGCGTTCCACGGTGCGTTCCACTGTGGTTATTACAGTCCAATGCAGTCTCTCTCAGTCATAAATATCCAAGATAGGTTAAAGGATATATAAGCAATTATTTCATTATTGAGGTAGCATATTCTTTTCACATTTCTTTGTTTTAGACGGACAGTTATTAAACAAACCTTATTTTTATGTAGTATTTTACTTTACACATTTTATATAATCATAAATTTATTTAAAGTAATTCTTAAGATTATACATAAATGGAGAGCAATTGTTTATCATTAAAAAGGTTAAATTTTTAAGCTTCATTTAGGTTAATTCTTCAAATTACACATTGGTAATGAATTAATTTCCATATTTGTAATATCACAGAGAGAGTTAAGGGGGTGAACTAGAAAATACGTATAGTTATAGAGAGATATGAGAGAAAGAAGTTATAGAAAGAGGTGTAATTACCATAAACCGATATTTTAAAAATTAATTCAAGCAAGAGATTACTATTAAAACAAAAATAAAAACTAGGACAAGAATAAATCTAAAAACAAATATAAATATAAAATAAAGAATAAAAATACATTATTTCTATCTTTATCTTTATCTCTATCCCTATTTTATGTCAGTGTAAGATCTTAATGTAATATTGAGATTAGAGAAGGAAATGGCACATTTCAAAGTCAACGTTTAGACCATTTGGAATCAGACTGTTTAGTTTGAATATCCATTCCATTTCCACTTTACTTAACTTTTGGTTAAAATCTCCTCCTCTCCAATCTTTGGTTACTTTTTTAATTCCCAAGAACATAGTGTCTTTTAATTCGCAGTCGTGATAATTTTTAAATCACGGAATGGAAATGGAATGGATATTCAAACTAAACAGTCTGATTCCAAATGGTCTAAACGTTGACTTTGAAATGTGCCATTTCCTTCTCTAATCTCAATATTACATTAAGATCTTACACTGACATAAAATAGGGATAGAGATAAAGATAAAGATAGAAATAATGTATTTTTATTCTTTATTTTATATTTATATTTGTTTTTAGATTTATTCTTGTCCTAGTTTTTATTTTTGTTTTAATAGTAATCTCTTGCTTGAATTAATTTTTAAAATATCGGTTTATGGTAATTACACCTCTTTCTATAACTTCTTTCTCTCATATCTCTCTATAACTATACGTATTTTCTAGTTCACCCCCTTAACTCTCTCTGTGATATTACAAATATGGAAATTAATTCATTACCAATGTGTAATTTGAAGAATTAACCTAAATGAAGCTTAAAAATTTAACCTTTTTAATGATAAACAATTGCTCTCCATTTATGTATAATCTTAAGAATTACTTTAAATAAATTTATGATTATATAAAATGTGTAAAGTAAAATACTACATAAAAATAAGGTTTGTTTAATAACTGTCCGTCTAAAACAAAGAAATGTGAAAAGAATATGCTACCTCAATAATGAAATAATTGCTTATATATCCTTTAACCTATCTTGGATATTTATGACTGAGAGAGACTGCATTGGACTGTAATAACCACAGTGGAACGCACCGTGGAACGCATAGCCATGAAAATCGCCGAAACCGGAAGTGACGTATCGGCCGAGAAACAGGAAACAGGAGGAAACCAGAATGAGGCTTGGAACGCAGGGAGAAAAACCCGCGAAAATCCTAGCATAGACAGCTGTTTCCACACAGGAAGAAAGGTATTTAAAGCAGGAAAAAGAAGTCCAAGGATACATCACTGAATTTAACCAGCTGAAGAAGCCACCTGGCGAAACGCGTTCTGGAAAGAAAAGTGAGCACTGAAAACTCCCTTTTTTTGGACTTTACTGGACTCTATTAAGCCTTATAAGTGTTTTATTTATTTATTTTTTACATATACTTCTAATAGAATTTTTTATAATGTGTAATAATTTTTAATAATAAATATACATACATTTTGATACACTTATGGCTTTTTTCCTGCTAATATAAAGAAGGAGTGTGGTCCTAAAACCACATATGCGCACTGAAGTGAGCCTATAGACTGGCTCTGGGTTTGTGAGTACCTCATTTATTACTTTTACATACCCATAATAACATCAACTATACTACACTATATACCCCCTCCTGTATCCATATAGGACTGGACTAAAGAAAGGAGAAGAAGGGAGAGGGTCGCCTATACGGATCCTAAAGCATCAAAATTCTGAGCTAGATTTATAGCTCAGAAAATTGTGAGTTGCCATTTGGCTTTTGTTTTAAATCAATTTTTACATATTTACATACAATCTGCACTATGTTGTGTATTTTTTCTCTGTTTTACCTTAAGGTTAACAAGAAATAATTGACTAACATAGAAGACATTTTAATATATTCTACAGATATACACACTCATCACAGACATGTTACGACAGTTTTGAAGACCCTTCTTGCTAATGGTCTTTATTGCAAGCTAGAAAAATGTCTGTTTGACCAAACCGAAGTCCAGTTCTTGGGGTATTTGATTTCCGCTAAAGGTTTTCGTATGGATCCCCAGAAGCTTGCTGCTGTAATAGAATGGCCTCTACCGCAAGGTCTGAAAGCTATTCAGCGTTTTCTTGGGTTCTCCAATTATTATAGACGTTTTATCAAAGGTTTCTCGTCCATTGTAGCACCTATTACCCGTATGACTAAAAAGGATGGCAATACTCGTGTTTGGTCTACCGAGGCACTTCAGGCTTTTGAATTTCTTAAAACTACGTTCGCCTCTGCACCTATTTTACAGCATCCTGTCCCCTCACTGCCCTATATTCTTGAAGTTGATGCTTCGGATATTGGGGTAGGTGCTGTCTTATCCCAAAGAGAGTCGCCTGAAAAGCCATTGCATCCATGCGGCTTCTTTTCTAAACAAATGTCCAAAGCAGAGAAAAATTATGATGTGGGTAATCGCGAACTCCTTGCTATTATTTTAGCACTTAAAGAGTGGAGACATTTGTTAGAAGGAACTAAGGATCCTATCCTCATTTTTACGGATCACAAGAACCTATCCTACCTTAGCGAAGCCAAAAGATTGTCTTCCAGGCAGGCTAGGTGGTCACTATTTTTGTCCCGTTTCAATTTTATTATCACCTATAGGCCAGGTGATCGCAACACTAAAGCAGACGCTCTGTCCAGACAGTTCGAAACTACTGACAAACAGGAGATTGATGTTACTCCTGTCATTCCCCCAGACAGGATAATAGCTACTACTATTTTGTCTATTTCCTCGTCCCTCTTGCAGGCCATACAAGCGAAACAAAGCATGGCACCTAGCGAGAGGCCTAATGATAAACTGTTCGTTGATGTTCCTGAGAGACGGGATATTATGTCATTATATCATGATACTAAGACTGCTGGACATCCTGGTATTTCCAAAACGGTGTCAGCTGTTTCTCGGTATTTTTGGTGGGATTCCTTACGAAAGGATGTCACTGACTATATAAGTGCTTGTACTACTTGTGCCTGTATGAAATCCTCCCGTAGAGTTCCTTGTGGGCTGTTGCATCCGTTACCCGTTCGAGAGACCTTGGTCTAACCTGTCCATGGATTTTATTGTTGAATTACCCCCTTCAAATGGTAACACAGTAATCCTGATGATAGTGGATCGGTTTTCCAAGATGGCTCACTTCGTGTCTCTTCACAAGTTGCCCACATCCAAGGAACTGGCTCATATCTTCGCTAGAGAAGTATTTCGATTACATGGGATTCCCGTATCTATTGTATCCGATAGGGGTAGCCAATTTATTTCCAGGTTCTGGAGGGCCTTTTGTTCAGAAATGGGTATTTCTCTCTCATTTTCTTCCGCTTATCATCCCCAGTCTAATGGGGCTGCTGAACGTGCCAACCAGTCTCTGGAGCAATACCTCCGTTGTTTTGTGTCTCACCATCAGGACAATTGGTCTGACCTGCTTCCTTGGGCTGAATTTGCTCGGAATAACGCCACTCATGATTCTTCCGGCAAGACCCCTTTTTACGTTGTCTATGGCCAGCATCCCGTTGTTCTTCCGGCTGCATTCTCCTCACAGGGCATGCCAGTTCTGGATGAGCATTTGGCTGGTTTGCGTAATACTTGGGAGCAGGTTCAGCGTTCTTTGGTGGACTCTGCTACTCGCCAGAAGGCTCAGGCTGACAAGCATCGCAGAGCAGCTCCGTCCTATGTTGTGGGGGACAGGGTTTTGCTTTCCACGCGGAATATTCGTCTCCGGGTGCCTTCTATGAAATTGGCTCCCCGCTTCATTGGACCTTATCGTATTATACATAAGGTTAATCCTGTTTCTTATGCCTTGGGCCTGCCTAAGAATCTACGTATTCCTAATGTTTTTCACACCTCATTGTTGAAACCTTTCGTACGCAACCGCTATACCCGACATACTCCTCCTCCCCCTCCTATCTCGGTGGAGGGTCATGAGGAGTTTGAAGTGTCTGCTGTTCTTGACTCTCGTTTCCTTAGGGGTCGACTTCAGTACTTGGTACATTGGAAGGGTTATGGGCCTGAGGAGCACAGTTGGATTTCGGCTGATGCTGTCCATGCTCCCCGTCTTGTGCGCTCTTTCCATTCTCGTTTTCCTGCCAGGCCTGGTCCTACCCGCCCGGGGGGCGTGTCCTCAGGGGGGGGTACTGTAGCGTTACTTACCTTAACCGGGGGCCGGTCGCGGTCCTCTCTTCAAGCCGCGCGCGGTCCTGCGGCTGCACGAGCCGCGCGCGGCTCATCCGACTGCTTTGGATGGAAGGCGGGCAGTGACCGCGTGAAGCGGTCACGTGTCCCGCCTGAAACTAAGAGCGCGCCGCGAGTCTCGGGCGCGCTCTTAAAGAGACAGTGGGAGCCTAATTGCCAAAAGGCTCCCATTGGCTCCTGTCATACCACACTCCCTGTACAATTACCTATAGGGGGTGTGGAAGTGACAGGAGCCAATCACTTTCGTTTAAAAGCTATTTAAACTTACCTTTTTCCCTTAGCTCGTTGCCCTATCGTGGTTTCTGTTTCAGTTCCCTTTAGCGCTTTTGGTGTTCAGTTGTGTTTTCTCGTATTGACTTTGGCTTCGTATTCTGACTTCGTTTTCGCTTTATCCTTATCTGTACTGTTTGCCGGCTTGCTGTTTTCCGTGTACCAGACCCGGCTTGTCCTAGTTTACGCTGTCTCTCTGTGCCCTTGACCTCGGTTTGTTCCTGGCTCTGTCTCCTCTCATATACGTCGAGTCCGGCCATTCTAAGGTCCGGTAGACGTATCTCTCCTCTGTATTTGCCTCTGTTTAGTTGGATCCTGCGTGTAGGGGTATATTCTCGTTACAATACCTTAATAATAATGGGGGGGAAGGGGTGGACAAAAAAAAATCTAAAACCTGTAAAAACAAATTATACTTGCCATCAGAAGTCTTCTTACTTCTAATTCTTCTTTTCTTCTGCCCCCCCAAAAATGGCCAAATAAAAAGGCTAGTGGCCAACCAATCACATCACTCGGACATGCCAAGTAACGAGAGAGGTGAGAGTGACTGAATTGGATAATTTTCCCGATTTATCTGTTGGGATTGAAATTTCCAAAATATCACATTTTAGTGATTAACCCTTCTAGTTTTTTTAAACAAAGGATAGTACTGGATAGGTATACATTTGATAAAGTAAGCTTTACTTTTACAAAAAGATTATTTATTATGGAAATATGACATTTGTCTCTAACCATAAGCAGTGTTCATTAAGTTCCCAGCGTTTCATTACTCTCTATATAACGTAGGTAATGGCAGTAATTTGGCAATGATAAGTGCTTCATAACTGATTATTTTTGTGTTGTCAAGATCGAAAAGACGATCTGTGTCAGATAGTGGCATCAAAACATTCCACATTTGACTTCAGACGTCAGCGTTCACCAAAGATGCCTAATGGAGCCAATTCCAGTTCTGCGTGGTCAGCATGTCTCTCAAGGCACCAAGTTCATTTTCTGCATTGTCTTTAGGGTCTCGTACCCCATAGTTAAATCCTTATCATTGGTTTCTCATGTTTGAAGAAAAGTAATTTTGACCACTGACTGACAGAACACATACAGCAGAATATTTTCTTCATACAATTGAAACATGTTTATTGCCAAGATAATGGAAGGGAATGGATAGTACTTATTCCTGCCCCATAATGTCACAGTTATTCCTCCCCTGCCTGACTCTGTTACAGTTACCCCCTGCCATCTACCCATTCTGTTATAGTTACCCCCTGCCATCTACCCATTCTGTTACAGTTACCTCCTGCCATCTTCCCATTCTGTTACAGTTACCCCTGCCATCTACCCATGCTGCCATCTTCCCATTCTGTTACAGTTACCCCCTGCCATCTTCCCATCCTGTTACAGTTACTTCCTGCCATCTTCCCATTCTGTTACAGTTACCCCCTGCCATCTACCCATTCTGTTATAGTTACCCTCTGCCATCTACCCATGCTGTTGCAGTTACCTCCTGCCATCTTCCCATTCTGTTACAGTTACCCCCTGCCACCTACCCATTCTGTTATAGTTACCCCCTGCCATCTACCCATTCTGTTACAGTTACCCCCATCTACCCATTCTGTTACAGTTAGCCCCTGCCATCTTCCCATTCTGTTACAGTTACCCCCTGCCATCTACCCATTCTGTTATAGTTACCCCTTGCCATCTACCCATTCTGTTACAGTTACCCCCATCTACCCATTCTGTTACAGTTAGCCCCTGCCATCTTCCCATTCTGTTACAGTTACCCCCTGCCATTTACCCATTCTGTTACAGTTACCCCTGCCATCTACCCATGCTGTTACAGTTACCTCCTGCCATCTTCCCATTCTGTTACAGTTACCCCCTGCCATCTACCCATTCTGTTATAGTTACCCCCGCCTTCTACCCATTCTGTTACAGTTACCCCCATCTACCCATTCTGTTACAGTTACTCCCTGCCATCTTCACATACTGTTACAGTTACTCTCTGCCATCTACCCATTCTGTTACAGTCACCCCTGCCATCTAAGCATACTGTTAGTTACCCCTGCCATCTACCCATGCTGTTACAGTTACCTCCTGCCATCTTCCCATTCTGTTACAGTTACCCCCTGCCATTTACCCATTCTTTTACAGTTACCCTGCCATCTACCCATTCTGTTACAGTTACCCCTGCCATCAAAGCATACTGTTACAGTTACCCCATGCCAACCAAGCATACTGTTACAGTTACCCCCTGCCATCTACCCATACTGTTACAGTTACCCCCTGCCATCTTCCCATGCTGTTACACTTATCCTCTTCCCATCCCGTCACAGCTAACCTCAGACTTTCCCCATCCATCTATATTCCAGTTACAATCTTCCCTCATTTTGTCACAGTTTCAAGACGTCTAACCCTCATAGAGTACTTTCCAAGTTTACTCTTGCAACTTTGACATATAAAGAACAGAAAACTACAGCACCCCATGTGCTGCAGAGTCCAGCTCACATAATGCTCAGCCACCTTGAGCTGGACAAACATCGTTTTACGCTCACAGCATCTTGAGCAGTTGCCCATCCCTGGTACCGGCATAAATTATTTCTAACACTTTGCCTTTCTACTAAATGGAAGTGTTCACAGCTGTGCAATGTAAATAAGGCATCTCTGCTTCCTAACCTGTATGTATTAGTGCAGATGCACTGGGTCTGCATGTAAATTTGATGTCTAGAAAATTAGCTAATTATGTGCCATCGCTGGATAAATCAGATAATATGCTGGGTTATTTATTTATTTTACACGTTCTATACGCAGACTGGATACCTGAACATGTACAGTACTGCCAAACAGGAGCATTGAACAATGACTTATTTTAACTCACAAATTCTATGAGGGAAAATGAATCTGAACCCCTGGGAGCACGCAGTGTATCCAATACAGAAAGATGCAGGGGGCTTGTGAAAGGTTAAGGTAAACTGTAAAGCTTTTATTAGATCGTTGTTTGTCCCATTTATTCTGCTCAATAGGCAGCAGCGATATTTTCTGGTTAGTGGCGTCTATTGAGATAGACCGGAAATGGCAAAGAATTGACCAGAGAATTGCAACTTTTAGGCAACAACCACATACGTGGAAAGTGGGACACTGGTGGGAGGAGTATAAATGGTGGGCCAGTGATGTCACTGGCAGCAACAAAAGGTGGTGGACACGCCCAGAAAGTGGGATTATCCATCCAAAGTATTGGTAAATCAGCCTTGTGTGTACCAGTCAAGCAGGCTGACCAACTAAATGTCACGATTCGGGGAACCCAACACGCTGGCACACACACACACACACAAAAGGTGCCGTACCGGACCTTAGAATGGCCGGGCTAAGCACACACAGAATAGTCAGGAGACAAGCCGAGTAAAGGGGAACCAGAAGACAGAATAACGTGAAACGAGCCGAGGTCAAAGGGTAGGAGAAAGTCACAGAGTCAGATAAACAAGCCAGAGAGTACGTAACCAGAAGCACAAGGTAAGTAGCAATACTAGCAAGCAAAGACCACAACAGGGCAGGGAGGAACAGGAAAGGTAAGTATTTAAACCATCAGGTTAATTCTGATTGGATAATTTCCAATCAGAATTAACAATCACACGTGGGAGATATTTAGACCTCCCACTGTGATTGAGGCACTGTGCCTTTAACGCCGGGTCAGGTGACTGACCCCGGCGTGTATAAACCTGGGCGGTCTCCCAGCGTGCAGCGTCATGCATGCTGCCGCTGGGGGACGTGGAGGGAACGGCGGGCGGCATCCGAGGCTGGAAGGATGCCGCTCGCCGTACCCACGAGGCGGAGGGGTGTCCGCGGACGGCTGGAGGGTGAGTACTGCGAGCGGAGTGCAGCCTCCCCTCGCAGCCGCCCGCGGGAGCCTGACACTAAGGGCAGACCATGCATGGTGCGCTCGCTGTTTGAGCTCTTTCTACATGGTTGCACTGCCCTGAGTGTAGTGCGAGCATGATGTGCCCTTTTTGGGGACAGTTCCTTGGTGTCCCCAAAAGTGGAATAGCAGGGAACAAAATTGAGAGGAAGGACAGAAGCCTGGAATTGGGCCTGTCCCACAAAAAGCAGGAAGGTTGGGAGATCGGCAACAATCAAGCTGCGAAATTGTTACGATTTTACAGCTTTTTTCCCCTAAAATGTCTAATTCCATGGTATATTGACTACAATGCCTGTCTTGGTTTAGACACCCCCAATATCCATCCCTCCCAGTCATCTTACAATTATTCAACACAAATGGTCACTATTTGGAGAAAATTCTATATGAACACACTTCTCTTTTTATGGATTATCTTGTCTCCACATTTCCACATTAGCCTGACTAAGGTAGCAGGGTTTGAAACACTTTTTTGGGGGGCAAAACTAAAATGGCTTATACGTTGGGAAGAATACAGTATGAATATGTACTTAAATTGCATTGGAACCTTGAGTGTTTCTTTAACCCCTTAAGGACACATGACATGTCTGACATGTCATGATTCCCTTTTATTCCAGAAGTTTGGTCCTTAAGGAGTTAAAACTGTCTACGTTTATTATTTCCTCCTCTATAGGCTAAACTAAGTGGACCTCCTTTGGAGCACTGTGATTGGCTGGAATCTCATTTAATATATTTAGAATGCTAAACCTTGCATACCTAGTTATAATGTATCACCTCTCCATTATTTTAGTGCATCAAGCCTTATCCATTTCCTGATATTTTCCTGATCTATCCCAGTTTCCACATTGTTTCTTCCATTGCATGAAAGTAAGAGTTGCAGGTAGAACCTGTTTTACACATTACCCTTCAGGTCACGTAATGTGATTTAATGAGTTAGGGTGGCAGGTTTTACTTCTGAAACCTCTTATTTGGAATCATACAACATCATCAAGAAGATTAAACTGAACATAAAAGGGCCAGGATGATGTTTTGAAGCTTAGAAACCTTTTTCTTTGTGTAATACTCCTTCATGCCAATGAAGAGTTTAATTAGTTCCTAGCCATAACTTAGAAGATTATTAACATTAGTGTGATACCCTAGTGACTTCCTAGATTTGTTGAACAATGCGACTCATCATGATGAATTTCACGCTTCATTGATATTGTAACAAATTGGTGGAATGTGTTATTTTAGAAAAGCCCTACAAGAGATTAGTAATTCAGTTCTCATAGGACAAAACACAGAAAAACATTTTTCTGTGCTTTCTTGAATTTAGACTGTTATTGAAGGAAGTATCGGTTTTAAAGGATATTTAGAGGACAAGAGTTCTGCACGTGATGCTGTATGAATGTTTGGATGTAAATTCCTAAAATGAGTTTTTGTGTTTGTTTGTGTTTATTGTCTAAGTAACCTGAGTTGTTTTTGACTAACAAAACAGATACAATATCCATTATATACAAATCAGTAAAATAAATCTAAAATGGGCATCATGACATTTTACAAGATGCCAGATGCATGGTCATTGTACAAACTGTAAATCCACTTGTACCACTAATTTCTGGAAAGCACATTTTATTTTTGGTAAATGGTAAATTTCTAACAAGTCTGGCTCTCTCACAGTTCTTATAAGGCAGAGTAAAACAGTACGTGCATGAGAGCCCTGATCAGCTGGCTGCTTCTCATTCATTAAAAAAGGGAACGAGACGCAAGTAAATGGTAATATGTCCTAAAATCAGTGACCATCATAGTAGGGAGAGCTCAACCATGTCCTGCTTTCCTTAGCTATCACTACGGGTTTCCATTGAATTAGGGGCATTTAAAGTAAAATATCTTATTGTTGGGGTCGGGAGGAGTGTGTCCCTTTACTCTGACAAAATGTTGAAAAATAACCCAGATTGTTTGTTACAGGTGAGATGGACAATTGATAATTTCTAGCTGTGTTTGGCTATTACTCTCTTTAACAATGTCTTACTGTTCAAGGTGTAAACCCACTGGCAGAGTTAGGATAAGCATAATGAAATGCGTTGGCCCATATGTTTACATAGACTTAATAGACAATATGAGTCACTAGTGAGGATTTGGGTGCAAAGCAGCTACATTCAGGGTCACTAGCCATGGTACGGCTAGGCAGAACACATTCATAGGCAAACTCACCAGCTGGGCTCATACTCCAAAACTAAGAACATGGAAACGAATAAATGGCAAAATAATGGCGTGTGTGTGAAGTTGGATGGCAATAAAGTGCCATTTTTAGGCATAATGAAGTGTTATATATCCCTGAAATAGAGTTAGAGAAATCCATACATTTCAGTGTGTTGGGGTTTTCTAAGAGAACGGCATCCAATGTGTTGAGTATGGCATTGTTAATAGAAGTAAGCTACTGACCTGTTTAGGTTTTACAGAAATACTGAAAATCCATTACCAGCACATCAAGCAAAAATGACATCATATTACAGCCTCTGTGACCAACAAGGGATAAAGATCGTGCTCTGACGTTACAAGGGTAAGCAAGGAGATTCACTGAAAAGAGGTGTTAACTTATATATATTCATTACAAAATAATACACAACATTACATTAGATGTACTCTCTTATTTTCAGTTTTGATATTCCATGGATGCTCTTGGGTGACTGAAAAGTGCTAGGGACTAATGAAAGTATTTAGAAAATTGGGCAGACTAGATGGGCCGAATGGTTCTTATCTGCCGTCACATTCTATGTTTCTATGTTTAAGTTGGCCGCACTGCTATTTTTAATCTGTGATTCAATAAAACCATTATGCTTTTGTACAGGGCACGGAAGAATAAATGCTAGTTAAAGCATGTTATTCTGCATTTTATGCTGTTAGATTTATGACAGGTCACTCATTTCAGGAATGCAGACAATTTAAGCATCAGCTTGAATTACTTTCCTGGGCTTACTGATCTAGAATCCCGGCATGTTTGCAGTAATTTGGTCTCCAGCAGAGCACGTTGTGGCTGTCTTTCATATGATCACTACATGCGGATGATGCCTGATCCTATCCCTAAGTATATTGGATCTGCAATACATTTTCATAGATTGCAACATAAAACAGAACAGGCAAAAACTCAGAGAACAGGCAAAAACTCAGAGAACAGGCAAAAACTCAGAGAAACCTCAGTAGGTTGCCCTAGAGTTAGTCCACACTCAAAAATGTTTTTGCTCACTTGAGCCATTACAAAGTAAATCTATACCATTTGCAGATCAGACTCATGCAGCCCATGAGGACAATCCAGATCTGAAATGCTAACAAGTCTGGCCTTCATTGGGCCTCGTCATGGAGGTGTAGCTTATACCTTTTAGGCACAGAGAACATGAGGTCCACGTACAGATTACCTTTTTAACTTGGGAAGAGCCTAAGTAAATGCAACATGAGAACTCTGAGAATGGGCAAAAAAGCTTGCCCTTCTGTTAGTCCTTGCTTAGGTCTCAAAAAAGTGTTTTTTGATAACTTGTGCCATTATAGTGAGAACCGATAGCATTTGCATAAAAGACTTGTCCCGCCTATAGGGGCAGTCCAGATCTGAAATGCTGGTAAGTCCCCTCTGCACAAAAGATATAGCAGACCTGGACTATTATTTCGGCCTTCCTTGGGCCACGTTAGCGAGGTATAACTGATACCCCTCAAGACGCAGTGAGCACGGGGAGTTCATCTATGGATTACCATTTTAGCTTAGGGAGAGCCTAGGTAAATACATTGCAAAAAAAAACTAAACGGCACACTCCACTACCCAAATATAATTTTTTAAAAAGACAACAACCTCTCCCACACACCTTTTAGTAAATATAACACTATAGAAAGCATCCATGCATTTAATTATGCACTTTTTTCATTGGGGGTATATATACACACAGCTTGTAAAAGCTGCAGATTTGCTGTCTGCAGCCTTTTCAAGACTTTCCCTGGCTGTCCAGTTACAGACTGCCCAATGCAGCTCAATGAGAATTATTTGGTGCTCTTGGCCATTGTCTGCATTTTGAGTTTAGCTCCACTGAGCTAATCAAGTAACAGGTCCTGTTGTCTGATTGACAACCACGGAGGTACAACAAGGTTCATTTATAAAAGTGTCAGTTTTTATTGAAATCTGCACTTTTTGTAAAATGAAAAATAGAGGACACACTCTTTACACTTAAGAGTATTTCGGCAAGATAAAGTGCTTTAGGTGTTTGGAGAAATTAAAGTGATACACACTCCAAGGGTTAAGTAAACCCACCGTATGGAGAACATTACAAGAAGAATACAATGTTCACAGTGTTATTCCCAAAACTCCAAATTGTAGCTAAGTAAAATCTCAATGGTGAAACAGAGGAATAAAAAGCTGATCAAGAAAATGTCTCCAACTCATCGCTAGGCAAAACTTGGCTATTTTAGCCTCATCTTTGTCATTCGGATCTTAATTTCCTCCAATGCCGAGTTTAGGGAATAACCTTGAAAATGTTATACCAACAGAAGTCTGTCTTCATTAGGTTTTACTGCCGCTGTCTCATGTTGTTTTAAACTCAGACAGATAATGCCCGCGTATAGATATCGCCACTGAAGCACAAATCATGCAGCGCATGCTGCTATTACTAACTTCAATATAGAAGCTTTTCCCATGGCGGCTCTGTGAAATGAGATCTGCTCCAGAGTGTCCAGGAGATGCTGTTGCTTTGCCTGCTTTTCATTGAGGATCTGGTCCCGTTTATCTTCCTCTGCCTTGCTCTGTGTATCCTTCGCTATTGCTAAGCGCTCGTACAGCTCCACCAGAGACATCTCACAGTTCAATCCATGTCCAGCAGTCTGTGCAAAACAAATCAAGAGAATGAGAAAAGACAGACTTAAAGCAGGTAGCAGACATTGCCAAGGATAGCTGGAGAGCAGGGATCGGAAACCATGCGAATCACTGCGGTTTGTGAATTAAGGCTAGCTTTAGAGAAAGTTAGAAAGTTTTTTGCCAGGATCAATAGATTATCATGACGGACAAGTAGATTGGGCTACTGCTTTAGTCTTGTGGTCAAGACAATTTTATTTTTTTTAAAAGTCACGCCTCTGTCACTGTCTCTGGAACAATAGGCAGGCTGGAACGGTAGGACATTTTCAGTGTCTCAGATTTTAATTTGCTACAAGTGAGAGTTTAGTGATTAACCCTGTCAGTGATTAAAGAATGGGCGGTCAAATGTGGTGTGAGATTTCAAGCTATGTTAAGCTTTTCAACAGCAATATCGGATATTATGGGTAACCCATGTGTGCCAGGATTTAAGTTTTGGCCACTAGGAAAAACAGTTAATGGCTACTTCCAACTTAGTTATAAATGGAGAATGTTAAATTAGAAATGTACAGGGTCCTGATGGGTCAGAATGTATGATAGAGGTTGTACTGAATTATTACAGAGAAAGAGAGCAGTTATTTCTACAAGGCCAAGGCAAAACCGAACAACAAAACTGGATAAAGGACAAATTAGATTGCATATTTGCAGATAGTGATTAAAAATTGGATCAAAAAGACAGAGCACAGATATGTTCAAATGTAGGTTCAAGACTGTTACAAAATGTATATTTAGTAGAGTTAGTCAACAGTCATCCATATCACACCAGCAGAGTAAGCCAGGAAAAGGACATTTTAATAATATGAAAAATGAGAACAATGGAAATTAAGGATGGCAGGATGAAGCACAGATTTTAGAAAAAGCAATGACAATCATACAGCCCATTAAAGAGCACTATTCCAGGATGAGACGGACATTCAAGCAGACAGACAGACAGATAAATAGACAGACAGATAGACTCACTTCTGTTAAGTCCACAAACTTATGTGTAATGATTGGTATAGATTCAATAGCTCGTATCTCACGAATCAACTCAAATTTCTTCTTTAGTTCCTCTTCTGCTTCCTCCAAAGCTTGACGTAGAAGCTCCCGGCTCTCCTCTGTCACTTCTTGCACTGAAAAAGTGACCATTATATGTGCTTATTCATTTGTTTGCAAGGCATCATAAGACAGACAGTCTGAAACAGCTAAAACACCACAAAAGCAGTTGTGTGCTGTGTGACTGAGTATAGTGGGCATGTTAGTCCATTATAGTGACCCTTTATCAACCAACATACAGGCAATGCAAGGCTTGACTAATTTTGTATTGTCCGTATGCTGGTGCACCAACTAAGGTAGGCATGATGTATGCTGGCCCTAAACAAGCTCGTACATATAGGCGTGTGTACCCAAAACAAACTATTATCTATACTTTACCTAAAATATGCTAATTTAGAAAATATTCTTTTTTTTAATTTAATGTAATTCAGCGTAAAAGGGGAAACTAATATATTAGATAGACGCATTACATGCAAAGCAAGATAGTTCAAGCCGTGCTTTGTCATAACTGCGATGATTATGGTTTACAGCTCATGAAAACCCCAAATCCACAATCTCAGTAAATTACAATATTACATGCAATCAATAAAACAAGGAGTGTACATAGAACAATATCGGACCTCTGAAAAGTATAAGCATGCATTGGACTCAGTACTTGGTTTGGGCCCCTTTTGCAGCAATTACTGCCTCAATGTGGCGTAGCATGGAAGCTATCAGCCTGTGGCACTGCTGAGGTGTTATGGAAGACCAGGATGCTTCAATAGCGGCCTTCAGCTCTTCTGCATTGTTCGGTCTCATGTCTCATCTTTCTCTTGGCAATGCCCCATAGATTCTCTATTGGGTTCAGGTCAGGCGAGTTTGCTGGCCAATCAAGCACAGTAATCCCACGGTCATTGAACCCGGCTTTGGTGCTTTTGGCAGTGTGGGCAGGTGCCAAGTCCTGCTGGAAAATGAAGTCAGCATCCCCATAAAGCTCTTCTACGGAAGGAAGCATGAAGTGCTCCAAAATCTCCTGCTAGACGATTGCGTTGACCCTGGAGTTAATAAAGCACAGTGGACCAATACCAGCAGATGACATGGCTCCCCAAATCAACACAGACTGTGGAAACTTCACACTGGACTTCAAGCATCTTGCAGTGTGTGCCTCTCCATTCTTCCTCCAGACTCTGGATCCTTGGTTTCCAAATGAGATGCAAAAGTTGCTCTCATCAGAAAAGAGGACTTTGGACCACTGAGCAACAGACCAGGTCTGTTTTTCTCTAGCCCAGGTAAGACGCTTCTGACATCGTTTGTTGTTCAGGAGCGGCTTGACAAGAGGAATACGACATCTGAAGCCTATGTCCAGGATCAATCTGTGTGTGGGGGCTCTTGATGCACTTGATGAACTGACTCCAGCCTCAGTCCACTCCTTGTGAAAGTCCCCAACACATTTGGATGGCCTTTTCCCGACAATCCTCTCCAGGCTGCGCTCATCTCTGCTGCTTGTGCACCTTTTTCTTCCACACTTTTCCCTTCCACATAACTTTCTATTAATGTGCTTTGATACAGCACTTTGGGAACATCCAACTTTCGCCTTCGCAATTACCTTTTGAGGCTTTCCTTCCTTATGGAGGGTGTCAGTGATGGTTTTCTGCACAACTGTCAGGTCAGCAGTCTTCCCCATGATTGTGATTCCTACTGAACCAGACTGAGAGACCATTTAAAAGCTCAGAAACCCTTTGCAGGTGTTATGGTGTCAGGTGCTATGATAGAAATTAAAAGTGTATATAAACAGAGCAGACTCCATTTTGTTATTTTCAAGCTAACAAAAGACACAAGATTTCTATCTGTAAAACTAACCACTTTTCAGAAGTGCAATGAGTAAAGGATTTTTATTTTTTTGTCCTGCCTGCAGAGGTAAAACAGGGTATATGCTTTGCCAGCTAGAGCATATTACTTATGCAGTATTTAAAGGGCCACTATAGTCACCAAAACAACTTTAGCTTAATGAAGCAGGTTTGGTGTATAGATAATGCCAATGCAGTCTCACTGTTCAATTCTCTGCCACTTAGGAGTTGCATTTGTTTATTCAGCCCTAGTCACTGCTCCCTGCATGTAATGTGCACAGCCTTCCTAACACTTCCGGAAATGTGAGATCTAATGTTTACACTTCATTTATGGGCACATTTTGTTCAATTTAGAATTTCTTATCCCTGCACGGTTAATAGCTTGCTAAACCTTGCAGGAGCTTCCCTCCCTCACCCCTGTGAGTGATTCAAGTTCAATTTACAGAACAGCAGATACACATTTCTAAAGTAAGTTAACATCTGATTGAAAATGAAACCATTTTATTTTCATGCGGGCTGTGTGAGTCACAGCCAGGGTAGGTGTGGCTAGAGCAGCATGGACAAAAACTAAAGCGATGAACTCTTAAATGGCAACGAATTGAGCAATGAGACCTCAGAGGCAACTGCTTCATTAAGCTACAGTTATTTTGCTGACTATAGTGTCCCTTTAATTCACTTTGAAAGGAGATTGCGATTGGTGACTCACTTTTTAGCATTGTGTCCTATGCAGTTACAAAGATCACATATCACATAAATTAACCGGGAACCCAAATGTTAGAGTCACACACTTGTCCCCATACGCTGTGCAGACTCATAAGACACAGCCATTTCATAAAGTCTAGTTCTTCTCTTCACATAAATTACCTATTTGTTGTTTGTATTTCTGAAGCTTGACTCGGGCCTGCTTGGTATTTTTGTGTCCTTCAGCCACCTGTTCTACGAGGTCTCTCATGCCCTTCTCTTCTTGGAGACGCCTCTCTGCGTACTGACGCATCAGTTGTGCAGTCTATACAGCCAGAAACACAAGCGGACGGCGGAGAGTCAATATTCTGATTAAACAAACCCACTTCCTCTCTGACAGTTTAAATTCTAGCATAATCACTAAACAGTGAGATGGGGTATTGCTTATCCACTAAACAGTGAGCATATTGACAAACCAATATTTAAAGAGAGAGAGCTGTTGGGTGAATCATGTTTTGAGTTGCAGCTGTCGACTCAATATCTTGAGCTAACAGTATAGTACATATATAGATGTAGAAATAATGAGATAAATGGCTAAGGATCTTTTTGTTTCTACCCCACTTTCACCCTGAAGCACCATATTTAAATAATCTAGAACAATGGAGGTTATGGCATATGGGACATTTAAAGATTACTAGAAGACACTGGAAATTAAACCCAGGCTGTGTGATGGTCAGCTCTGTGTTATATGAAAAATTATTGTATGGGATTGGGAACAAAGAGACTCAATTTCCATTGCTATTGTGGACTGTTGCAGAAACTTGTTTTTTAAAATTTCTCATTTAAAGCGGATTTCTTGCATTTATACAAGGATGTTATTCCAGATGTTTGTGGACCTTGTTTCCAGGTGTTCTCGGTCAATGTAGCTTACAGAAATCTGGGGTGCCACGTTTTAGCCGTCTTTGTTCTAGGAAATACATTTATGATGAGTGTTTCTTCCTCTGAAACCATTTGTAGGTTTGTATGTCTGGCTTTTTATTGATATGCTAAAACAATAATGAATTTTAAAATGCGAAACGTGCGCTCTCGTTAGAGTTTACAGCCATCTCATGACTACTCATATTTATTCATTTTTGTCACACTTGGAATTAGATTATTTGTCTTAGAAATTACAATCCTGCTTCCTGGCATTAATGCTACATGAGTACAAACGAGCAGAATACAGATAATTGAATCTCAGCTGCCTGATACCTATACATTACTCCTGATTAATTAGATGTCTTCATAAAACTGGCTTTGTGCTGTACATCTTGTTTTAATACATGAGCGTTGGTACAGAAGCCTCACAAATCTGTTTAATTTCGCAATATTTCACCTCTTCTTTTTTCATTAGAGCCTTCTTCTTGTTTTCCTGGATAAGATTCTGGCGAGCCAAGACTGCTTCCTCGCGGCTAAGTTTGCCCTCGAGACGCCTGCACTCTATCTCTGCCAGCTGTTGTTCGAGGTCTCTCTCCCGTTGTTGCCTCTGCCATTCTAGAAACTCACTCGGGTCTCGTGCTCCGTCCACTAGTTTTTCAACTCTAGAAAATAGATCACAGAGCAACGATCTGAAACTTAGACAGTCTATGGGTATCAAACTATTACTCTTATGCACAAAATTATTCATTAAATAATGATCAGGAATTCAAAGTGAATCACAAATATATAGTACATTAATAAAAACAACTTGATATAATACCTATGAACAAGAACAATATATGGTGCTTGCTTTCAGTTTACAAGGAAAAAGGAAATAGGGAGTGATACGCAGAACATGCAGTAAGAGCAGAATGTTTGCAAAATACAGAGTAAGGGAATAGAGGAAACAAAAAAATATAGTTTTACATTTTACAAGGATAGTAAAAAATCACTTCTCTTATAAAACAAATTCAGTTACAGCCAATTTTAACATGGGATATAAACATACTAACTGCAATAATTACTGCTTAAACTGCTTCCAGAGACTATTTTCAATTTATGCTCTCTTGTGGTCACCTCCAAAGGGGCAACTGGACTACTAGAAATGCACGTTTGGCATCAACTCCCTTTGATTCTGTGTATACTTGGAATTCAGACCAGATTCCTTTTGGTGTCAGCACCCCACCCCTCCAATCCTGTTACCCCTTTGGAAGTTACCCCTTTGATATATAATATAGAAATAAATGTATCTGGTAGCTTTTGTCTTTCTTCTAAATAAAATCAGAATGGCTGGCTTTTCAGCAAACACTTGTCCTTGCACACTATAGTGCTGCAATAAATATTTATGTTAACGGCCCCCTTTAGAAAAGAGTTAAAAGGTATTTTACTTAACTTCTCTTCATCGCTGCGCCAGTCTCCCCACAACTGGGCCCACCTCTCAATCTTGATCATCTCACCCAATCCAATGCATTCCTTATAAGTTTGCAATGAAGCAAGGCATCTCAATGCAGAGAGTGAAAATGCTGGACTAGGAATCACCTCTAGTGGCTGTCTGAGTTACTAGGCAATAATGTCTCTCTCTGAAAAGGCAGTGTTTTACTTTAAAAAGTCTGAATGTTATAGACACCAGAACCAGGCTTTTTGAAGGAAAATACACGATTAAGCTGTAGTGGTTCTGGTGATTATAGTGTCCCTTTAAACAAATCCATTTACAGACAAGAGGGCTTACTCTGCTTTAGACAAATGGCACTAATGGTAATTTATTAGGTATGGGGGGTATAAGAAGTAAATTGGGGTGAGGGTTACAGACATTTTCCACTAACTGACAGGTTAGAGACTTGTTAGAGATATCTATAATAACAAGTAACCTCTGATCAAGATGTGTTAAAAAAGACATTTGAAGGAAAAAAACCTGAATACCCCAAGATATTCTGCAGAATTGTCTGACTGTGAATTCTGGAGCTACCCTGAAGACTTACTGCCCTGGCACATCATAAAACGGACTATATGCCCTGCATGGGAGGAGCTGCATGCTCAGGAGCTACTCAGACAGACTGTACACTCTGCATGGTTGGAGCTGCATGCCACTCTGGTGCGTTACTGCCCTGATACATCATCAGACAAATTCTACATCCTGCATGGGAGGGGCACACCTCCCAAGATTGCAAATGGAAACAAGGGTGTAAGTAGGGGTGTTACTAGGGGCAGAACTGTTCTGAGAAATTTTAGGTGACTTACTAATAACAATTTATTCAATTAACATGCCATTTAGAGCAAGAACAGTGTATCTTATTTACCCAAATGTATTTCTAAATTCATTTTGTAGTTTAAAAACACATTCCTGTGAGTGTTATTGCTGTGGCATTCTATTACACACTCAGACACACCAACAATATGGAGCATCGAGAAAAGAGGGACATTAGAATAGAAAAGAGGGAGAGAGGTCTTGGGTCCAAAATATGGAATGTCTCTCCTAAATAGGGACACATAGGCGGTAAGTGGGAGGAACTGGGTGCTCGGGTGTTACCCTGCTGCCATCTCTGATACATAATCTGATTGTGAATTCTACCAGAGAGGAGATGACTGCTCACAGATTAAGCTAGTGACTTAATGATGGCTTGTGTCATTGGCTGTCAACCATCAACTTACTATATAGGGGCACTCAATACAAAAATAAAAATAAATACAGTACATGGTGAGGTGTACCTAAGTGACAGTAAAATGGAATAATAATAATAAACAGACACACATAAAGCAAACAGACATACATTAAGATCCTTAACATAACTCAATATATTCTTAATTAACATACCTACGTAGCTCTTCTTCCACTTGGCGCTGGTAGAGGGCTCCTTCTCTTAAAATGGCTGTGGCATTTAATCTAACAGGCACATTATCACCCTATGGGACAATATCAAAACAAAATCATTTCTGGAGTCCCACTTCTACTTTCGTATTATATTTCATACCCCGTCTGAAGAATTAGGCTTCCATACAGTCTATAAAACATTTTACCTCCCTCTCACAATATTCATAAAGATGAATGAATAATAAAAAAATTTAAATAGTATAAATTTACATAGCTTTATTTTAACATTGTTATATCCTTGAACCTTAACCTGCTGTTTTATCATAGCTTTATGCCCTCAGAGTGCATTTCCATGTTTCAAACATGTTATGCTATTTTGTTCTTTAATGACATAAACTTGACACTGAACGGCCAATAGATAAGGAGAAAAAACAAACAGTAAAAAAGCAAAACAATGGGGCGGGGCATGGCTGCCATACTGGATGAATATAGCTCGAACTCCGTGCAGATGTGCTGTCATTTCTTATTCCCTCATAAGAATATCCAGGCTTTTCACGTAGAGAGACTCGAGGAAACTTATCAAGCTTGTTTTACATATTAACTGGCACAGGAACTGGCATCTTTGGCAGTACAAGTGCAAAACCGCACACCTGAGGGTCCAGGTGGGAGGGAGGTGGCTGATATTTCTGCCCTAAGCCCCTTGGGAATCTGCAGCATACAACTGACCCATCCCCCTTTCTCTGCCAGAGAGGGTCATCCCGGAGTCTCAACTTTCCAATACTCGTGCAAGCTGACTCCTGTCCACCAGCGTCTTTCACACTGACGATTGCAATATGGCAGACAACACTTGCAGTGCCTCAGAGCAATACTCTGGTGGCCTTTCGATTTACTCTGCACCAACTTTTGGCTAAGCGCGTGTGTGAAACAGACACCGTCCATGCAGCATACTATACAGCAGGGATGTCCAAAAGGTAGATCCCCAGATGTTTTAAAACAACAAGCATCATGGAAGCTGTAGTTCTACAACATCTGAGGAACTACCTATTGGGCACCCCTGCTATGTAGCAACTTTGACAACTGAAAGGAATAATGCCTGGTCCTACACTGACGGAGTGCAACTCATCAGAGAACCCAGAGTATACTCCGCTGACCTTCCCTGGGAGAGCATCTGAAGAAGTCATCCTTCTGCATTACCTGCACTCCACCAAAGCCTACACCTGGGGTGTGTGGCTCAGAAGGTATGGTCCCCATGCTCATCTCCTACCCTGGTGGCTGCTTAGTGGTGTCCCTGAGTCACCACATTTTACGGAACCCGGGACTCCAGGCACCTGAATATGGAACTGCAGGAACATCACTCTCCAATGGGAATCAGCTAGTAATCTATTTGTGCTTGGAACTGTTCCACCTTGTTCCACCTTGTCCCAGAATAAACAACAGTCCAGAAGTTAAACACATTTATAGTCTATGGGGTTCTCGGGATTATATGTTAGGCTAACCTCACAAATGCCATTTATAGTAAGTGTGCTATGCATTACCATGCAATTCCAGCACTGTCACTGTGCCCTTTTACTATAAGCTTTAATACAATTTCTGAACATTGTGTGGTGATAATTATCTATCTCACTATCGCCTATTTACATTGTTAACTATAAATATAATCGTCTTTTCATGCAACTAGAGTATTTTTGTTATTGGAGATACTGTTCTGTACTTAAGCTAATAGTCTCTAGGATGTTGCTGCTAATATTATAAAATTGTGCAGTGGTTTCTACATGTACTTTATTTTTCATGTTTTGGCTAATATGTCTTTACCAGTAAGTGTTATTTCTACGCACTGCAAAAAAAGAAAGAATGTAAAAAACCCAAACTATAAAAACAACAATAAGCACTCTACGTACACACTAAAGAACCCGGTCTTTGGTGCATAATGCCTATACATTTACAGACATTTTCAGATAAAATGCTCACCTTATACACTGGAGCCTGGAGGGCTTTGGTCTTATTAAATGCCAGTTTATTTTCCTCTCCTTGCATTATTTCAGATAGAATCCGCTGTAAACGACAGAAACAAAAAGGGCATTTTGAAGATAGAACTACAACAGTTACTGGACAGCATTTCTGAGATTAGAGAAAACTTTGATACTGAACTGGGACTCCTTTGTACCTTTCTCAGTTATTGACTACTGTTCTTCTTTACATAACTGGAGATGCATGATGGATGAAACTGTCACTTAAAACTTACCTACCACTCACCCCCTTGCTGCACACAGGAATGGGGGCCACTTGGTTTGCAGCGCTAGCTCATCATATGGTATGCAAGGTCTCTATGTCCAGCCAGTCAGATTCTCCTTCCAAGGTGGTCATGGAAAGGTCCAAGAAGGAGTGGCCAGGTCACCGCAGTTGATTCTCCAGTTGTCCCCCCATCCTGGCTGTAGTCCCCTATTCTGACTCCTTTATAGTTTTGACTTTTCTGGTTCTAACACCTCTTACCTCCTGACTTGTAATAGTATTCTGGTATCACTGACCCTGATTTGGGCCTATGTACTGGTTGTTCTTGATATTCCTGACCTGGCCTGGTCCTAATTTCAGGTAGTTTTACTCTGGTTCTTGTTAGTTCTAGTTCCTTAATCTCCTATTTCTGTCTAAGCATTAAGTTTGGCCACTCTAAGGTCTGGCATATGCCTTACTATCACTGCCTTTTGTTAGGTAGTTCATCTATATCTTGCTAAGGATCCTTTCAGTCACTCTGTGCTACATGCTATTATATTTTTTCCTGTGTATTGCCTCCTCTGACCTGACATGCTTGGCTTGTTTCTTGTCCCTGTTTTTGGACTTTCCCTGTATAGTGCATTTTTTTTTATCTATTACAAACTGGACTTTGACTCTTTGCTTGCCCTCTTGCATCCAAACCCGTGCTAACTGGACTTAAACCTTCAACACATTTCTGGACTACAGATTATACCCATATAAATTGCCTCGACTGTCAGTCCTGTGTCCCAAAATCTGAGATCCATTCTCTAACCCTGCGACAGAAAGCAACAGAAAGTATGGACTTCACACCATGTATGTGTCATAACACAGTGATGTTGGGTATGTGGTCATATATTGTATTTGGTGTTTTCAATGACCATTTAAGATGCATTATGCATTAACCCCTTAAGGACACATGACCTGTGTGACATGTCATGATTCCTTTTTATTCCAGAGGTTTGGTCCTTAAGGGGTTAAACTACCTGAATATATGTGCTCATTTTGACACATACATGTGTTAAGTGCAAAACTCTCAGCAGTTTTACACATACATGCATTATTAATGCAGCAATATATAAGTACCTTGCCGAATTTATGGTATTTTTATCATGCATGTGTCATTGACTGTATTGAAATTCATATGGAGAAACTAAGCATTCATTTAGGGGTTAAAGGTGCTTCCAACACTATTTGGCACAAATTCTACCAAGGCCCTTGCTTACACCCCTACCCAGTGTGCAAACTGCTCTCCGTGTATTTAATATTTCCTATTGGAAATTAGGGAGTTATTGATTGTAAGAATCGTTGAATTTGGTGGTTACACGCAGACTAAAAAAGCTGTTAGTTGTTCTCTTGGTTAAAAATGAAATCAAGAGGTAAAATAAATTGCAGAAATTATTTATTTCAAGATTTCAAGGGATTTCACACATCAGCCAAATGTTAGTAAATATATTCGATTGCTAAGGATAGACCAGTCCCATCTCATTAAAATCAGTATCAGTGATATCCAGTCAATGATACTGGGGAAATATAAAAAATTTTCATCAAATCAAAGAAAATAAGTAAGTCATTTATTTCCTGCCATAAATACGGACCTGTTTCCTTTCTGTAGCTTTGTGTTAACACTGATGCCCCATAACGATTAACTTACTTTTGTTTTCTGAGATTTCTCTGCTTTGGCACATTTGAAGTGCGCCATATTTGCCTCCATCAAAATCTCCTAAAATCAGATCATAACATAGTTACACACACACACAGACCGGAGAAAATGAATTCTTTATAAAAATGTGATTGACAACTGGATTGCAAAATTCAGACCAATATAGCGGAACTGGAATGAGTTTCCAACGAACAGATAATAACAAAGTTACACTGTAATATAGCTTGAAATAATACTTATGCCTTTTACGCATTTCTTTTTCTGTTCTTGCTGAGCTTTGTCAATAACCCAACTATTGGCTAAAATGTTGTAAATCAGTTCTGCGTTCATCAAAATTCACTGTGTAATTTATAAACTCCTTGACCCCAATTAGACGTAATTTGCATTCCTAACTAATACCAGCACAGTGAAATCACAATTTATGGGAAGAGACTATGACATTCTATTTGAATGTTTCTATTCAATGCTTTTAGTCTCTGAAAATCTGTCTATCAAGAGGCAAGAAATGGGTTGTAACCTCTTTAATAAGTTGAGTGTGGAGAAAAGGCCAATATCTACTTTTGGACATAATAGTTGTGGGGTTTTTTTCCGTTGTATTTTTTTTATTTTCGTTGTGTAGATTTTATAAAAACAAATGAAAAAAAAAATTATAAAAAAATGTATAGAATGCCCCAAAGACATCCACATTCAGAAGGATCTGTTACAACAAAACATCAGGTATACTCACGATCACCCTCACACAATAGTGATATAAATTATCTGTAGATATAGGGTCAAACAGTGTGCTTTACATTTGAACTAAAATACAATGAACTGAGAACTACAGGTAATTAGAGCGTTTTGGACGCTTGTATGTCGGGTAGTAGGGAAAAACCAGATATAATAAACAAGCATATTATAAGGTAGATTAGAAAATAGAAAAAGGAAAAGTCATTGGAACATAATAGTTGTTTAATGCATCGTGCAGTTTTCAGAGCACCAGATAAAGCTTGACACAATTTTAATAAATGATTATATACAAAAAGTAAGAAATATGTATGTTTAAAATATGTGCTAAACCTGACGCATTGGATACAATAAATCCATGACTTTAAAAGAATAGTAATCACGTGTGTTGTTTTCTGTTGTATAATTGACTAATACACGTAAAACCACCATAATGTGTAGGTCCCACTTGCTGCCAAAACAGCTCTGACGTGTCCTGCGGTATCTGGTACCAAGACATTAGCAGTAGATCCTTTAAGTCCTGCAAGTTGCGAGGTTGGGCCTCCATGGATTGGATTTGTTCTTCCAGCACATCCCACAGATGCTCAATCTGATTGAGGTCTGGTGAATTTGGAGGCCGAGGCAGCACCTTGAACTCTTATCATTTACCTGAAACTAATCCTGAACAATTTTTGCAGTGTTGCAGGGTGTAAAGTAAGCACACATGCACCCGACTATCCATCTGATCTAAAAAACAAAACATGAACCATTAGACCAGGCAACTTACTTCTATTGCTCCATGGTCTAGTTCTGACACTCATGTCCGCACTGAAGGCCCTTTCGGCAGTGGACAGGGGTCATCACTGGCACTCTGACTGGTCTTTGGCTACCCAGCACCATGTGCAGCAAACTGTGAAGCACTGTGTGTTCTAACACCTTTCTACCATGGGCAGAATTTTTACAGCCAGTGTTACAGCAATTTGAGCTACAGTTACTCTTCTGTGTGATCACACAGACGGGTTAGCCTTCACTCTCCATGTGCATCCATGAGCCCATGGCACATTTGACACTGATGCTGCATCACCGGTTGCAATTTCTTGCACCACATTTGGTAGGTACTAACCACTGCATTTACCACTATAGGTCCTAACCACTGCATGCTCGGACCCAGTCGTCTAGCCATCATTATTTTGCCCTTGATAAAGCCATTCAGATTTTTTTCGCTTGCCCATTTTTCCTGCTTCAAACACATGAAATGTAAGAACTGACTGCTCACTTGCTGCCTAATATATCCCACCACTTGACAGGTGCCATTGTAACAATATAATCAATGCTATTCACATCATTTTGTGGCTGATCAGTGTGTATTTAAAGCATATTTCCCCATGTTGGCTTTGCCTTAGAAATTGCAAAATACGCAAAGGAATTATTGAAAAAAAATCCAGTAGTTTTGAATTTACTTCATGGTCTTTTGTGGTCATTTGTGAAGTTATCATAAACCAAAAAGTATTAACACCTACTTACTCTACCCTCTACAGTATCTATGTATCTATCTATCTATCTATCTATCTATCTATCTGTCTATCTGTCTGTCTATCTATCTATCTGTCTGTCTATCTGTCTGTCTATCTTCAAGGCTTAAAATTTCAAATCGCTTGCTACTAGCCAGGCCTTAAAAGTTACTTGCCTAGAGAGACCATGGCAAATAGCAAATGGCTAGTGCACAGTGTAAATTTTGAGCCCTGTATATATAATAAACCTTTTTAGTCACTCTTATAATACACAATACTGTGTATTATGAGAGTGATTTAATTATTGTTTTAATATATGTAAAGGGTTTTATTTTACTTTTTAATTTCTCCTGGACCTTCCTTTAACATCTATTAACTTTTAGACACAATTTCCTTGCTGGGGAAGACACACTGTGTTTACTGTATCTTGTAAGTAATCATCCATTTTTTAGCAATTGCTTTTTGCACAGGATGCACTATATAGTTCTGTTTTCTATTGTATATACCCATGGAGAGGACACTATTCACCCATATATCCCAGAGTGGGGATTGTACCAGTCTATGCCAATTATGAGGAGCCATTCTGAGGCTCTATAATATGTGAGTCCACGCCTACTTGTTTACTTATTCAGTAACCATGCTTTCAATATACTAGACCAGGGGTAGGCAACATATGGCACTAGTGCCATGCACGGCACTCGAGGTGTCTTTGCACTGCACTCAAGGCTGCTAGAGCCAAACGCACTCTAGCCTATCAGGAGTCCCAGTGAAACTTCAGATATCTGCTAATATGAAAAGGTGGTGAAGGACAATCCTCAATTTATGCATTGCAGAACATAGAGGAAGTGATCTCAGATCACTTCCTCCTAGCACTTGCGAATGGGAATCCACACTGTAGTAGAGCAGCCATCGACAGCTATCGCAGCTCCTGTCCTTGACCTGTACCTGGCCAGCCTGGTCCCCACTGGCACCCAGGGAAGCCACCCACACTGCTAGATATACACAGAAATGCAGAATAACCCTCCCCTCATACAAATAATATGAACACCACTAACAATCCACATACATGCACACAACCCCACATGCAGCCTCTCACATGCAATACCCCAAACAGCCCCCACACACTACCAAACACACAATGTGACAGATCCATCAACACACAATTCCACAAGCAGCCCCCATACACAGCCCACATTCATGTGTATCATACACGATACCATAAACTACTAATGAACAAATGCAATATAATAGCTCATATACACACAAATACAACGATAAAAAGCAATTACAGTAAAAATAATACAAGCAGAATACGGCAGCATAGACGACTCAATTTAAAAATATAGGATCGGCACGCTACGGGACATCACAACCCTATATCGGCACAGTGCTGCTAAAAGTTTGCCTACCCCTGTACTAAACTATATTGGACCTATTTTTCTGTGGTCTATTACATATCATATGGATTAGCAAGTCCGGACCAAGAGGATGTTTAAGGCACGACTTCCACCTCCTCATGAAAAACTTTTCTAACCTAATAAGGTAGAGAGACCCCGGGTTGGATTATGTGTTCTTTATTGTTTGGTCTATTGCTAGAATGATGATTTTTCTGCCTATCCTAGTCTATGAACATACCATGACAGAGTGCTATAAAGGTGAGGTGAGATTATTGACAATTTCGTATGCTATGCTTTACTGAAGGGGTTATAGAAATAGGAGACCTCAGTAAATAAGCAACATACCTCTGCTTTCTGACGGTTCTTGTTCTTCTTTGTTTGTAGAATTTCATGTTCCTTTGGAGGTTTGTAGGTACTGTCGGGCACCTAGTGATAAAGTAACTCACCCATTAGGTCCGTAGGAAAGTATTTGTATTTGAAACATTCTTACTTAAAAATAAGGATTTGCAGTGAAGAATGCAACACATTTATTTAGACTGACATAGCTGAGGTCAGCTTACTGGTTTATGTGGCTGTTGGGTCGGTATCCGTTGTGGTGCGAGTACAGGCCTTGGCTTAGGTTTTGTTAAGTTAAACGGCTTTGTCTCTGTTATTTTTGATGTTTTTACTGGGCTGGGTTCATTTCTGGTTTTATCTTCCAAGCTACTTATTAAATTCTGGATGTCTGGTTGCCGCCTGATGTAAGAAGAAAACATTTTAATCTTAGTATGAATGACTCTTGAACCGACAGTCTAAGCACAAAGGAAGTGTCAAAGATAAAATATGTAGGAATTTAAACACTATACAGAATAATGATGATATGTAAAATGTAGGCCAAGACAGGTGGTATTAAACCAAGGGTATTGAGTATTGGGTATTTGGGTATTGAGTCATTACAATTCATTGTTTAGTGAATAGATCACTAATTGAATCCAGGGTAACATTCTTAATCTAAATTAATCAATGTATAACTATATAGACAGCAGTACAATTCAAACAGTGACTTACAGGAAAAAAGTAGATATGATTTGTAAAATAAACTAAATGACTGGAATGTTAATAGGCATACACATATCAACATTGCACCAATTCAGTTTGAAATTAATGGATCCCAAGCTTATCACCCTTACGTACCCCTCCTTTCACCCCTTACTCCCCTGCTAGTACTTACATTGGTATCCCTTCAGTATCTAATTCAAACTACTGATGTGCAAAGTTTGACGATCTCACCCCTAATTTAATTTCCTACTTAACAAATTATTCATTTTTGATCACTTTGCTCGACTAGTGACCTTCTATTGTCTTCTACTCATTCTCACATTGTTAACTCTCACCTAGATGATCCACACCATTTCTACAGTCAGCCCACCTAGCCTGGGATCCTTGAAAATGTACCTTAAAACTCATATCTTTATGAAAGCTTATCATCTTCCTGGGTCAGCTCCTTGGATTATAACACTCCTCTAGTCCCTCTATATTAATGTCGGTGTTTCTTCGTATAGCTTCTAAGAAAGGTTCAAATGCTAAAACAAAAAGAAGAGGGGACAACGGGCATCCTTGACTAGTGCCGTTGCTAATAATGAAGGGATTTGAAAGTAGACCATTAATCCGAACCGTGGCTGAAGGGGCTTTATACAGTATATGTATCCAATTACAAAATCTCGGACCAAGCCCCCATGCCTCTAGCATTGCGAGCAGATAGGACTGATCCACCCTGTCAAAGGCCTTCTAAGCATCAATTGTTAACAAAGCTGTAGGGCTTTCATTTATTATAGCTCCATGTAATATGTTCAAAATTTTGGTAGTATTGTGTCTGGCTTCACGGCCAGAGACAAAGCCAGCTTGATCAGGGTGGATCAGTCCAGGCATAAGGGGCTTAAGTCTATTTGCCAGGAGTTTTGCAAATATTTTTAAATCAAGATTAATAAGTGAAATCGGTCTATAACTGCTGCATAATTCTGGATCTTTTCCATCTTTATATATCACAGCAATTACAGCTCTCAACATGATGATGGTGGGATGTCAGTAGTTGAAGACAATCCATTAAAGGCTCTAAGAAAGTGTGGCGCAAGAATGTTTTGGAATTGTTTAAAGTAGCGTGCCGATAATCCATCTGGCCCAGGACTTTTATTAAGGGGTATTACCTCAATCGCCGCAGAGAGTTCCTCTGGGGAGAACAATTCCTCCATTTGAGCTGCTGTTTCTTTTGAAATTTTTATTGGTATTTTTTTGGATAGATAGTGCTCTCTATAATAAGGGGTCTTCTATGGGGGGTTTAAATTGTAGAGGTCTTTATAATAATTACTAAAAGTATTTGCTATTTCCTCAGTGGTATTACATATTTTCCCCTGTTTATCTTTGATTTTAGATATAAGTTTTTTGCAACTTAGCTTTGAGTGCTTTAGCTAAGAATTTCCCACTTTTATCCCCATATGTATACAATGTACTTTGAGTCAGCGGGATCGCTCTTTGACCTTCATAGTTCAATAATGCCCTTAACTTTGATCTGACTACCATTAAGCGTTTAAAATTCTCCTCTGTTGGAGTTTGCTTATGGGTAGACTCCGTTGCCTCTAATGTTTTCGTCAACCTTTCTATTTCCTCAGCACGTTCTTTTTACATCTAGCTCCCCATTTAATTAGAACCCCCCGGATCACACACTTATGAGCCTCCCATATCCACATATCATTGATAGCATCTGTACAATTATCTTATTACTTATTAAGAAATATTGGGATATTGTTTCTGTTAAATCCTTGATGACCCTTGGGTCGTCAAGGAGGGACTCATTTAGTCTCCAGATGTTTTTACCCTTCATATCGCCTTGCAGTTCAATATCTAGAAAAATGGGGGCATGGTCCGACCATGTAATCTCACTGTGCTATTTTTGCTCCTTTAACTAAATGTAGATATCTATGATTTACAAAAAACATATTTATCCTTGAGTAACTATCTGCAGGTGTTGAATAAAAGGTATAATCCCTCTCGTCCTGATGGAAGATACGCCAACAGTCTATCAATTGATAGAAGTGTAGTGTTTTTAGAACTAATGCCCTCTGATTCATCTGTGTTTCTCTAGTCTTTGAAGAGCTATCTACAGCATAGTCCAACACTATATTACAATCTCCCCCAACTATCAAAACTCCTTCCTTAAAATTCTCCAATTTCCTCAGGCAGGTTCTCAAGAATGATGCCTGATTAGCATTGGGTACATATATATTTACAAGCATAATCATTTGGTCATTAACCTTTCCTTTTAAAAAAATATATCTTCCACTTCGGTCCGATTTACTATCTAGTCGGGTCAAATTCAAGTCAGAGTTTATAAAAATTGCCACTCCTCTAGATTTACTTTTCAGAAAGTTACTATAGAAGGTCTGCTTGAATTTATTCATATTACAATATTTTTTATATCAATTACGTGCTGTGACATATCCCAATTACTAAATGTAATGCGTTTACTGTGTTAGCGCTAATGAAATCATAATAATGAATTAGTTATCTTGCGTGTCCTTTTGCACAAAGATGTGTACGCTGGTGAATCTGTATATGTTTTTATAGTAATATTGTTATTAAATAAGAAATATACAACATCAGTAGAGGAGGGAGATACTCCTCACCGACGTTGTAGTGGGTTGTAGTGTACTGTGGGCATAACCCAATGTAAGGATGATGAGAAGGGCTGAACGAGACTTAGACAGAAGAGGCAAGCCTGATAACAGTCCTATTACCCTGATTGAGGCTTTAGTGTAAGGCAAAAAACTGCCTAATTTTATAAAAACCCAAAGAAAAAAAATAGCTTTATTAAATCCCTAGTTGGTTATACATATAAAGAACAAAAAGAAGGAGGTGTGTGATTTACAAAGTTCTAAAAATAATACTTATGTGTAAGTCCCTTTCAGCCCTTCTCATCATTCTTATTAAATGAATATATAGATGTGTGTGTATAGATGCTGCTAGGAAGGTTCCATAGATGCATGGCGCTTGGTACATAGACCAGTTATATGGTGATATCTCATTTCCTCTTTAGGATGGTGAAGGACATTGAACATTTCTTGGTGTCGGCCTTCCTTGTCAGGAGAATAGAAGAGAACAGTGACTGCGTCCAAGCAAAGGTTAATCAACATAGGTGCCATTAGTCCGAATTTGCCAGGACAGTCCTGCCTTTTGGGGTACCGTAACATCATTTTGAAATCTGTCATCAGATTTCGAGGTGCAAGAGGGGCTGGACACTAGATCCATGTACAGAGCGCTACGGCTGTGCTCCATGTATTGTCTGCCTTGAAAGGCAGCATGCCCTCCAGTAAAAGTTATTACAATTTAAAAAATAAAGTCCTATGCCTCCGTCCACCCTCTCCCATCCCTACCTAGCTTAGAGTGTGCGCATGTGCTCTGAAACAGTAAACCGGTCCAATCAAATGCTTCTCACAGAGACGGAGGCTGTGACATCAGAAGTGGCATTGAACCCATTGAGGAAAGTTTTGCCTGGTACTAGATTCCAAGTATGTTTACAGTTAAATTTGCAGGATTATAGAGAGGGGACCTAGTGTATAATGCCCAGTATGGAATTTTAAACTAGATTATTTTTTTAGATATATAAAATAAATGTATGCAAAAAAATATATTTATTTTTTAAAATACTCTGAATTGAAGTTCCTGCATTTGCTGCAAATACCCAGGCTGCACAGCTTCTGCAGTGATCTCTCACTAAACCAGGAAGTGACTCAGCCAATAAATGATGCTCACTTAAGTTTTAATAGCGATTCGATTTATCCCAGCATATTTATGGACACAGCAAGGGTTGTACTGCAAGGTAACCATCCATTGTATTAGACTGAACCTTCATCTCTGGCTATTTGTTTCTTCTCTTATCCTTATGTGATACAGTCCCTTGTGCCGGACCAGACTATTAACTTTTAATTACTTTATTTCCTTTGTTGGGATTTGGACTCACTTTGTTTCAATATCTACAATTTTTCCCATACTGTTTGTCTCAGTTACATGGAAACACAACTTCTAGCATACAAACACAACCTTTACAGTACAGCAACAGCGTGAGAGCCACAACCTGCAGTAATTGTGGAAGAAAAATCCCCACCATTATTACCTGATAGTGAAAATACTCACTTTAACAATGGGTTTATCCAGGTTTCCTTAACATAGTTTAAATCATATATCTGACTCCATTCATCTTTTATCCAAGTGTTCAGATTCAGCTCATTAAAGAAAAACCTAAGAAACTGAACAGAAAAAAGGTAAGAAAAAATGAATTTATAGATGTATACATGTAGCCGTCGTTTCAATAAATATCTGTTTACTTATTTAAAACACGCTGACGCATTTCTAGGTGATGCCTGCTGTTTAACCTCGCTGAGGGTAATCCTGCGCGTGGCTCGGGGTTAATTTTCAGTACCAAAAGTGGTAACCCCAAGCCACCTTGTCCCTACGAGCTCCTGGTGCAAAATATTACACACAATACATTGTATAAACAATGTACTGCTATAACATTAAAAAAATACTGACATAATCAGAGGTTAATGCTTAAAGGACCACTCTAGGCACCCAGACCACTTCAGCTTAATGAAGTGGTCTGGGTGCCTGGTCCAGCTAGGGTTAACCCATTTTTTCATAATTATAGCAGTTTCAGAGAAACTGCTATAATTATGAATGGGTTAAGCCTTCCCCTAATCCTCTAGTGGCTGTCTCATTGACGGCCACTAGAGGCGCTTGCGTGCTTCTCACTGTGAAAATCACAGTGAGAGCATAGCGTCCATAAAACATTGTAAATGCTTTCCTATGAACTGACTGAATCTTGGCGCATGTACGCGTGCGCATTCAGCCGGCGGGGCGGATCAGAGGCGGAGAGGAGGAGGAGAGCTCTCCGCCCAGCGCTGGAAAAAGGTAAGTTATTACCCCTTTCCCCTTTCCAGAGCTGGGCGGGAGGGGGTCCCTGAGGGTGGGGGCACCCTCAGGGCACTATAGTGCCAGGAAAACGAGCATGTTTTCCTGGCACTATAGTGGTCCTTTAATGTGTCAACTTCATTAGAGCCTTGTGGTGCTCCATGATGTCATGAACGTGTGGAACAGAGGATGAGTATACAAAGTATATTGACTGAATGCAGCATTGGTTTACAGAAATGGTCACAAACTGAAGTGTGGATTCTATTAAATGTTATAAGTGAAGGCAGAGAAGTTATATCTGTATATATATATATATATATATATATATAAATATATATGAAAAGCCCATGTCCGGCGCCTATTGAATTCGTTTTTATTTTTACCCTTCCAAGGATTGCATTTATTCAATGCATTTATTGCATTGAATATTTTGTTTTTATGAACAGGAGGTGATAGTCAGTTTACAGTATAACACTATCCTATCATTGTGTAATAAATCTCAGCCAAATTATTATGACAAGACTAGGCAATTTATAGCTATGGAAGCATAGTCGGACTACCACAAAAATGGCATTTTAGGGGGTGGTTTAAAAGGAATACCTGTGTCCAAATTAGGTCTGCTTCTGCCCTGTAATGTATGTGTTCCACTCCCATGGTCGTTAATGTGAGATTTTTTTTTAAGTAGCGGTTTTGTACCTGTACAGATGGGCTTTGGATAAGAACTTGGCTATAGGTATTAGAATGGAGTGTGTTCTTTATCTAAGTCCTGACTTGCAAAGATATTAATGAAACAATATTTCAAACCACTTGTATTGTGAGAATTTCCTCATTGAACTAAAAACACTGGTTTTGATTGGATTAAAACCTTGCTGGCATGGTCCCCCCATAAAAAAAAAGAAGAAGAAAAAGAATAATGAAGGGAAGACTTTGGCAGCAGGTGTGTGGGAGAGGCCGTGACCCGTTGGTCCTCTGTCCCTATGCGTGCTGACAACAAATGCTGAGTATGCACAAAATTAACATTAGCCAACTTGGAAATTTTATTCTGGCTGCCGAGGTGCAGTACGCTGCACAAACAGGCTCCAAACACCATGACCACTTTAAATCACTGAAGTGGTCATGGTACTTGGGGTAAATTTACAAATGTTTACCTCACTGTAATTTTTTATTTTATTGCCCCACAAATGTCCCGAATCTGGGAGAATGGTCCTGATGTAAGTACCTGCCCCACCATGTCAGTTTCTATTTCTGGAGTCCCCATAAGAGAGTGCCCAAAAAAAGAGCAAAGTGAATAATATCGTTTTTGGCTGCTCTCTTCTTCTTACAATTGTTTGGCAATACCAAGAGCTTTTCTGTATAAATAAGAAAACTGGGGGCACACCAAAACCTCATAAACGTGAAATAAACCTAGCTGTAAAGCGATATCTTAACATATAATACAATACATTATTATTTATTAAGCAGCAAATTCTTTCTATATCACATATCTGGAAAGTTGTTGGGTTTGTGCCAAAGGCTACGGTGTGGCAGCTCATTATTGGATGTCCTGATCAGCTCATTGCTTTATAAGAAGGCGAGTGCCATTTATCACTGTCCGTTCTATCCATGTGTACAAACAGCAAGGCTTCTTTCACCTTGGGATCTACAAGAACATTAACAAGATTCGCCTGGTGTTGTAATTTGCATAGATTTTAATGTACTAAAGTATACTCACTACAAGTAGCGGCCCTGTATCTATTTTAAATGGAATTCTGGGAACCATTGCCAGTGTTGAGATCATATTATAATCGCGCTGACTGTATCTCACTGTATGTGACATACTGAGAAAGGAACAGATGGAGTCAGTGATTCCAACTAATAATTAAAAAAATATTCTATGGCACACCAAACTGTGACATCATGCTCGCAGCTGTCATTCCAAGATATATATTATCTAGAACAGGTTTCCATTCTACTTAGCACTTTATATTTGGAATGAGAGGCTTGCAAATTACAGCCAGTAGGAGGAAAAGCTGAATTTTGATGTTCACGTGAATTACATTTAGTTTATTAAATCAATACTGGATTATAAATTAAAAGTAAGGTATTATTTAATTAATTTATAAAGTAATGTAAATGTAAGGTATTATTTTATGAATTATTTAATTTATAAAGCATTTAAAAGGAAGGAAGTATTTTAAATTGTGTTTTTTAGATTGCATTGTATATGGAGCTGGCAGGTGCTAGGTAAAAGGATAACCCAAAAACACTGCTGGCAGCAAGGGAGATGGGTTTTAGTTTAGGTATAGCAGTGGGTATCAGTTGGGTATAGACATTATGCACAGAGTGCCTGCAAGTTGTATGTGTGTGGCCAGGGCCGTCTATAATATGATTAGGATCCTGGGCAATGCATTTTCTTGGGCCCCCGGGGCCCTGCTCCTAACCCCCCAGCCCCTTAATTACACCCAACCCGCAATCACACTGACAGACATACTGACACATACGCACACAGACAGACATATTAAAGCATTCTCAGATACATACTGACATACACATACACTGACACACAAATATATACTGGCAGACATATTGACACACACTCAGACATACTGACACACAAACACAGACACACATTCATGAATACACAGACACATAAACTGACAAATATACTGACACACACAGACGCATACACTGACAGACCTATTGACACACACAAACAGGCATTCTGACACAGACACACAGGCAGACATACTGACAAACACACAGACATACTGACAGACACACACAGACATACTGACACACACACAGACATACTGACACACACACAGACATACTGACACACACACAGGCATACTGACAAACACACACACAGGCATACTGACATATACAGACACACACAGACATACACACAGACATACTGACACACACACACAGACATACACATACATACACAGACATAGACACACATACACACACATACACACACACAGACATACTGACATACACACACACACAGACAGACACACAGAGACATACTGACTCTCACAGACATACATACACACATACTGACATGCACACAGACAGACATAGACACACACAGACATACTGACACACACACACACAGACATACACATACATACACAGACATACACACACATAGACACATACACACACACACAGACAGACATAGACACACACACAGACTTAATGACACACAGACATACTGACATACACACACACACAGACAGACATAGACACTCACAGACATACATACACACATACTGACTCTCACAGACATACATACACACATACTGACATGCACACAGACAGACATAGACACACACAGACATACTGACACACACACACATAGACACATACACACACACACAGACAGACATAGACACACACACAGACTTAGTGACACACAGACATACTGACATACACACACACACACACACACAGACATAGACACTCACAGACATACATACACACATACTGACTCTCACAGACATACATACACACATACTGACATGCACACAGACAGACATAGACACACACAGACATACATTTAGCCACCCTCCAGTTTCCTACCTTTTTCTGGAGGGTGGTTTCCCTGGTCCAGTGGCAGGCTGAGGCAGATGGGAGTTCTCCTCTGGAACTCCCCTCCTCCCTGCCTTCCTCCTCCCGCGCGGTTGTGATCACCGGTGGGAGGAAGTGACGCGCAGCACTCACTTCCTCCCAGCCAGCTGCCGAACAGGAAGGGGCCCGGTCGCGCTGTTTAAGTGTCACAGCGCCCGACCGGGCCCCTTCTGCCACATGCCCACCGGGTGGCCCTTAGTGCATGGGGCCCTCTTTAGCTTGCGGCTGGTGTGGCTCTGTGCAGCCGCCCCGCCGGGTCCAAGGGGAGCTGCTCAAATCGCGGGGCCCACGAGGCAGCTGCTCTGGGGCCCCTCAGGAGCAACTGGGCCCGGGGCAGCTGCCCCGTTTGCCCCGCGTTAAAGACGGCCCTGTGTGTGGCAGCTGTCTGTCAGTACTGGAATACAGGATTGGGAGAGGTGAAGAATATGGAAGTGTAGACGGAAGACTTTGAGTGATGGGTTTATGGTAAAGAATTTATCAGTACTAAGGTAAGTGCTGTTAGCAGAGACAGTGGCTATTCTAGTAACTGGGATGATGATAGATTGAAGAAACTAGGCACTGTATCAGTCAAAGCAAAGAGCACAACGTTGGCTGAAGCAGGAAAGAGTTATTGCGTTCAGCAGTTTTAGAGGAATGTGTGGATTTTTGCAGTATTACAAAGAAGTGACAGTTCTTCGTCCATTCATTAAAATGGTTATAGAAGCATACAGGGAGTGCAGAATTATTATGCAAATGAGTATTTTCACCACATCATCATCTTTATGCATGTTGTCTTACTCCAAGCTGCATAGGCTTGAAAGCCTACTACCAATTAAGCATATTAGGTGATGTGCATCTCTGTAATGAGAAGGGGTGTGGTCTAATGACATCAACACCCTATATCAGGTGTGCATAATTATTAGGCAACTTCCTTTCCTTTGGCAAAATGGGTCAAAAGAAGGACTTGACAGGCTCAGAAAAGTCAAAAATAGTGAGATATCTTGCAGAGGGATGCAGCACTCTTAAAATTGCAAAGCTTCTGAAGCGTGATCATCGAACAATCAAGCGTTTCATTCAAAATAGTCAACAGGGTCGCAAGAAGCGTGTGGAAAAACCAAGGCGCAAAATAACTGCCCATGAACTGAGAAAAGTCAAGCGTGCAGCTGCCACGATGCCACTTGCCACCAGTTTGGCCATATTTCAGAGCTGCAACATCACTGGAGTGCCCAAAAGCACAAGGTGTGCAATACTCAGAGACATGGCCAAGGTAAGAAAGGCTGAAAGACGACCACCACTGAACAAGACACACAAGCTGAAACGTCAAGACTGGGCCAAGAAATATCTCAAGACTGATTTTTCTAAGGTTTTATGGACTGATGAAATGAGAGTGAGTCTTGATGGGCCAGATGGATGGGCCCGTGGCTGGATTGGTAAAGGGCAGAGAGCTCCAGTCCGACTCAGACGCCAGCAAAGTGGAGGTGGAGTACTGGTTTGGGCTGGTATCATCAAAGATGAGCTTGTGGGGCCTTTTCGGGTTGAGGATGGAGTCAAGCTCAACTCCCAGTCCTACTGCCAGTTCCTGGAAGACACCTTCTTCAAGCAGTGGTACAGGAAGAAGTCTGCATCCTTCAAGAAAAACATGATTTTCATGCAGGACAATGCTCCATCACACGCGTCCAAGTACTCCACAGCGTGGCTGGCAAGAAAGGGTATAAAAGAAGAAAATCTAATGACATGGCCTCCTTGTTCACCTGATCTGAACCCCATTGAGAACCTGTGGTCCATCATCAAATGTGAGATTTACAAGGAGGGAAAACAGTACACCTCTCTGAACAGTGTCTGGGAGGCTGTGGTTGCTGCTGCACGCAATGTTGATGGTGAACAGATCAAAACACTGACAGAATCCATGGATGGCAGGCTTTTGAGTGTCCTTGCAAAGAAAGGTGGCTATATTGGTCACTGATTTGTTTTTGTTTTGTTTTTGAATGTCAGAAATGTATATTTGTGAATGTTGAGATGTTATATTGGTTTCACTGGTAATAATAAATAATTGAAATGGGTATATATTTGTTTTTTGTTAAGTTGCCTAATAATTATGCACAGTAATAGTCACCTGCACACACAGATATCCCCCTAACATAGCTAAAACTAAAAACAAACTAAAAACTACTTCCAAAAATATTCAGCTTTGATATTAATGAGTTTTTGGGTTCATTGAGAACATGGTTGTTGTTCAATAATAAAATTAATCCTCAAAAATACAACTTGCCTAATAATTCTGCACTCCCTGTAGAGCTAGATGGTGGACAGAGAGAGGGTATGAGTTATTAGTCCTTGACTATTTTCTTCCTGCAAGGAGCATGCTTGTCCACGCTTTGCTTTCGTGTGTCTTTTGATTTAGTTACTGTTTTGTAGAGGAGTGTTGTCTGCGGTGTGTGTTTAAGGTGCTATGGACCACTGCCATGTAGAGCTCGGTATATCAGTTTAGTGGATTGTTCTTTTTCTCCAGCATTCCAGCATGCCATCACATCTCCTTGTTTAGTGTATGGACCTAGTGTCCTATGTGGCCTGTAGTGAGGAGAACAGATAGTCCAGCATTCCGTACTCAGAGTGTGTTATTGTTTATCAGTACAAAAAGCCCTCATTATGTGGGGGTGAGGGTCAATTATAGTGTGTACTGTGCCTGTGCAGTCATCTTAATACCAAGTTTACAGCTATTCCAATGGTGACAATGGTTATACATCCATATATAGGAGAAAAAAGGGAAAGTCCTGGGACTCAACCAGATAAAAACCAAAAAAGTCGACAGCCCCATCTTACCACAATGCAGGAGCTTCATACCACTAACTCCTAAATCTGCAGGTTGTATGAGCATTTATTTTAATCATTCTCCTTATTACTGTGACTATATGGTCAGATGACACTTGCTATTGTTCCCATCCATAGTCACCCATGAAAAATGTTTAATCTACTGAAATAAATCATTTCAATGTTATTGTAAATTTGACTGATGGACTCTCTTTTCTTTTTTAACTCTGATCCTACTGGTCTGTTGAAAACCTCCTGTCACTCAGTGCCTGAATGGTTGTTCTTAGAATCTGTCAATGGCTACACTATTGCTTTATGTGATGCAGGAGGACTTACTAAGGTACTATGTACAGAGTCTGGTGGCCAGAAGCTCAAGAATTACCAAGGTTCTCTGTGAGGAATCCAGTGACCTGGGACTAGATTGCTTTATGTGATACAAGAAGACTTTCCAAGGTCCACCATGCACTGTCTAGTGACCTTCATCTTTAGGATTATATTGTGGAAAAAGAAAAGCCTACCAAGGACCTTTTAGAGGTCCAAATATAAAGAACAGCAGAATTCCCCTTTAGTCGTAGATCAACCAAAATGTTGAATCTAGGATAAGGGGAATCGGTCAGGATAGGCGGTACTAGCTCCACCCAAAAATGGGCATGAACCCTTTATTGTAGAATTAGTAAAAAGTCACACAAAATGCTAAGGCAGTTCCCCTTTATACAGGAGAAACTACCAAGCAAGCTAGTAAAATAATAAGCAAACACTAATATAAAGCCTAATGCATCTTAGAGTATGGAGTCCGACTGATAGGAGAAAAATATTTGGGAAAAAGGAGTCAGTAAATTACTTAATGATATCAAATACTGGAGATTGGTGCATAAATAAGTATCTCTAAATAAACAGTGCTACACTGTAACTTTATTAAACTGCTAAATCAAAAAGAGATACACTAGCACCTAAGTATCAGTATGGTAAATCTAATTCCTATGGTTATTTATAATATCAATCTTAGGTATATAGAAATACTTCGTTGTAAATGCTGTTCCCAAATGAGTTTCCAAAATGGAGTGCCAAAAGAATGGTGAACAAAACGTTCTAAATAAATATTCCCAGGGAGACTTTAGGTAATAGTCCCCTAGATAGCATGATAGTAAAAAATCCCTCTATATAGTTGAAAAAACACAATCTAAGGAAAATATAAAGTAGAGGGAAAGGTATAGCCAATTCAGATATAACGTTATAATATGAACAGAAGGGGAGTTGTCTAATGACAAAGGAGAAAGAAGAGCGTATTCAAAATATATAATAAAAGGATATAACCCAAGAAAAAGGCAATTCTATCCCTGTTCTATTATAATACCCTAGCTTCTGCTAATAAACACCTTCATGGGTGTTCTATGCTAAATGGCTAAATTGAATACTGTCTTGCTGTCGATAGAAAACGGACTCCAAACAAATAGTGTCAAAAAGGAAAAACAGATTAACAAACAGTGATCATAAAAAAGTGAGGGGAGGGTTTCCCTTAGTGCATAGTAAGTGATGCACTGTGATGTGCCGAAGTGCAGTGATAGGGAATCCCCCCGTGTAACCCGACGCGCGTTTCGGAGTCTAAAACTCCTTCGTCAGGGGTTAGAAATTACCGCCAAAAGGCCCCCCCGATATTTAAATATCCATTGACCAATCATAATAGGTGTCATCACTTCGTCACTGATGACGTGGCATATGAAGACCACGTGAACACAATATGGGTGGAGTTAACTGTCAGCCACATCGAGGGTTGACTTACATCCCTCGCATGAATGAAAAGCTTATCACATTATGAATATAAAGTGAGCACAAATAGTATGTTGTTTATTTATGTTGGATATTGCTCTTGCAGAGAAGCCGTTTAAAATATATGGCGATCTGTAGGGATTCAAACCACAAGCGATGTGCTCACTAAGTCTCAAGTAATATGAATGAAATAGTTTCAACGACTAAAGATTATAACTTTATAAGGGAAGTTTGCACTTACCCTTCTATAATATACCCACAATGGGGAGTGAGGAGATAATAATCAATAAGTCAATCAGTAAATCATAATGGGAGGGATGAGCATTGGTATTGATATTATAAGATTGATATTATAAATAACCATAGGAATTAGAGTTACCATACTGATACTTAGGTGCTAGTGTATCTCTTTTTGATTTAGCAGTTCAATAAAGTTACAGTTTAGCACTGTTTATTTAGAGATACTTATTTATGCACCAATCTCCAGTATTTGATATCATTAAGTAATTTACTGACTCCTGACGAAGGAGTTTTAGACTCCGAAACGCGCGTTGGGTTACATGGGGGGATTCCCTATCACTGCACTTCGGCACATCACAGTGCATCACTTACTATGCACTAAGGGAAACCCTCCCCTCACTTTTTTATGATCACTGTTTGTTAATCTGTTTTTCCTTTTTGACACTATTTGTTTGGAGTCCGTTTTCTATCGACAGCAAGACAGTATTCAATTTAGCCATTCAGCATAGAACACCCATGAAGGTGTTTATTAGCAGAAGCTAGGGTATTATAATAGAACAGGGATAGAATTGCCTTTTTCTTGGGTTATATCCTTTTATTATATATTTTGAATACGCTCTTCTTTCTCCTTTGTCATTAGACAACTCCCCTTCTGTTCATATTATAACGTTATATCTGAATTGGCTATACCTTTCCCTCTACTTTATATTTTCCTTAGATTGTGTTTTTTCAACTATATAGAGGGATTTTTTACTATCATGCTATCTAGGGGACTATTACCTAAAGTCTCCCTGGGAATATTTATTTAGAACGTTTTGTTCACCATTCTTTTGGCACTCCATTTTGGAAACTCATTTGGGAACAGCATTTACAACGAAGTATTTCTATATACCTAAGATTGATATTATAAATAACCATAGGAATTAGATTTACCATACTGATACTTAGGTGCTAGTGTATCTCTTTTTGATTTAGCAGTTTAATAAAGTTACAGTGTAGCACTGTTTATTTAGAGATACTTATTTATGCACCAATCTCCAGTATTTGATATCATTAAGTAATTTACTGACTCCTTTTTCCCAAATATTTTTCTCCTATCAGTCGGACTCCATACTCTAAGATGCATTAGGCTTTATATTAGTGTTTGCTTATTATTTTACTAGCTTGCTTGGTAGTTTCTCCTGTATAAAGGGGAACTGCCTTAGCATTTTGTGTGACTTTTTACCTTTTAGAGGTCCTCATTAAATATGCTTTTATATTATAAATATGTGTTATTATATTAAAGAATGAACTATGCTGCACCATTTCTTCATTCATGATTTAACAGAATGAATGTGCATGAAATTAAAAAGATCTTCTAATCTGTATTCTGTTGTCCCCAGGCTATGGACCTGCCTGTCCCTCCTTCTGCTTTATTACTGCACACATGCCAGGGATGTAAGCATCTTCTCGGTTTATTGGTGTGTGACGTAGTAAGGCATGTGTTGCTGGCTCGTTTGCTACTGAAAAACACTGCCTATTTTAGCATCAGACGAGAATCACTGAATAGCAGTTATCTAATTATAGGCACTAATTTGGGATCTGCATATGTTCGTTGATGTGGTGTTTATCCACTCTTAATAAACACTTGTTTCTTTTCCATTGCCTAGAGCGCAGCATCAGGAGTTTGCCACAGTGATGGCAATACCCGAGACAGAGTGCGGATCAGTATCCAACCTCCCAAGAGAACAGTGAATTCTTTCTGTTTGCACCTCACAGCACGCAGACAAGAACAAGTCAACACTAAACACACAACCGGGAGCATTAACATTGCTGTGTGAACTCGTATTTATAAAGAACAGCTGGATCATTTCATTATCAGATCTTGAGTTGGAAATAAAAAATGTGTTTTTTTTTTTTTTAGCGTTTAAAAACAAAATTTAAGTGTGAGGTTGTCAGATAGCAAGGTGAGAAAAAAAAGGTATTAGAATAATTGTAGTCGCTGGAGTGCATTAAGATACACAATGTTTATTAAAAAGAAACACTGCTAACAACATAATCATTACAGACCACTATAGTTGTTATGGTCATGAGTGCCCTGGTTTTAAACGGTTTTATTTCTTCCCTGGGATCTGCTATGCAACCGTACGTTCCTCTGCAGGAACGTTCTTTATCTCTCCTGTCAGTGTTAGGACTGCAATTTAGGGCTGAACTCAGGAGAGCTAATGAACTGATAGCAATCAGCTGACAGCGATCAGCCAATCAGCTAAGCCCCACATAGCAGGGTTTAACTCAGGAGAGCTAATGAACTGATAGCAATCAGCCAATCAGCTATGCCCCACATAGCAGGGTTTAGCTCAGGAGAGCTAATGAACTGATAGCAATCAGCTGACAGCGATCAGTCAATCAGCTAAGCCCCACATAGCAGGGTTTAGCTCAGGAGAGCTAATGAACTGATAGCAATCAGCTGACAGCGATCAGCCAATCAGCTAAGCCCCACATAGCAGGGTTTAGCTCAGGAGAGCTAAAATAAGTTTCTACTGAGGAACATTTGGCTTTTGGGAGATTGAAATGGAGGCTGCAAGTGGCACAGTTGTTTTTTGCAGTTGTTTTTTTATTTAAAGTATAAAAAACACTTTACTTGCTGTTGTCAATTTACAAAATATGCCTATTACCAGACTTTTGATAATTTGTATGACTTTTGCTGTCATTTATGTTTATTAATTAAAATGAAACAGAATGGGGGGGCGGGGCCAGGCCGCCAAGCAAGATGGTCGCATGTCAGACCAGCTCCTGAAACTTAAAACAAAATAAGCATGAAAACCAGACTTTTGGCATACAAAGCCGACCAGCTGCGGTGGACCTCATCGGGTGGAGAGTACCGGACCCAGGGTGAGGCTGGCCTGCCTGGTTTCAGTCCCCTGGAGGAAGAATCCTCACTGGCGCAAACGAGGCCTACTCCGGCGGTGAGTGGAGCAGACGGCCGCTGCCCCACTATCCTGCCCATCGGTGCTCAGCCAAGGCCAGACCCGTTGGGAAATGGCCCCGTCCCCCCCCTCTGGACCGGGGGGGTGATCCCGGTTCTCACCCCCGCACGCCCCGACCACCCAGGGCGCAGCAGCAAGGCCGCCCTGCTCCGACACCAGGACACAGCAGTCAAGATGGCGGAGGCCATATGTGATGGCGCCAAAACCGAATCCACTACAGGCTACTCACCAAAACAGGCAACGAGGTTTAGAAGTAGCCCACACTGCTCCCCCTTCAAAGAACTTGCGGGCAGACCCGGCAGGAGGTGACACTTTAATGAGGGATTTCTGCCTGATACACCTGTACAACAGGGCTGCAGCGTCTGATGACAACCCAACCACAAGGGGGCAACAGCACCTATGAACTCTTCATGCCGCAGCTGAAATCCATAGGCAACATAACCTACAGCTAGAAGAGGACATTTGCTGCAGGTTCCCGGGATACCTGAGACGTCTGCCACCGCCACGCTGCAACACTCGACACCATGCTGAATTGTAACCCTTACTTGGGGCCCTCCCTTGCCAACCTCCCCAGGGACTGTACTAGGCACTCGGAGGGGATCGGCTGAGCAGCTGCACACGAACGGAGCCTACCAGGCGCACACCTCACTACAATTGGACTCTCTCACCATACCTCATAACATAAGACTTGCATTTTACAGGCTAGAAAAGTGTATAATAATAGCCTTTAACCTGTTATTATTTTCATTTTACATTACTTCCTACAGAGCTTTTGCCTTTGCCCTTTTTTTCTTTTTTTTTTCTTATGTGACAACCTATACAGCATAGCATTAGACCAGCATAACTTGAGATAGCAACTCGAACATGATCATATAAGGCATTACACTGATGGTTAACTTTTTAGTCTAAAATATGCTATTACTGAATTTAAGCAAAACAGCAGCCTATTTAGCAGGAAAAGCAATGTTACATAATCTGCAGCCTTTATTTCTATACTGAGTTCCATATGTGGTGTAGTAAGCGATGGATAACATACTAACGCTCGCCTCCTTAGCAAGCGCCCCAAAGCTACTCCTCTGTTACCTAGAAATGTATGCGGGAACCCCAAATGGTAGGCGAGGTAGCTTCTTAGGATATCACCTGGGACCCTGCCATATGCAAAATAGAAAGCACCACAACTTTACTCTACCAACTTAAGCCTGGCAGGATATCAACCCCCAATCATACATAAACCATGACCTTCAGTGTCCCTACCATAAATGCAGGGGGGATTTGTGTTGGCTCCGGTCAGGCCGAATATAGGCTACCCCAGCTGGCCCACTTCCATATTCAGCAAAGCATTTAAACTACACGGCTAATATAGTCCTCATGTGTCCCATCTTGGACCATCTTGCATGCTTGTCTTCAGCTGTCAAGCACCCAGTTAGTTTCCCTGGTAAAATCTAAGCTCTTTATCTCTCAATAGGCATTACTCAACCTAGTGCCACTGACCATATGAGAAGGCTCTTTGTGTTTATGTTTCTTCGGCCTAGCGGGGCATAATTACAAATCACAGCACAGAATGTACCAAGAGCATACCACAGTACAATCCAACGCAAAGCTACAAGTGTAAAACTATGCTCTGTAATGCAATGTTCCAGCTCGACCGTTAATCTTACTATGACTACAAAGTGACACATATCTGTGAATCAAAATGCTACTTTTATTTGTCTTTATAAGCATGAGAAATTATCCTGTTTATTTAATCTACTAAAAAGTGCAATGTCATTAACGCCATGTGACTAAGCGTGTATGCAAATTTGAGTGCACCAGCTATTGTGGCAGTGCAAATTCGCATGTTAACCTTATGCACGAACAAAAATAAAGAATTTAAAAAAAAAAAAAAATGAAACAGAATGTGAAGCTTTAATGCACCATCTTCCTGCGAAATGTCATTATTCAATTTAATTTTCAATTTAGCACTTAATCTATCAGAACCCTAGCTATACATCTTAAACTGAACATGTCCAGTATGTAAACATGTGACAATACTCTGTTTAACCCCTTAAGGACCAAACTTCTGGAATAAAAGGGAATCATGACATGTCACACATGTCATGTGTCCTTAAGGGGTTAAATGTTTCAACAATGCTAGATCAAATGTAAGGTTACCTGGATTGCCAAAGTAGCAGCCATTAAAATAAATGCTGTTTTTTAAATGCCCTATAATTTTGGACAAAGTAATTGTTTCAGCAGATTGCATCAAACTTCAAAGTGCCTAATAGCTCTTTATTAGGGGCTCATAATCCACCTTTTTGTAAATGTACGAAACAATTAAACTGAAATGACATACCAGAAAATCAAATCACTGTTTATGTACGTTTCGATTCATTTGACATGGTGTTCAAGCTGGTATCTAGCTCACATCTTGGAACAAGACATTTTTCTAGATTGTTTGATCTCTATCTTGTTTTGACTGTCTGCATATTCTAGTAAGGTCTATAACTCTTTGCTTCACTCAACGTTATGAACCTCGTAACTTCCAATTCTCACATGACTTTTGCAATCTAAATGATCTCATTAGCCTATCAGCCTCAAGATTAGTGTATTTAAAGCAGATCTGTCACCAAAAACAAGCTTCATCTAATCTGTTTCTATATAGCTCCCTACGTCTGAATTTCACTTTCCTTTTTCCTGTGCATTCCAGTTTTCTTAAAATACATAATGAAAAGTAGGGTCTAATTTACCTTATGTATAGCAGTCAAGTTGACAAAACTTGACAATGGGTGGAGGCCGTGGAGCTTAAAGCAAGATTCTACTTCAGTAGCCAATCAAATTTAACCACAAGATCAAACAGCGGACAGCATGGATAGAGGGGAACAAACTGGTTGTGTCCAGGTATTGAGATCCGGCACAAGAAAACAAATATATAATAAATATAAAGGCCAGTGGCAAGGGATGGAGTACAGTCATTAAAGGAACACACTGGCAGACATACAAACAATGCTAGAGTGTAATATTAGCTGGCTATCTCAGAAAAGGCAGTGTATACTGTTTTAGTTGTTGTGTGGGCCATTGGTGGGTGTGATCTATATGTTAAGTAAGTAGACAGCGGAAATGCAAATTCATCTCATTAGGCCCATTAAAGCTTTCAGCCCCAGGCCAGAAAAGCCATAAATCCAGCACTGATAAACATGTGGTGGGATTGTCCTGGACCCTTGGAAATCACACCAGACACTTGTTCTAGTGAACATCAACATGTTAAGGTTCTAACTGATTTTTATAATATACTTATAATGCTGTATAACATGTCAATAATATCATATACATAGAAGAAACTATATGTAAAAACTGCCTCCTTTTTGGTAACATTCTCTGGACAACAAAACATGGCCCACTTTTTCATACTACAACTTTACAAGAATTGAAGATCCTTCTGTACTTGTTTTTATGTTTTTCCTGCTTTGTTTTTTGTTTTGTTTTTTTTTACTTGCCTTTAATATTCTCCCGTTACTGATAATGTTATTTACCATTGCTTAGTTTGGATTTTATTGTTCTGTTAATAATGAAAATTGTAATAAATCATATTATTTGTAAAACCACCAGACTGGTTAATTGATTTCTATGTGGCTTTTATTTACTGGTTAGTGTGTTCATTTAGAATTTGTGAAAGTGTGATGATTGATTATATTACAAAATTAATGTTCAAACCACAGTCAGCAGGCTTTTCTTTGTTTTTGTGTATTTATGACAGAAATGTAGAACTGAATAGCCAGAGCGTGCTTGCTGTATTGAGCAGGTATTTAACCCCCAGAGCTAACTGGACTGAAACAAGATCATTAAGGTAATGAACTTGGTCTATCCACTCTGCCATACTCGTTTTAACTCAGTTTTCTAGTTAATAATACATTCTTTTTATTTCTGTAATCATAGGCATTAAAGATTTCATTCCCTTGACTCTAACACTTGCCATGACCAATGGTTATTGCTGGCTTATCACTGACTCTACTTGTTGAACATTCCATTTTTGACAATGCAGATGCCTTCACAATGGTTCACTAAGATACATTATGCAAACCACTGCTATGTTACACACCAGAAAGGGTCTGATTGTGTTGTGAAACATGAAATTGAGATAGGTATATCCAACTGGCAAGGCAAGGTATATCCATCTGGCCAGTGAGTACCTGTACCTGTCACTTGGCAAGTCCCACACTCCATTCTCTAGTTTTAGTTTACATGATACCTGCACTCCCTGGCTCTTGCTATCTACCATGACCTATGAACTATTTCTTGATTTAATTTTGATCATAAGCCTGGTAATTAGCATGATAAGCCTCTGTGTTGTCATTTATTATGTCATGGTTTTATTCAACCATTGATTTCTGTCCAAAGATAATCTCAAGCTAAACATTTCGAATCAAGTGAAAGATTATGTCCCCAGGTTATGTCCCCCTTGGACATAAACTTCACTTGACATAAATTAAGTATATATCCCCCACACCTAGTTGAAATAAATGAAAACGTATATTTAAAAAGTAAAGATTTTTTGGATGAAACAAGTTAGATTTACTAAACAGGAAACTGCTCTGCAATATGCAGAAGCAGAGCGTAAAATGCATCTTTGCGAACTGATCTCTCCACATGAATTCTGCAAGATATGTTGGAAGCAAATCATGGAGGTTTCATAACACCAGAGCTAAGTAATGTGTAGCCACTTTTTTTCTGTGAGATTTGTGATTTTTCAAAGAAAGAGCCCTTTCTGATGGCTAACCACTATTACGCACTATTCTTGTTAATACATTTCCAGGAACATTGGCAACAAGCTATCCAACATTGAGGTTAATGGCCGTTTTTATAGTCCAGATTGTTTGCAAGGAAATAGCGCTGTTTCGTGAACTCGATGACATTGGTGTTATTCATACCAGCTATAATAGGCTGGAGTGTGTTCTCAAAGAAGTGTTAATTCATTTTAATTTCAGGGCAACACAAAAAAAAAATGGCAATATATATACCGTAAGAATGACTTATATACACCCTAAGAATATATACCCTAAAAGTGACAGTAGTGTATATACTCTAATAGTGACAGTGATGGTTATGTTCAAAGAGTGACAGTTGATGGTTGAGGTCAGGGGGACATAATCTTCACTTGATCCAACATTTCTTCACCCCAACAAAGTGCAGAAATTCTTATGTTTTAGTTGTGCACTAGTGAGAGTTTATGTTACTGGTGGTAACAGAGTTTGTGCAAAATCCAAAACACATTAAATGTTTGACATCAGTTAACTTCTACAGTAGTGGTCCCAAACCCACTGTTTAAGGAACACCAACAGTTTAGGTTTTCTCAGTATTCTAATAGGAACAGAATTAGGGCATGTTTAAATTCCGAACTGTTGGAAACTACTGGATTATTATAAACAGGTTTGGGCTGACTTGGCTCGGCTTGGCTTGGTTTATTCCTTTTTGTTTAGTGGCTTCTTCTTTATCATGTACAAAATATACTTAAAGCTAATTTTGCAGTAACCATAAAATAATCCCGTTATGTCTCTTATGATTATGTTTTCTCTAAATATCTTAACTGAAGCTATTTAAATAGGAATGGGTGGAATAAGAAATGTTTTACTATATCTGTGCTATAATCAATGTTAGGTTGGTCTTCAAGAACTGTGTGTTTAGGTATCACAGAAAATGGTGGCCTACTTCCCTTAATTAATGTACACTTTATTCTCCAACTAATCCCATTATGCCAATAGGTTTTATAATCATCTTTTTGTGTCCGGATGGCTCCACGAGTTGGCTTGTCAACCAGCACCGTTTGAGGTCCAGTTTGAGGGAGAGGGGTTTCACCTTTGGGAGGTGCACTATCCAGCCAGCCAAAGACCCTTTTGAGAGTTTTCCATTAATCAGCACCCTCTGCTCAAAACTAAATAAAGTACTAATTTCTACTCAATGAAAGAGCATGAGATCTCAAAATGATATTTTACATTGCCAAATTTCAAAGAGATATGTGCAGCAATTTTGCTCACAGATCTGCATAAACCTCCAATGCTACATTTTCAATGTTTCAATGTTATTCACATAACTCATAAACTACTTAATAAAATCACTTCAAATGTTCCAATTCGGTCATTCTATGCCAAAATTGACCATCTGAGAAATTGATGTATTAATGGAAAGCCCAGCTGCCCCACTTTCTCCTTACCTTGCACATTTTGTGGATATCTTGAGACTTGAGAATTTTAGCAAATTTTTCAATACCGTATTCATCCATCTTGAATGTAGCTATATAACCTATGACTGTAATACACAAAGAAATGCAGAGCTTTATTGTACACACTCAATAACTATAGCTTGACCAAGAATGGTATGGTATTCCAAAGTGCACTATAACCCACGGGGTGATACATTGTAAACATTGGTAACCTTGTTTTACAATAGGATTAGAATAGATTTTTCTATTTATTTTTTTTAGGTATTTTTTAGGTATTCCTCTCACATTATTAGGTAAAAAAAAAAGAAAACACAGACAGGATTATTAATTAAAGTGAGAATTCAAAGTGAATTTCAAACTTAAGGCCAAATTAGCCAAACTGTAAAATTCTCCAAGTCATCAATGCTTTCAGTGCAGCTACTTTGGGCTTAAGTTTTCCTTCCCTGTTTAGTAAATAACCCTGCAAGTGTGTCATTCAGGCATTGTTATGGAGGCTAAATTCAGAGACAAATGGAATGACTGGAATTATTCTAACAGTATTTATATTATATGACGTATGAGTTATATGATACACAGTCATTTCTATCTGCATTAGAGTAATGTGACAAATAAATAGAAAAATGTTTTGTTTTTTTAAATCCCAACTAAATAAATATAAGAGAAATCTTATATATTCTGATAGTTATCTCCCAATGTAATCATGGTGTAGTAGGTATATACATATAAATATAAATATATATACTGTATAATATGCCGGGGCAGGATGGAGGTAATTAGTCCCAGTATCTGAAAGCCTAGATGTGTGGTGATAAAATATGTTATCCATCACCAAAGCTCTATGTGCAATCAAAATGGCCATAAATACAACCAGTCCTGCCAGAGCAAATGGATCTATGGAATGGTACTCGCAGTACTTTGATAACAAGCACATTCATTGTTTTCACGCTGAAGGATGGTACTATGAATGATACATTTTTATCTTACCGGTATACAAACAGCGCTCCGACAGAGGTAAATGCAGCCCATCTCTCGCATAGAAGCCTCCAGCAACTATGTCCAGAATTTTGTTATAGTGTATATTTCCTGATAGAGTCTCCAAAACAAATCTTTCTTCAGCATCATTCAAATTCTAACAAGAGGCAAAACAAAGCAAAATTATAGCAAAAATATTATTCATCTACCAACCATGGCACCATCAAAGTAAGCATGCAGGAAGGATAGTGTGCAATATTTCCCCTATATTTGCAATGAACGAAATAAGCCCCAATGGGTTTAGTTCAACAGGAGAAAAGGAACCGCACTCCACTTCCACTTAAAACCGGGTGCTTGGCCGAAGCAGGACCAGCAAATCCAGATCATATATGATAAAACAAAACAGTCTTCAGGCACTCACAGAATTAAAGCCATAGGCAGATTTATAGGATCGGAAAAACACAGCAACGTTTCGACCTATGAACTGGTCTTTATCAATGGGTTTAGTTCAGACTGAGAGCTTCTGGCTCTCCATAGAAAGTAGTGGGAGTAGGGAGCGGTGCCCAGGGGACCCCAGGTAAAAAAAAACAGTTTGCCTCCTTAGAATGGGGGGATCGGGAGGAGGGGGGTGCCAGGGAACTCTTGGTACCATAACAACTACAGTTTATATTTTGTAACTATAGTTTACTTGACTATCATAATAGTGATTTTTAATAGCAGTTTTCTTTCTATGAAAAAACAAAACACAAAACCCTGTAGTGCACACCCTTATGAAATGGCTTAGCCCTGTGCACAAACATATATTTACCTTATCTAAATGCTATACATTGCACCCTCAGCATTTGATCCTCCCTTGGCTGTGTATATGGCTATATAGCATTTATGATTACAGGAGAAATAAAACAACAAAACCAACGAACATGGGTATTGAGCAGATATACTTTATAGAAATATCCTGATTTAGCACACTGTCAGAGGTATATCTCTGGCCTTCTAGTTTAAGTTATTACAAGGCATAGAGAGCGAAGGTTCAGATCTAGTCTTGGAACTGGCTCCACTGAAGTGTAACACTGAACTAGCCTTTCTGTTCATTGTTAATTATTGCCTGTCCGAGAACTTTGGCCACATTCTTTTAATTTGCTATTATTTTTATATAACTGGCATTTACACAGGTTTTATATTGAAAGGTGCACTAAGCCCCTTTTCTTAATCAAGGATCAGTGAAGCAATGCGGTGCGCCAGGTATGCTTTCATATATCAAAGGTTTACGTAAAACATGACTTAAGACAGATTTATTTCTATACATGCTAGAACATACTTGCAATCAAGCACCTTACGACTTTTAACCCACAATTCAGCAAAGTATGACATTCCCGGACATCGCCTGATGCAGGGCGAGCGATCTCTGGGATCGCCTGGGGTCAATGTTAGTTCAATATTGCATTTAGGTGTATGGGATTGCAAGTCCTTAAAAGCAACCTTAAGTCATTGATGTATCAAGGCTGATGGAGCAATGACATATACAAAAATATAAACTGTTAATAGCTCCCGACTGATTCCTCTTCTGCAACTGTCACTAGTCTAATACTATCCTTACCTTTTGTGTCACTTTACCCCACTCTCTCTATCATTGAGCAGGTCCCTCAACCCCTCTGTTCCTGTGTGTCCAACTTGTCTGGTTACAACTACATGTCTGTTCGTCCACCAATTGTAAAGCGCTGTGGAATTTGACGGCGCTATTTAAATAACATAATAATAATAATAATAATAATAATAATATGTATGTAATATATTACATAAATTCAAATACAAGAAAAAAAAACTATTCACACAACTGAAGCTATCACCAGAGCTCATAGTAGTCTACATTTAATTGCAATAAAATGTCCACTAACATTCGTTTCTTACAGTTAAAGGAACACTTTTCGGAACCAAAAAAAAATAAAGGACAACTGTCACCTCGAATCTATTTTTTTTTAAAAGATTTACAACAAAAAAAATCATTTTTTTTTTTTTTTAAATGATTGGATAAACCTGAGTTGTGTTTGCAATTGTTGGACATCCATGAGAGCAAAGTATTTTTGTGTATTTTTCGAAGAAAAGATCAAAAGGTTAAACAATAAAGACAATTTTTCACAGCCTTCTCTCCTCATATTTACCAAGGATACCAATATTAGTGGAGGGCACTGTATCTAATAAATATATAATATGTAAATGTAGATTTTATTTTTATTTTTTTACTGCTCCTCCTGTTGGTTACTTTTTTTTATTTGAAAATGCTCTTATCAGTGTACTAATAAATATATGCATAATATTACATTATGTATATATTGTTTAGCACACATATTGGCCCATTTTTGCATCTTTTTTGGCCTCTTTCAGCGAAGCAGTTCCCGAATCGACATTAGGCCAATCTACAAAATAAATTATCTGACAAGTAGTGGAGCTAACGCATGATCCTGATCAGATGCCATTTCTGAAAGCTCCTCGCAGGCCTTGGGAAACTCACCTTATATCTCTATACCAATGCGCCATCCAGCCCTACCAACCCAAGAATCGATATCGAGACACCTTCCCACATCGGTAGATGCCTTTCCAGTGCTCTCTAAGACAATACAAACAAAGGCGCAAAACCGGGGCCTATCACTCCTCAACAGCTTCCTAGAGGCACACAGCCCAAACAAGCCAGAACAGCCCGGTTTAACTCCACTACCTGGCACCTCGAGTATGAGACGCCAAATACAAAATCCCGACAGGGACATTGGGGTCATGCTCCAGAGGCCCACGACAACTAAACTAACACCAGCGGAGACCTGCCACACTGCTGCTGCATCAACTCTAATGTCTGAAAGCAGGAACCAAGAGGCCATGATTGCTCCTGAACCTGAGCAACCCTTAAGCCTGCAACACACGGATAGCTCGGCCCCAACCACCAAAGGGGATCTTCAAATTCTACTCTTAGATCTCCACAAAATGATGACCTAGCTCTTATAAGAACAGAGATCCAGGCTAACACTGAACATGTCAAGGTGGCAGAAGAGGATATCACAGATGTCCGAACCACAGAAACTCACCTGAATGGAGCAGTCCAGCAACTCCATACTTACCACAATATGACAGCTTTCAAAGACCAACAATGCCGCAACAACATAAAGATCTGCGGCATCCCCACCACTGTAGTGGCTGAAGAGCTGCCGTACCACATCCGGGGGCTGCTTACCTTTCATTCTATCACCAATAGTGGCCAAGAGAATTACTCTGGATGGCACATTCCTGGATCGCTAGCACTGCCAAATCCTCTCCTGTAGAGCCGTGAGATGCCTCAACAGCGGAGAGGCCCGCATCATGGCAGTATTACGGGATAACACCCTGCTGACTTTCGAGGACTCCTCACTACATTTCTTCCAGGACCTCTCTAGGGCAACATTGCAGTGGTGCAGGACCCTGATCCCTGTCACTACCTACCTCCAATCCTCTGGTGGGCCTTACTGTTGGGGGACCCAAGGCACCCTAGTGGTGAACCACAATGGAACTACACACAGCCCAGGCATTCTTTGCTGCATTGGTACTAACCATACCTGATAGCAACCAAGGACCCACTTGGCAAGAAGATATACAACCATGCAGTGGTTTACATTCAACCAGTGTTTTTTTCTTTTTGTTTCTTTGTCTTTTTATTTTAGTTTGTTTTCAGTTTACCACGTGTTATTCATGCCTCAGTATCTCATGCTCTAATTACTATACTAGTTGCTATAGCTTAAAGACTGAGATGGGTTTCTGGTAATCCTCAGAAAACTACAATCCAAACAGGATTGGCCGATCACATACTCTTTTAGGTGTGATATACCTTTAACACCCTCCTGACCCCATAGATCAGGGGTATTTTTTTTACACCAGCTAACTGGCTATTGGACAGTCTACTCGTAGGCAATAATTGGTTTATGTATTTCACTTGCACATAATCACAAGTCACGGCTCACTCTGTAATAGCAGGCTGTAGCTAGAAGCTCATCCACCTTGTATTTTTATATAACAATATGCGGTAAGCAAATGCTTTCACCTACTGACACTCTTCAATGCATAACTGTTGAATTTCCTAGGCAGCCTGGGACACCAATCTGGTCCAACCCCGTATCACTCTCACCAGTGTTGCATAGGACAGTTAACTCTTGATAACATACGAATATAGTGCTAGAAATCTGTCTTCAATTACTAATTTTGTTATTTCTGCTTTTATTGACTTATCTGGCTAATTACTTGTATTGTTTGCAACATGCACTACAAAAATAAAGAATTCAAAAAAATATATTTGACAAAACTGAATTTTTTTGCGGTGGTCAAGTCTAGTGTCATTTATAAGAGTAACATTAGAACCTCTGAATATTCTTGAATATATCAAATGCACTGTTAGATGAGAGTTGCTACATTATTTGTGGATTAGAGATGCAAATCTCTATTTTAATAGATGTATATGTTTAATGCAATGATGGAAATTTTGACAGCATAAAATATTCCGCATTCCTACACGAATGATGTCTCAGATGTTATCCAGGAATTACATCCATCAACTTAGATATGAAAGTGACAGATTTGTGCTTTCAATTCTAGGTATTTGAAAATAAAATGTGTGATTTCAAACTCATAAGGAGACGTACATGCTGAGTTGAAGCACTTTATTTATTAAATGATTCATTCAGAATGTCACTCTCCTGCTGGCAGACATGCATACTGCCACAAGGAATCAAAGAGAAAATACAAGTGTGTCTTATTTACCTATTTGTGTGCTCAATCGTGTTGATTAGGACATATTTACTTTTCTGATGTCATGCACTGATTTTGAAATTGCCCGGATCAAAGGAGTAGAGAGTAAATAAACAGCTGTGTACTGCGGATACAGTAATACACACAAGACAATATAATAACAATACATAAACCTATTATACTGCAAGTAATATATCACATTTTGAAGAAGAAGAAGGTCACACATGTCATGTGTCCTTAAGGGGTTAAAGTTGAACTCACAGAGCAGAAGATAAAAATGTCTAAAGTAAACACACTGTCATGTCTGATTTAAAATAAAACCATTTTTTCATGTAGGATGTGTAAACCGCAGCCGGGGGCAGAAGCAGAAACAAAAGTGATTTCACTCCTAAATGGCAGAGAATTGAGCAGTGAGACTGCAGAGTAATGATCTATACACTAAATGTCATTAAGTTAAAGTTCTTATGAGGGGGCGGAGCTTGCTAGTGGGACAGGACAGACGCCATATGTGTCAGCTCCCGATAATCGCAAATTTAAACGGCACATACCGTAAGCAACAGACTCCGTAGACAAACGGACACATCACCATACCACCCAGGGTGAAGCGCTGCACCGATTGATGCCTTTCCGGTATCCCATAGGGTGACCCACGCCAAAACGCAAGGCTGCGGCCTACCTCCAGCCATCACGCATCTCCCTGGAGTCGTTCCTGGGCGGATCACTGGCATACAGAGCGCCCAGGAATATCCGAGACTTACCCTCTCTACCTCCAGCGCCAGAGTGCACAATGGGCCGACGGTCCCAGAAACCAGAAGGCAGGGATATCGGAGCTATGCTCCAAAAACCCCAGCAAGGCAAAACAAGCCAGACAGGGGACAGCCCAGACGCAGCCTCATCCCAGCAACCACAGGAGGCTCAAAGACCAGAGCCCAACCAGACACCTGAGGCAAAACTACAGCCTCCCCAGGCACTCACTGGAGGATCGTCAGCCACAAAGGACGACCTCAGGGCCTTATTAACAGACTGGCATAGGATGATGGCGGTCCTTGCACAAAAGGAGATCCAAGCAGTCGCCACCAAGGTACAGGCCACAGAAGGCACTATACGAGAGGTGCAAGCAGCGGTCACCATGCTTAGCGACACGGTCCTTCAGCTCCAAGGTAATCAGCACTCCATGCTCATGCAACTGACAGCACTGGAGGACCGCCACCGCTGCACCTACGTTAAAATCCGAGGAATACCCACAGAGATAACAGCGGAGGAATTGCCCCACTATATCTGGAGGCTTTTGGCAACCATACTACCATCAGGGATCGCCAAGAAGATGACTCTGGATGGGGTCTACCAAATTGCCAGGAGCCCACAAAATACCAATGCTACACCACGAGATGTTATCATGAAATGCACTTCATACGCAGACCGAACCCGCATTATGTCAACCCTGTGGGGCAAAACCCCGGTACAATTTAAGAACTCCCAACTCTCGTTCTATCAAGATCTCTCCAAAGCTACATTGCAGTAGCGCAAACTACGTACAGCCAGAATACCCTACCGATGGGGACCCCTGGGCACCCTACAAGTAACCAAGAACGGGACAGCTCATGTAATATGATCCCAAGAAGAAATCCCCGCAATGCTGACAACTATGGGCCTCACATCACAGACAGAACTCTCACGTGACCTGAACCACAAAAGAAGATAGAGGCTTCACCGTTACTTGGGACTGCCACCTCAACAAGTTTGTTCTATGATTTAATCAATGTTTTACTTTTCTCTTCGCAACATTCTCACTATTATCTCTCTTCCTACTTTTCAACACTGTGCACAATATACCCATCGATATAGCGACACACTAATGGGTTAGCCTAACAAAGGACAACCCCCCTGGGAGACGGAACCCTGGCACATATACTCCTACACAACTTCAACAGCAAACCAGGGCGACGGTATGCCACGAGCCCATTCACCCCTCCCCCCTCCGCAACCCCCTTGGCTAGGGGTACTCAATCTGCTGCTGTCTCATTTAGGACATTCTGCATGCTCCTTACAATGTATTTTAAAATTTTTGTTTATTAGTTTTTTCAAAAATGAAAACATATTTATCAACAAAACAATTCCATCAAATTATAATTAAATGAAAATCTGTGGGACACATAGATTACATTACCAATAGATAGATCATTTTGTCGTACATTGAGCACCTTTCTCCACATTGTGATACATTGTGTTTATTAATGGATCACTGAGAGTTCTGTTTGAGAAAACATATAGTTGTTGCCCAATTGAAGTTATCTGTATTAATATCAGTATTTAGCATTACTGTGTATACACACACAGAGTGTAAATAGTAAGTACCACGGACAGCGACTGACATTACTGCTGTTGAAAGAGTCATAGAATCAAGGTCAAATGAAGGCAGCTTTTTGGAAATACATGTAAAGCATGTAGGGATTTATTTATTGTGAACTAGAATCCATATTGTCAAATTTAGACCAAATCAGGATACAGTTATTTTTCAGACTTGGCTTCTATGGTAGGAAATGTTGCAATCTGCTTTCACTGCTTATTTTTCCATTAGTAATCATGAATAAGGATTACCATAGGAGACATTATCCAGTTTTAATTGGCTTGGTAAAGAACTGTGCTATTCCTTTACTACATTTGCATGCACACCCAGCATGGTCTAAAAGGAAATTAATCAGCTATTGATTGTGAGGTCTGAATACAGAAGTAGCTCTGCCGTCTTTGTGTGTATCCATTCAAAGGGCTAAACACTTAAAGGGACACCGTAGGCACTGTATCTGCTTCATCTCATTAAACTGGTTATAGTGTCTGGAGTCCTCTGGTACCATCATTTCTTTCAGCATTAAACAGTTTTTAAACTTTTAATGTTTTAATGCTAAACAAGATTCCCCGGCAATCCATCCCCTCTGTGCTGCTTTGGCTAATAAGGACGTATTAGCCATGAGCAAATGAAGGCAGCTTTTTGGAAATACATGTAAAGCATGTAGGGATTTATTTATTGTGAACTAGAATCCATATTGTCAAATTTAGACCAAATCAGGATACAGTTATTTTTCAGACTTGGCTTCTATGGTAGGAAATGTTGCAATCTGCTTTCACTGCTTATTTTTCCATTAGTAATCATGAATAAGGATTACCATAGGAGACATTATCCAGTTTTAATTGGCTTGGTAAAGAACTGTGCTATTCCTTTACTACATTTGCATGCACACCCAGCATGGTCTAAAAGGAAATTAATCAGCTATTGATTGTGAGGTCTGAATACAGAAGTAGCTCTGCCGTCTTTGTGTGTATCCATTCAAAGGGCTAAACACTTAAAGGGACACCGTAGGCACTGTATCTGCTTCATCTCATTAAACTGGTTATAGTGTCTGGAGTCCTCTGGTACCATCATTTCTTTCAGCATTAAACAGTTTTTAAACTTTTAATGTTTTAATGCTAAACAAGATTCCCCGGCAATCCATCCCCTCTGTGCTGCTTTGGCTAATAAGGACGTATTAGCCTGAGCAGCAATAGGCAGCTGTGATTGGCTGAGAGTGTCAGCTGACTGCTTTTAGCCTGTCAGAGTTCTAACTGACGGTATGAATGGGTATGACAACAAGGAAGTCTGTAATCTCTGCCTTAGCTACACATACTGAAGGGGCCGGACTGTGGGTGGCCAGGGACTCTTATTTTGTGGCATACTGCACGAACATGGTGCATTACTGAATGGAGGGACAGTGCCAGGGCACTCCAGGCACTATAACCAATTTAAAGAGATGAAATGCTTATAGTGACTATAGTGTCCCTTTAAAGGATCACTAGAATGTCACAAATTCAAAGATCAATTCCTGGCACTATAGTTCTAAAAACATAGTTTAGGTGATTGACCCTACCTTGCCTCCTTTTAAAAATTTACTTTACTCACAGTTTTTCCAGTGCCGCATCGGTTTGCCGCAACTGGCCCCGCACCGCTCCACCTACTTAGCTGGGATCATCAAATGTGACAATCCGGGCCTATCCAATACTTTACCATAGGAAATCATTAAGAGGCTACGCCAGTCATCATCTTCTCATAAAGATGCATTGAATCAATGCATCTCTATGAGGAACGTTCAGTGCCTCCGTGTAGAGCATGGAGGCACTGAATGTCAGTCCTGCACACTGTGCAGCACTGCCCCAGAAAGCACCTCTAGTAGCCACCTGAGTGACTGAAAAGGAAGCATTCATATTAAAAAGCCTGCAGGGACAGGCTGCAGACACAATAACACAAAGACACAACCACATAAAAGCTATAGTTGTTTTGGTTACTATAGTGTCTCTAAGTGAAAGTGAAAACACTGAGTGAAAACGGTGGTTAATTTGTTTGTATTTCCATTAAACTACTTATATGAGAGAATTAATATAAAATAACAATCAAGCACTTCAATTTTAGTGAGATACTCTTATCAGTAATATGTTAGAGAAGGATAACCAACAACAGTCTGCATCAAGCAGGAATCTGGGAAATACAGAATGCATTGGGGAACGGGCCTGTTGCTCTGCTTCAGTTGCCTAAGAAACAGTGTACACGTTAGTTTTTAAAACTCAAGTAAGCCTTTGTTTAAGTTAGTTTCTACATTTCTTAAAATTTGTCATGTGAGCTGTTTATCTAAAAGACAAAAATCCAATGATAATCACAACAATCAGAACTCTCTTTAAAAGCAGAACCATCACTTCTCTGGAAGTCACATTATTCAATGAAATATTGAAAATCACCTGTAACCTGTGTTAACCTTTTTTCATGAGATGCTTTTTTTTTATATAAAAAAAAATCTTTTTGTTGTGCTAAAATAAACAAATGGCCTCAGAACGCCACAACAGCAATGCCAAGGTATTCAGAATTACATGTTCATGCAAAATGTGACATGTGACTTTTGGGCACAATTTTTAAAATAGTGTAAAGTAGTGATAAGGCAGGTAACTAAAACTTAAAGACAAGGGAAAAACATGCTTAGTGCCTGTTATGAGAGATGTGGTTCCACCTGAAGGGACTTAGTGTAGTAGGAGTGAGAGTCCGGGTCATTTAGAGTAGTTGGAGACATGCAAGCTGAAAAGATAGTATGCATTGTTGGGAGTGATGTATCAAGGCTTCCTGTCTCTCATCCTATGCCCATCAGCGGCAGGGCAGCAGTCCCATTGAATGGTGCTGGTCAGCCAGTCAGGCACTGTGAAAGCTAGCAAGATGCCACTTTGGTGGTAAGTCAGGCGGTGCATGGTGGTCCGCTTCACAACTTAGCCCATTCTGAAGACTCCTGACGAGGCTCGGAAAAGCCCCTCCACAGCCCATGTCTGTGTACCGCTTTTCTCCAGCACTGCCGATGCTGTCCAAGCCGCCTGAGGCGGGCCGTCATAGGGCCAGCAGCCGCGTGGAGGTCGCGGGGGTTACGGTGTGCCTGTGCGGTTAGTTTTGCGGGTGTGTCATGTGTGGCTGGTAGAAAGTACCTGTGTTGTAATTGCAGCCAAAATGCTTCAAAGAGGCTGTCCAGTCGGCATGGCAATCCAGACTTCTCCTCTTGGTGTAGCTGGGAGCACACGGCTGCCGCCATTTTGGGTATGCAGTTTGTGACTGTAGCTTGTGTCTCGGTAGTACCGCAAGTCTCCCGCGGAGATGAGGAGCCCTCCAGGTGGGGACCGGGAAGCCCCCACTGATCCAAAGGGGGTGGGGGGAGCAGAGAGGGTTTCGTCTTGATGCTGCTCTGCATGGAACAGGAGACCGGCTGCCTCTCCCGTCCAGAGGTTTCACTAGGCCTCACCTGGCTCCTCGGGACAAACAGGCGATAGTCACCTCGTGGACCCTTTCTGGGGTGCACAACGTGTGCCAGAAGTCAGGTAAGTGCCAGAGGGTGCTTGGGGAGAGACCCCATAGAAGGTAGTTTGCAGGGTTTAGCAATTAGGAGAGGAGCACTTGCTAGATTTGTCTGACCGCCATGGTAGTCAGGCCCGCCCCCCGAAAGATGCTCCATTTTATTTTAAGCTTATATTATAGATTTAGGAAATGACATCACAATCCAGGTCAGATAAGGCATGGTCAGGATAAACACTACTAATAGGGAAGAGAAATAGAAATATTGTGTCCTTTTCTTCTCCTTTGTATGCTTTTTCTAAACTGTGTGCCAGGTGCAAAATACAGAATATATCACAATGACTGAGAGCAGGCTAGCAGCAGGATAAAGAGGGATACTTTTCTACATTCTATTTTTTACACCTCACAAATACATATTTGTTAAATACGATGATAAGTAAACACAATACTAAATGGTTACTGCAAGCACTATGACTTTTTCAGTGTTTTGAAGTGGTCATGGTCCAAGCCGCTGCATATGCAGCGTTTCACTGTAAAACACTCTTCATACACAGATCGTTAATGCGACTGCCAGAGACGTAACTCTACCTGTGGCTTTCATTGGTTAGCATGGAGTGTTAATTGCTAATGTTAATTCTGTGCATATCCCAAGCACAAATGCTCATTCAGCAAACTCGCACTATCATTCAATGAATTAATTAAGTATAGGCTTCTACAGCTCTGAAGCCGCATGCGACTCAGCCACCATAATATCATAAGTGGCAAACTATTGCAAAACGGATTGCCCCCTTACCGAAAAACAGCACCAGCTGAAACAGCCAATGAGTGCATTGCTTTATAGAATCATTGAGCAGCACCTGCCTGGTGAGACCCAGGTAAGTTGTCAAACCTTGCTAAAACAGTTTGACATCTTACTATGGGACGGTACCAAAGCCCTTCTAAATCCATAACCACCACAGCTGTAGTGGTTGTGGTACTTAGAGTGTTCCTTTAAGACCTTGAATTTTGTCATTATCACATACAACACATCAGCATTTGGCATGACCACACACAGCATGGTGACTCCAGTCACGGCTAATGCTTCTCCAAGAGAAACATTGGATTGGTGGAATGCGGCAATTGCTACTAATGTGCCAAAGGTCCGAACTACCTCTCTATTAAAAAAAAATTTTTTTAGCAAAAATCATAACAGTTTGCAGAGAGGCTGCAGTGTGAAGTCTGTCTCAGAAATGGCTTCCAGCTAATTGATATGTTTGTTTATTTTATTTTTTTAAATGAAAGATGTTTCTAAATCTAATGTTACTAAATGGTTTGCTCCATTACCGGGGAACTGGCTTAGGGTACCCCTAGAGGGCTATAGTGGTTTTTATAATTGGAGTAACCCTTTAAAATGAGTTACGATGAGTAAAGTCGAATTTTAGTTTATTCCACTGATGAGAAGAAGCTGTATCCTCTTTTAGACTCCTACTCTTCGCTAAGAGAGAGAATACAGAGAACAGGTTAAAGGAGATGGCTAACTGTACAATTTCAAGTGATGTGATTTTGTATGAGTGGTACTTCAAAAGGAAGCATTCTGTGTAGTACAACCAGAAACACAATCACAGAGGTTTAAGGTGAGCGTGACGGGATGTCTGGACAGAAACTTGTTAGAGAGGTTGGGAACAATTCAATATATGAGTAAGCAAGCCAACAGAAGAGATAGGAGACAGAAATCAGAACTACCAGGTTGCCAAGGTTACCAGTATTAGCAGAAATAGGAGTTCACTGAGGACAGGACCAGGCTGGAGAGAGAGTGAAAAGGTGAGGATGTACTTCCAAGATCGTACCTTACAGACTGACAAATAAAGTGATAATCCTCTAGCACTCTAGCTATTACTGAGCAGGAGAGAAAGGAGTTAATTATAGCAGCATTATGTTTACCACATCCCCCACTTGATCCACATAGGTACAGAGGTTATGATCCAGCTATAGGAGATGTCAACTCTTCTAAACATAACCTTTATCCTGTGGGGCGGGGCCTGGACATCATGGCGGCTGGACGTGTCTCATGTGAGCTCTGAGCTCAATCCTTGTATTTAGCCTGATTATTGCACGCCATCCAACCAAAATGCCAATCACAGGACTTACCTGCTTCGAGAGCCAGCCGAGGAACCCCGGGTACATTGCCCGTGGGTGCACAGCACATCAGACGGAGGTTGTGGGAGTGAGGCCTAGTACGGTCGGCGGACGGGTGGAGCAGCCGATCCCCCTCTCTGTGCGACGCTGTGCCCTCCCAAGCTTGCCTCTTAGCCCTGTTCCCCCTCCTTTGGACCGGCGGGGGTCATCCCAGTCCACCCTGGCCTGTACCCCATAAAAAAGCGATGCAAATTGACCTAATCTACTAACTACTGCCCAGCAGACACACAAAATGGAGGCTCGAAACACCCAGCGGGACTCAGACACCCAGCAATCCAAGACGGATTCCCGCGCAGCTAACACAGAGGAGGCTGGACGAAATCTTCGACTGCTTCTGGGCCGCGTTGGAGGCACGCCACTCTGCTGCAAGACATCAACATCAAGAGGACGACCAGGAGGATCACCCATACCTCCAAAGCACACAAACACCCAATTAAGGGATCACTTAGGCCGAGGGCCACCATAGGTAAAGCCCCACGGCATCATCCACACAGAAGGAGGATCGCCCGCAGTCAGCGCTACCTACCACCAGGACCTCCTGTCTATCCCCCACAAGGGAGGACTGGGACCCCAGGAGCCCCCTGTGATGAAGTGCCCTTCGCCACTTGTGCCTGGAGAGGACTGCTTGCCCGCCTCTTGCCCTGTGACTAATGGACCCTGGGAGATTTGGCCCGTTCAATTCAGTATGATAGGAGTTATGTATTTTTGTATCCTTTTGTGTTTTACTGGGAACATGTGCTCAATGGCGTCTGCTTCTATCCCTGGATAATTGGATTAATTTCCCCATTGTCTCCAGGCTAGAGGGCTCTGTAAAACCAGTTTGGGCCAGATAGCCATGCTGCCAGCCAGGCCCCAAAAGATACTTTACTAACTTCTGAACCCCTGGTCTGATTCATGCCATTTTTTGATATGTTGTTTCCCTGAATGGATTGATTGTGAATATATAGTTTTATGTGAATGTGATGTATATTTTAGAAGTTATGAATGCTGTAAAAACTGTATTATTTCTGGCCAGCAGACAATTGAGCTTTGTGTATTGTAGAAACTCAATTATCTAGCCTGGCCCAGAGGAGGAGTTTTGTGTTGCATAAATTGTGAGTTCTGTGTGCCAGTAAATCAGTCTTGTTCCAGCATTAAGCCTTGGCTCATGTTTGGGGATTGCTATAATCACTATACTCCCCAGGGTATGATCACTAAGTTCTGCTAAGAGCTTGTTCCTGTTCCTGCTCTCTGGGGAAAGAGAGGTTCACCCACTGGAAGCTGGATCCTGGCCTTGGGTCCAGGGTGGGTGGAGACAGCAGAGACCCCAGCGCAGTTGCATCGCTGGAAGTGGGGTCTGCAGTGCTGATGGTGTCGGCTGGAGTGCTTGGAGTCCTCAGCGAGCACTAGGAGCATCGATTGGCGGAGGTACTCAGTCGGAGTGCCAGCGTTCCGTCACACCCCCATGTCCGTGGCAAGAAGATGCTGGCCTACCGACCGGCCTGGGGCGGGAGGGATGCTCAACAAAGCCACCAGAGCACGGCGGCCTCCTTAGCCCTCACTGCACAGGACTTTTGTTTCCCATCTTCGGGTATAGGCTGAACACAGGCTCGCTGCTTAAAGCTGTACCACCTTTATGGGACTGACCACAAATAGCAGATGTCACTGATGGGACTTCCATATGTTACCCACACATGCCAACCTACTTGAATTCCCCATATGCATGCGAACAGAAGCTGCCTGATATTTATACCTGTGCTTTTCTCATTTACGTTTTTCTTGTTTAGTGTTCTATTTGCTTATAGGTCATAACATTAACCAGATCTCTGCATCATATGCTAGAATGATATATAGAAACAGAGCCAGCTGTCTCTAACTTCCATTACTCAACCAGGGCTAGGAATACCTTGTTACATGCTTAACAACCTGCTGCCCAAAGCGTAGACAAGTACACACTCTTGCGATTATCTCTACCTAATCCTGTACCTATCTCGTTATCAGCTGGCACAAAATATTGCGACTGAACCTGCTACACATAATCTTTTACCCAACCTACTTAGCATGTGACTAAATCGAATAATCGCATACACACTGTTTGTATAATCAACCAGGATTATCAGTTCTGTTGAACCCTTGTCAGATGTGTTCCTACCCTTCGGTACCTACTTAAATATAAAATCTGTGCAAGTTCCTCAGAATACCCCAATGTTACAACTGTTTCACCAATGCATGAGGAATGCCGTTGGGGTACCTCACGCGAGTATGTTAATTTGAAATGCACTGCAAAAAAAAAAATATATATATATATATAAAACCTTTATCCCCTGTATTATGAGGGCAAACCCTATACAGCCCAATGTATATGGTTCAATGTAAATGGGTACTAGGGAATACAGACAGCTTAATATGGGAAGACTATATGTAGTATGCTGCACTTAATATCTCATCCTAGAAACATCACAAAAATAGGAGATCATCCACACAAAAACATCAAGCAGCATTGCATTTATTTCAGTGTACATGGAACAGAGCTGGGGTGTACGTGCAAAGTGGTGCAAGTTACAAATTCAAAATGTACTTAAATAAATTAGTTATTTAATGAAATTGAAAAACAAAAAGGGTCAGCGCTAAGTAACCAAACCAGGACGGTAGTAGATAAGGTAGCAACCCAGGGTAAGGGGTCCCTCAAAAACCCTTAGGGGTAGTCACAAAAGATGGGTAGCACAAAGGTACGGTAGGGTTGCGCCACAAACTTTGAGTGAATAATATATATATATAAGAAAACTGAGATGCTTGCACTCCTGGATTAGAGAGTAATTGTCCGGTGCTGGTCAGGCACAAGATACAAAAAAATGATTGGAAATGACCGCACTCCAAGGACTTGTTGATAGTAAAAATAAAATATAACTTTTATTCTATGTCATAAAAAAAATATATATAAATAAATATCAACGTTTCAGCCCCAATACATGGGCTTTCATCAGGATGGCAATATATATATATATCTAATATTCACTCATAGTTTGTGGCGCAGCCCTACTGTACCTTTGTGCTACCCATCTTATTTAATAAAATTGCCTAGCGTTAATAGTAACAAGTAACAGTGAGTTTTGAGTCAATAGTAATAACAAGATGGAGTAACGGTGACAAGTACCAGTGAGGTGATGGGGTATTATTAACAACAAGCAGTGAGGTGATGGGGTAATAAGTTCCCACAATATAAGGGCCTTCACGCCTCCTGTATTTGTTTGTCACATGTTGTATTGTCTCTTAAATGTTTTGTACCTTTGTTTTACTTGTAATTACTGTACCCATGGACAGAGCTGCGGAATGTGTTGGTGCTTTATATATAATGCATTATAATGATAATAATCATAAGATAAAAAACCATGGAACTCAATACAAGTAGTTAAACATGTCGGTTTCTGGAACCTTCGTGTAGAATGTCATGAGTCTGCAAGATATGCTACCATGCAACTAAAATGTATATGTTACATTAATTAATGACAATCCATACTCCACAAAAACATACCTCCAAATATTCAGATGACTCTTCCAACAAATGCTCAAGACTCTGATTTTCTGGTCTAAACTTATTAAGAAGTTGGGTTATCACTTCAATGCATTTCCGGTAACTAATCATCTTCTATATTGTGGATTCCTGTGAATAAAACAACACAACATTATATAAATACACACACACACACACACACACACACATACATGTAACCTTTGATAGGATGTGTGAGCAGCACTCGTTGCTCATGCGCATCATGTCCCCAAAGTCCCTCTATAAAGAGCATTAGATTGGGATGGATTATGTCGCTGTAGGCAGAGCTGGCAGCAAATCTGAGGAAATCTCAACACCGGAAAAAAAAATAACAAATCCTTTTTTTTAACCCCCATTTTTATTGCGGTTGGGGGGCCTCTAACCTAACTCTGGACTAGTGCACTGTAGCGTTAGGAATACAAGCTTGTATTCCTAACGCTATTGTGTTCCTTAACATGGAAACCCTAGGCACGGTATGTACTACAGGGCACAGTAGTGGTTATAGTGCAAGGAGTCCCCCCATAACTGTTTAGTAGATAGGTGAGTGCGCTTGATTTTCATTTTTACTGTACTTATTGGCCCCCAGCAGCACCCCATTTAAGTATGTTTAGGAGTGTTTTCTCCTATATATGTATATATTTAGGAGTCTAGCCAGCTCCATGGGTTTTGCACCCCTCCCTGTTACAGGTGCCTCATCTCAGGACCCTATTTAAGCATTGTACTGCAGAGACCTCGAGATGGAAGGATTTCCCCAAGTGAGTAGCTTATTTAGCAGACAGAGTAGGACCTGCCAAAGATGGGGTACATTGACATTGTGGCAGGCCTATGCAATGTATGATCATATAATGTAACTAAACCCCCATTATCATTGCCTAGATTAGGTGTTTTTAATAAAACTAACAAAATTGTTCAGCACTAAAATAACTGTTTAGTAGATAAGTGAGTGCGCTGGATTTTCATTTTTACTGAGTCTCCATGGCTATCTGCCAATAATCTATCAGACCATTTACAACCAGCTTGATACTTATATTGCTGTGTTAGGCACCTGTGCTCCTTCCTGTCTGAGTTGGTCTGCTTAAGCAGACTTTCATTCTACTTCCTTCAAGCCAACTCCTACCAGGTTTAGGCAGTACTCATTGTCTTACAGTGACAGCTGACGTCTCACAAGTAATGAATATTGTTTAAACCCTGTATGCGTTGGTATGATGATCGGTAAGTATTAACTTCTTAAACGAGTTATAAAACATTAAGACATATTGGTCCATATGAATAAAATGTTATTCCACTTCTAAAATGGAACAATCATCATGGAATATTTTTACTGATTTCTCTCCTTTTAGCATTTGCACATTTGCCTATTACAGTCCTTTACTCACAGGGGAAGACCATCTCTAGGCATAAGGCTGACCTCCTAGCTCCTCTACATGCCATATGGTCTTTCCTGCTGGGGAGGGAGTGGGGCAATTGTCTATATCAGCATAGCAAAGGCATCTATAATGCAGGGGATTGAACCTCCATCCCAATAACCCTCTGTGACCATTGGAATTTTCATGTTTATTTATTTTTTTATAATCTCTTTACGTAATGTCTGATATTAGAGTATAAATAAGTCTGTAGTTAAGTGACAGCCTACATGACTGTTAAACAAGTAGAGTTATAAAATACAGAATTGTTGCTGACAGTTAAAGGGACATTCTAGTCACCTGAACAACTTTAGTTTAATGAAGCAGTTTTGGTGTATAGAACATGCCCCTGCAGCCTCACTGCTCAATCCTCTGCCATTTAGGAGTTAAATCCCTTTGTTTATGAACCCTAGTCACACCTCCCTGCATGTGACTTGCATAGCCTTCCATAAACACTTCCTGTAAAGAGAGCCCCATTTAGGCTTACTTTATTGCAAGTTCTGTTTAATTAAGATTTTCTTATCCCCTGCTATGTTAATAGCTTGCTAGACCCTGTAAGAGCTTCCTGTATGTGATTAAAGTTCAATTTAGAGATTGAGATACAATTATTTAAGGTAAATTACATCTGTTTGAAAGTGAAACCAGTTTTTTTTTCATGCAGGCTCTGTCAATCATAGCCAGGGGAGGTGTGGCTAGGGCTGCATAAACAGAAACAAAGTGATTTAACTCCTAAATGACAGTGAATTGAGCAGTGAAATTGCAGGGGAATGATCTATACACTAAAACTGCTTTATTTAGCTAAAGTAATTTAGGTGACTATAGTGTTCCTTTAAGCAAGTAATTGTTTTTTCATGAATTTCTCTACCCACCATCCTATCACTGGCAGTTCAGGATCAGTTAGCAATTATTAAATTATGACAAGTTTAAGCTCTTTTAAAACTAAAAATAGAAAAAAAGAGATATATATTTCAAAACACAACCTAATGTATAAATTGCATCATTTTATACTTTTAATATGCATCGAGCAGTATTATAAAATAATAGGAGTAGCCAACAAATACAGATATGTTACACAAATAAAATATAGCCACCAACCACTTAGAGCAAACTCATTTGATTATTTATGGCCCATGTGCAGCATCACTAGTACACAGAAGTTCGTGCACATGTACAGCAGCACAGCTGAAGGAATTGCAGAGAGTGCATGCTCTTGTATAAGATTTCAATTCAGATTCCGAAGCTTATGTGAGCATCCCTGAGGCATCATTGGGCACTGAAGTCACCCCAAAGTGGAAGCATACGTTCCAACATTTCAAATGGTCAAAGAATTGTCATCACTTGACAATAATTTTTTTTTAAACCGTTAATTAAACACTTTTTTTTAAAGATTCTTTTTTGACTGAAAGCTGGTACAAAAAATTACAGTTAACATAAATCTAGCACTTCGAGGTAATCACAATAAATGAAAAAATATATGACATTATGTAGAAGCATGACTTTAAAGATCAGGAGAACATTTGTTCCGAGATATACCTCAGAGTGAGCCCTTGTACTAACACCGTCAGGTATTTTTACTTGGTATTAAAAGAAATAAAAATACAGAAACAGAACTCTTTAATGTCATACAGAAAAACCTCATTACTAGAAAACAGCCGCGGGCCATTTACTCAAGGGCCAAATGCGTGCATTATCATTGGGAGACAACTGAGAGTCTTTAGTTGCACAAGTTTGATCTCAGTGTTACATAGGATAGGAGGCGATAGAGAGGAACAGGAACAAAAAGGCGTACAGAAAAGAAGGAGAAAAATTATGAGAGAAAAAAGGTTGTCGCCGTTGGTGCCGCCAATCCCGACCATATCACTGGCACGAGAGGCCACAACCCAGGGGATGGGGCAAACCAAAATAAAGCAAGTTCAGTTTTGGAAACACTATAATATTTGTTTATAAACTTGGTCAGACTGCATTATTGAGCACACCTCTCATTCAATCATGCTGAATGCATTTTTCCAGCACTCATAGGGTGTAGAAAGCATAACAAAGAAGAAGCAGGTAAATATATATAAAAAAAATGATAATAATAATAATAATTATTATTATTATTATCGCCATTTATATAGCGCCAACAGATTCCGTAGCGCTTTACAATATTATGAGAGGGGGATATAACAATAAATAGGACAATTACAAGAAAACTTACAGGAACGATAGGTTGAAGAGGACCCTGCTCAAATGAGCTTACAGTCTATAGTAATAATAATATGTAGCAAAAGAACGGATAGTAGGACAGCTGGGTAGTACAATTGTGCAGGCAAGCCACTCTAGGTGGGAAAACACTCCCTGTATCCCTTAAACAGTGCACAGAAACAAAACTGTATAATAACAAATTATTAATACAGAAAATAGGGCGCCACTTATCACAAGCTTAGTGGTTGGTATATTTACCCTCTTTTAGGTCAATGCGAAACCCTCACATAAAAAGAGAGGAAGAGAGAAAAAAAATCATAGTGCGAACTTTAATTCAAACAGTAATAAAAACTAAAATAAAATATAGCACTCACAAACAATATGGCACATTTGAAAATGATTAATATGTGCATAAAAGCTGTAGCCTCAAACTGGGCTTAATCCCCTGGTGTACCAGTCTGTAGTAGTTGCTCAGGCTCCACAAGTTGGTAGATAGAACCGATAGTTACACCATCAGACGCGGAAAACACCTTTGTGTCATTTATTTATATGGATTACCTCTGTTTCCTACGCCCTGTCTCCCTGTAATATATTATGGAATATAATGCAATACCTGGTATTATTTTTCTAATCATATATATATATATTTGTATTTATATAATAAAAAGAGCAATATTTAAGGGCACACACAATACTAAAATACATAAAATTAATTTAACCATAAAATATGAATTGACCTTATATATATATATATTAAATGATGTTACAGTGTGATGACAGAGAAAATTAACCTCTTAATGACCATGTCTGCCCCTTATCATGGAGAGGTAATGCTGTATGTAATAGGAGAGTGCTTTATGCCATAACCTGCTGAATTCAATACATACCGTTTATTCCCCAGGATTTGATACAATGTTTCCTTTTAATCAGGGTCCCCAGTGTTAACGGTCAGCTGAAACACTGTCAGGAGTTTCCAAGGCGCACAAACTTCTGGGTGTTGTAGTCTTTCTCTGTCCACGACGCCGCGATTTCAAAAGAGATTTCACGTTCAAAAAAACTACATTTCCCGAGGTGCATTGGGGGCAAGGCTGCCCTCCTAATGTTTGATGGTCGTCCTGGCGACCAGGAATGGAAGTGAATGCTGATTGGTTGGGGCTGTCTGGACGCTGAGGGGTGGGTAGAGTCACGTGGTGCACTGGGAGGGAGTGCTGTGGGGCAGACTGTCAGAAGTCATCAATAATAATCATCAATAATAATAATAATCATAATCAATAATATCATCATCATCAATAATAAATTATTGTTGCTTCCCCCCCCCCTCCAGCAGATTTTAAAAAAATAAATAAAAAAAAATGATTCATTTAGTATTAGCTTGGCCATGTCAGGATATGGGGTTTATTTATGAAACAGGGACATGTAGGGTTATTAAAGGAACCCTCTAGATACCATAACCACCACAAAGAGGAACTATAACTACTTAGACGTTAAGATTGTGCTTTTATTTTATTACAATTTTCAAAAGTTTCAAATTTTTTAACATTTTATTTACATGCCATACAATTGTACAGCGCTATGGAATTTTCTGGCGCTATAAAATAATATAATAATAATAATAATACAAGGCAAATCAATTCCAGCACTGCGTTATTGAAGAAATTCCTGAGCACATGCTAAACATGGAAGTAATATTTTTACTATTTACCCATTTTTACTATTTACCCACCCTATTTGATATTTCCTGTCCTAACGTTTCTAATACCCCACCTCCTATAGTCTGTAAGCTCGTTTGAGCAGGGTCCTCTTCAACCTATTGTTCCTGTAAGTTTTCTTGTAATTGTCCCATTTAGAGTTACATCCCCCCTCTCATCATATTGTAAAGCGCTACAGAGTCTGTTGGCGCTATGTAAATGGCAATAATAATAATAACAAAGTGACAGTTCTGCTTTAAAGGTACTCTCCAGTGCCTGCAGGTCCCCTCTCCCTCCCACCCCCCATCCCATGTTGCTGAAGGGGTTAAAACCCCTTCAGTGACTTACCGGAGTCCAGCACCGATGTCCCTCGGCGCTGGTTCAGGGTGCGCCCATGCTCCTTCTCCGCCGACGTCATTTGGCGGGGGAGACCTATTGCACATGCGCGGCCGGCGACGGACAAGACCTAATGCGCATGTGCGTCAATGCTGCACACGTGCATTAGAGCTCCCCATAGGAAAGCATTGAAAATGCTTTCAATGCTTGCCTATGGGGATTTCAGTGACGCTGGAGGTCCTCACATAACGTGAGGACGTCCAGCGACGCTATAGCACAGAAAATCTGTGCTATAAATCCGGAAGTGCCCTCTAGTAGACAGCCACTAGAGGAGGAGTTAACCCTGCAATGTAAATATTGCAGTTTATGAAAACTGCAATATTTACAGTTGCAGGGTTAAGGGTAGTGGGAATTGGCACCCAGACCACTCCAATGTACAGAAGTCGTCTGGGTGCCTGGAGTGTCCTTTTAACTTGAAAATAGACCTAAGGACAAAAGTTGCCAAACCTCCCCTGGAATAAAATGTATGTATAAGCAGTATACTTTTTTTAACACAGCATTAGTCCCTCTGGTACAAATATTACTTACTAGACTCGTGCATTTGGTTCCAAACATATTTCATTTCATCAGAATTTATCAGCGATCAGCAGTTCTTCCAAGTTCCATAACTCCAAAACACTATTTATTTATTTATTTATCAAATATTTTACCAGGACTATATGGATGATTCATGAAACAAATTAAATGGGCAATGGACAAACAGTTTCCTTTGTTTCATAATTTGGAGTGCTGTCCATGGCGTCAAAAAAGAGATGGTTAATGGCGAAAAAATGATTATTGGCAGGGTGTACACACTAAATATTGACTTTATTTGCAGGTATATTGAGAATTATATGCATAAAGATGGATTTTTTTTTATTTTTTTTTACTGATTCTCAGTTTTTTCTCTATATTGGTTAATTCTTTTCACTTGATCTGTGAACCAAATGGTGGAAAAATGCATCTATCCTTTTACTGTAAAATACATACATAATACTTACATTATGTATATATTTGGCTGTACATCAGTAGGATCATTATCTGTCCCTTTTGGCTTGTCCAAATTATTTATCTTGTAATGACTGAATGGGTGATATTTATCCCAACGGAAACATCAAATAGACAAATCCCAAAATGACCGTGACAATTTTTTTTCCAAAGACAAACCAAATTATTTGCCATGTACAAGTCTATTACTGACATAGGCATGCAGCAGGGAATACCGCCCAATATTTGGAATCATGATATCCGTACAGAGCAAACTAAACACTTATGCCATGATACAACTTGTCTAATATACTCAGCAAGCTGTTTGAAATGGGGTGGCTTCCATATAGGAAGAGATTGCTAGAAATAAGAAAATAAAATATTTTTTATCTATATATATATTTATTTAAATATCTACACGATAGATACCTACATACCCCTTGTGGCGGTGCAGTGAGCATAAAAGAAACATAGAAAATCTGACCTAAAAAATTAAGTAGGTCCCTGTAAGATTGAACTATATACACTTATGTCACTAAGTCCTGTCCCTTCCTCAGGACAAAAGCCGAGGAACAGCTGAGCACAGGTCTTGGTGCTGCTCTGGACAAATCTTTTACGCCAAGAAGTCTGAGAAATAAGGAAGCCTCTTCAGGAGATGTGGCCTTGAATATCTTTCCCTTCTGATAGACCGCCAACGTCCCCAGAGACAAGCGATATGTAATGCATGCTTCCAGTATATTCTTTGTAATTGGCTGCATGGATTTCCTCCATAGTAATGTGGAATGATGTAAATCTCAGAAGAACGTGATATGATGTGATTTAAAGTCAAGAGGCACTTTCTCCTGGAATATTTTCATTTGCCTTAGTTTGTCTGCATAGGATTGACCTAAGTATTTTGTCTCTTGATGAAGCCGCTTGTGCCCAAGGAGACCTGGAAAGATGATAGGCCCAGTCTGTTGTTATCTGCTTAACTTGTTTATTGAGCATCACAGAGGCCATGAGTCATCTTAGGAAATGGGGTAGTTCTTCAGGCGTTACCGAATCTGATACTCCTCCGACTCCTGTCATCGAGAGTATCCACTGTGAGAGTAAGACTGGAATGTAAGTCTTGTAACTGTTGTATGGTTTCTTCCAGTGCAGATAGGCCTGATCCAACACATCCTCCTCATTAGCTTGCACTATGGCCGTTACCGAATGTACCTCCAGTTTCACTAAGGCGATGTCTGCATTAATCAATTTCCTTATGTTTTCATTCAAATTAGAGCTATCTAGTATTTTAGTAGCAGGGGTTGTCCCTAAAGTCTCTGACAGTAATGCCTGTGTTAGGCAGAACGTCTCAGCTGTTCTATAAAAGTCTGCAAACCTTCTTTGTCATCTGACGGTGTAACTGTGGCCTCCATGTCAGCAGGGCTTGCCATCTTCATGTGCGGTGTGCTTAGAGTAGGGTGCCAATATCTCTAGTTTAACTTAATGTTGCATTTGGTGTTTCCTATGTTCTGTGGCCCATCTCCATAGAGCTTGGATTCCCTGTATAGACCGGTATATATGCGATCCAAGCTCCAGACTCTACCACGAGGTCTCCTACGGCTAGCAGGCTTCCTGGTCCTGATCTTCCTTATTACTTGAACGGCAATTTGTTGTGTGAAAAATAAAAGAAGGGCATCAAAAAAATCCTTGGTTACTCCCACAGCTATATCTAGGACATCTGGGTATGGATGGATGTAGATTCGAGCAAGATACGATAGCTTAGGTCCGGAGCAGTAAAATATGGCGTCTGAGCGGTATGGGAATTAGGCTCTACCCCCCCAAATATAAATTTTATTGTTTTATTAAATAATATTTTTTTTTTTAAAGTTCAGATAACAGTGCTGCGCATGTCTATAATTAGACATGAATATATTTATCATCTGCCTCAAACGTTGATTTGAAATTGATTAATTAAGCAATGCACTTCCTTTGGGATTCCTTCTTGATTCGTAGCTTTGCCTTCTGAAACTTATGAATAATACATATCGCAGGGCATCACTTTCACATACTGCGCAACAAGATGAAAAGTCATATGTATCTGGGAAAACATGCTAGATCTGGCAACCTAACGTGGAGTATCCTTGTTTTGCTTAGACGGTTGTTCAGAGTGAATCATTGGGAATTAAAAGTAAATTCAAAGTTAATAAAATTTTAACGTACAATAGATTAAATTGAAAAAATATCCACGTCAACTATGTTTCCAGTTCAACTATTTATGCTTAAAATTATAAATTCACATTTTAATAAATAACCGTACTCTGGGTTTATTCGCTAAACGCCACACTGACATGAACTGAAATTCAAGCTATTTGAAGATTTGTTTCCCCCCCAAATAAGCTATTGCTGCCCATATCTAGCAATTAAGTTTCCAAATGTAACAGTGATAGTATTTATTGAATAAATCTGTATAGCAGTTGAACTGTCTGGAGTTGCTATTTTCTATTTACATTCTGCTTCTACGTAATTATTCTTGGAAATATCTCTCACTGGCTTCATCCCTCAAGGCACAGAGGGAAGGGGGCGGACCTATCCAATGATCTGCGGAATCACAGCGGCCATCTTTGATTTGGGCATCTGAGATAGTTATTGTTGGTGTAATAGATATGATGACACATTTTAAAACTTTTTTTTTTTTTTCAAAAGGCAGAAATTCAAATGTCCTGAAAAAAAAAAGATTTTTCATTAAGAGAATAGAAATATAATTTTACTATTACTACCTATTTAATATTAATCTTGACAAAATTGAGAATCCCATTATAATTTCTATTTTTTTTTGCCTTTAATTTTTGTTATTATGATATAGACACTATATTCATGTTACCACATATTTGTCACCTGAAGGAATTAGTGCTGTATGTTTTCAACTTGTTTATCCTGAGCTTTAAAACACTGTTTAACATTTGTATTGAATTAATAATAGTGATAACAAGAAGCAGGTAACTAGGACAGTACTTAGATAACAGTTACCCAGCACAGACAAAGCTTTGTAACAAACAAACAAACACTATCTATGTAAGAGAGTCCTGCTGCTTGTTGTCACATGTATTGCTGTACATTGTGCTAATGGCTTGCCCCATACAAAGATGGCCGCTGGGTGCTCATAGCCCCGCCTACGAGTGGGTTGTCCACCAACAGCTCGTAGCCCCGCCCCTCCCGTGCTCGCTGTGCGCTGATTGGATGGGGCGCTGGTGGCAGTGCAGGGCCAGGTTGCCGGCTCTGTCTCCGGGAAGCGGGTTGCGCATGCGCGGCGGAGTATGAGTAGCGCTGCTCGCTTGGGATGGTGACTGTTTCGGGGCTGTCAGTGGAGCCCTCGCTGCTGCTAACAAGGGGGGGTGGGAGCCGGGCTGGGGGGAGCCGGAGATTGTGACTGAAACCCGGATCGGGATCGGCAGGATAAGTAGGAGAGAGTCCTCGGGGGATCCCTGACATCCAGAGCCAGGCTGCACAGCCCAGGGGGGAATGATGAACAGGTTCAGAAAGTGGCTGTACAAACCCAAGGTGAGCACTGACACACGGTATACACCATATACACAAACACTGATACACGGTATACACAAACACTGACACACTGTATACACTATATACACAAACACTGACACACGGTATACACCATATACACACTGTATACACTATATACACAAACACTGACACACTGTATACACCATATACACACTGTATACACTATATACACAAACACTGACACACTGTATACACCATATACACACTGTATACACTATATACACAAACACTGACACACGGTATACACCATATACACACTGTATACACTATATACACAAACACTGACACACTGTATACACCATATACACACTGTATACACTATATACACAAACACTGACACACTGTATACACCATATACACACTGTATACACTATATACACAAACACTGACACACTGTATACACCATATACACACTGTATACACTATATACACAAACACTGACACACGGTATACACCATATACACACTGTATACACTATATACACAAACACTGACACACGGTATACACCATATACAC